GCATGAGGCCCTGGGTTCAATCTCCAGGATCACAAAAAACAAATAAGACAACAAAAAAACCAAAGGTCACTAGCAGAACACATGGCAGAAGTCAGCAACATGTTTCATGACAGCCTAAAACACAGTTCCAGACGTCCAGAAATCTTTGCCAGGGTGACAAAGTAGTAAATGTACCTAAAACTGCAGCCTTTCTGCATGTAGTCTATGTCATATGTGCACCCACATTTACATCTCATGAAGCAGAATTTTAAATATTTCACATAGCTATAAAACAGATCATAAACTTCCCAGTCTGAGAAACAACACACAAATATAAAACAAACAACAAGCGGATAATCAATATAGCAAGAGATAGTAGACCTAGAGTATTACAGAATTAAATCCCATTGGTATCAGTTGGGGTCCTGTGAGAAGTAGACCCCATGATGGGATTGAACATGCAAGAGCTCTATTATTGGAGGGAAGGCTTTGAGAGGTAGAGGAGGAGGGAGTAAGGGTAGGCAAGGAGCCGTCCCACCATGCTGCAGGTCTGGTACCTGAGAAAGGAGAGGAAAGGAAGGATTGGGTAGAAAAAACCTCAGACCTCAGCACAGTTCTGAAAATATTTCTGAGCCTCAGTTGTCCATGGCCTGCCAGGCAGCCATGGGTCAACTCAACCGTGTTCCCTACAGATTTTGTTTTTTGAAATGATCTCACTAGGTAGCCCAGGCAGGCCTCGAACTTGTGATACTTCTTGCCTTAGCCTCCACAGTGCTGAGATTTCAGGTGTGAACTACCACACCTAGTTTTTATACTTTATTGTTTTTAAAAGCCCTCCGCTGTTGGCATTTAGATATGTTTTTCCTAGTGATATGAAAGAAAGAAGCCTCCAGATGCCCAGACCAGCCCAAGCTCCCTGTTTAAGTTCTCACTTCACACGGTTTCTCTTTATGTGGAGCAATTTTATACTTCTGTGTTTTTTTATTTTATTAATGCCCCGCACTCCTTCTAAAATGTCACCTAAGCTAGGTATGGTGGTCCACATCTATAATCTCAGCCACTCAGGAGGTGGAGATAGAAGGATCAAGGTCTGAGGGCAGCCTGGGCAAAAGCACAAAACACCATCCTTTTGTTAAAAAAGCAAAAGGACTGGGGGTGTGTCTCAAGAGGTATAGTCCTTGCTTACCACACCCAAGACCCTGAGTTCAATCCCTAGTGCTACCAAAAAAAAAGTCATCTGACATAGAACCTAGGTTAAAGGTTAAAGTAGACTTTCCTTGAATCAACTGCACATATTCTCTAAAGTAGAGCAATAATAAAAGTAGAGTTTGAGGAACAAGGAAATGTACTATTTTTCACTACTTACAACGGACTTCTCCAGGGCACAGTGCCATTACAAAAATAGCTAAGGCACTTAAAACATATGTGACATAGGATGGTTCTCTCAAATGAAAACTAAAAATCCATTTGTTCTGCATTCTTGCTTTCAGTAATGGTCCATTTTAAGGGCTCTTGTAAGGACTCAGCAGGTCCAGGAGGTTGGCCAAGCCTCCATAATACTGAAGTTGGCAGTTGCTGCTGAAAAATAGCTGTGACCTGACACTGCACAGCTCTTCTCTGAGATATGTGGCTTATAACCTCCTAGCCTAGTGTTACTCATGTGGACCTAGTGATTAAGTCGTCCTCTTCTTGGGAAAGGGCTGCTTGACTTTCCAGTATGACCTCATTCAAAATGAATCTCTACTGCATTCCTCTGTTAGGCAGATAGATGGCATGTGAAAGATGTCATGATTTTCCGCAGGCCACTTGGTGAGTCAGTTGCACAGACAGGGACAAAACCCAGCTTTACTGATGACTAACACAGAGAGACTTAGCCCTACCTTGTGACACTTCCTGTTCAAAAAGATGACTAATTAAACAGTCACTTATTTGCTCTTCTACAAGCAACTGAACAAGTTTCAGTCCACGTTCTCTGGGAGCAAGTGATCCACAAGAAGAGGAAGTGAAAGAGGCCAACAGAGGTACAAATGTTTACATTTTGAGACTGCCTTGTGGCACCTCTACCTGATGGTATTGAGTAAAAGGAAAAATGCGTGAATTTGGGCCTCAGTATTGAGCACTTCTTTCATAGAGTAAAGGGTTTCAATGCCCCCTTAACTTTTAAATATCTATCTGGGGCTTCTTTTGCTCATTCTATTTTGGAACTTCACTCATTCATAAGCCTCAAAGTCTTTCAAGAAGTTTCAAGTAAATGCAGACATGAATAGACCCAGGTTGCTAAGAATGGCCAGAGACCCCAGGATTAAGGCTGCTCTGAGGCTCAGGAGTAATTTCTGGATATGCATGTGTAGGTTCATTCAGAATAGGTACCTGGGACAAGCGGTTCCTAAATTCCTCCCGGAGGAAGTGAGTATAGATGTTTTCCAGGACACTCTTGTCTTCTGGTAGCTGGTTGCAAGTCAATGATCTTTGGCTTCTGTTGCCTCCCTCCAAGAATGGCCACCCCTAGTTTCTTGCTTGCTCTTATGAGGATCCTTCAGGATCCAGCTTAGAGCTGGAGTCTATTGCTACAGTTTTCCTCCTAATTGGCTGTTCTCTCTCAGTGAAGCATGGTGTGGGAGAGTGGGTCACAGAACAGTTTTAAATAATTCTTCTAGTTTAAAATAATATAGTTTCCCAGTCATTGTGCTATTGTGTCTGGAAACCAATCAGAGTTTTAACCTTTATTTGATTTTGTATGTGTGTGTGTGCCTAGGAGCAAACGCAGGGCCTGCACATGCCTGCTCTATTGCTAGGCAGCACTCCCAGCCCCCTGATGACAGCTCTTGACCAAGACCTACCATACGATTGCAGAAGCAAAGTTCTATCTCAGTTCCCAAGGACACCAAGGCTGATTCTCTTTCATCTTGCAATTTGATCTTTGGTTTATTCCTAAATCCCCATTCCCTTTTGAACAGAAGTCCCAGGCATCAATCTATTCTCACTTCCTGATATCAGAATCCACAGCCTACTTCTCCCATTGATGTGGCCCTATCTTAGTTCTTCTTCCTATTTAAGCTTTTTATTTGGAAATACTTTTTACATTTTAGAAAAGTCACAAGAATTTTTTTTAAAGTACACAGAATACTAATAGTCCTTTGCATAGATTCATTTCTTGGGTTTAAAAAAATTTTTTGTGACCCTCCAGGGCCTTGAGCATGCTAACAACAGGCCCTGCCATTGAGGTACAACTCTATCCTTCGGTTTACTTGTTGTTTAATTTTGCCATGTACACATTATCATTTGGGATCTGTCTATTCATCCATAATATTTTTCCAAACCATTTGAGAATAGTTTGGCAGTTTACCTATAAATACTTCAGTTATATTTTGTAAGAATGATAATTTTCTCTAATATAATCATACTACTGTTATCTATCTCAATTGTTTTTGTGTGTGTGTGTGTGTGTGGTACTTTGAACTCAGGGCCTATACCTTGAGCTGCTCCACCAGCCCTTTTTTCAGAGGGGTTTTTTTCGAGATAGGGTCTCAAGAACTATTTTGCCTGGGCTGGCTTGGAACCTCCATCCCCCTGATCTCTGCCTCCTGAGTAGCTGGGATTACAGGTGTGAGCCACCAGCCCATAGCTACTTCAATTAATTTAACCCTGGGGTGATACTTTTGTCTGATCTAGTGTTCATATCCCAATCTTGTCAATTAACTCAATTTATTTTATAGCATCTCTTCCTCCCATTCTAAGATCCAGTCTAGGGCAAGGGATTGCACTCATTTACCCTTTTTCTTTTCTCTTTTAATCTAGAAAATTTCCTTAGCCCCTCTAAGACATTTGTGACATTGAAATTTCTTTTTTAAGAAGACAGGTGCTTTTTTTCTCATTTAGTGTTCATTTGGTTCCTCCCGTGGTTAGATTCCAGTTACACATTCCCCAATGGAATACTACATAGGCCATGTGTCCTTTTCAGTCTACATGACATCTGCCTGTCCCATTTTGGCAATGTTAAAAATGATAACTTAGTCAAGGCATTGTCCAGTTTCACACTGTATAGTTCACTACTTCTTCCCTAGTCATTAAAAAGCAATCTTAAACTCAGCGTGGTGGTGGAGATGTCTATATTCCCAGCACTTGGGAGGCTGAGGCAAGAGGATTGTTAGCTCCAGGTTATCCTAGGCTACATGGTGAGACTTTGTCTCAAAAGAAAAAAGAAGAGCAATCTTAAAGGGCTCTACCATTGAGCTACATCCCCAGTCTTGTCATGTTTTTGTTTTATGTTTATTTTTATTTATTTTTGTGTGTGTGAGAGAGACATATTTTTAAACACCCCCTTACTTTCTGGCATAACAAGATGCTCCAAGCTCATCTTATGCCGTTCCCCATCTGATGGCCAACTTCCTTTTAACGATATCCATGGCACCTGCTACTCAAGACGAAGGCTTGAAGGTAGTGCCTGAGGGGCATAAAAGAAGAGGGCTTAGGAAGGGTTGCTGTGGTCAACAGTTTCAGAGATAGTTGAAAGGTAAAGGACAGGCAACGTATGCATTCCCTGACATCTTGGAAGGGTGTTCTGCACAAGGAGAGAAGTGCATGAACCATGAAGCTTCAGGTACTGAGCCCTCTGCCATGTGCTGGGTACTGTGAGGACACATGGAGGAGGCAACTATGGTCTCATAGGACAGACACACAATCCACTACTGAAAGGGGATTCCATTGTGCTGTCAATGAGGTAGATAGAGGAGTTAGGGGAGTTCTGGAGAGAGGATGCACTTATGGCTGGGAGGATGGTAGAAGGGATCATTGAGGTGATTTTCAGGTTAGACCTTGAAGGAGGGTAGGATTTTGAAGAATAGATATCCAGTCAAACTAGAGGTCACAACTTACAAGTGCTGACTTAAGTCTGAGTTTGCAACTTCACTCAACTCCATTCCGGTGCTCTGAGGAACATTTAGAGCTTTTAGGGACAGAACTCTCACTTAATGCCCTACTAAGGAAAGAACTGTGTGACGCCATCTAATTTTTATCTTCAGACACAGATGAAATATGCCCTTCATTCACCAAACTGAGCTTCCACAGTGCGGTCGTTGGGACTGGACTAAGTGTAAAGTTGATGCTCTACACGGAGAGAAACCAGACCTGCGCACAAATCGTCAACTTTACAGCTTTGGGGAACTTGAACGTCACCAAGAAAACCACCTTCGTTATCCATGGGTTCAGGCCAACAGGCTCCCCTCCAGTTTGGATGGGGGACTTAGTAGAGAGTTTGCTCCTTGTGGAAGACATGAACGTGGTGGTTGTTGATTGGAATCGAGGAGCTACAACTGTCATATATACCCAAGCCTCTAGTAAGACCAGAAAAGTAGCCGTCATCCTGAAGGAATTTATCGACCAGATATTGGTAAGAGAGACTTAGATAATTCCGGGCCAAATTGAAACTGACCAATTATCTGGAGGTTTAAAGCCAGGAGATAATCTTCAGTGAGTGGGGGGACTATTTTCTAACATTTTACAAATCTGAATAAACCCAAAGGAAGGTGAGGAGGGACTGCATGTAAGGTCCATAAATATGGTTGAGCAGGTTGTCCACTGCCAGGACACTGATTTAAGGGAGCAACAGTGTCATTGATATTGTAGCTTTATATACTTTTTAATGATAATTTCCCCATAGAAGATGACACAGTGTCTTGGGAAAGGGTCTTTCTGTAGTACACATAAAGGTGTCTGAAGAGTAGGAAAGGTTCTGTCTAAAGGTTTCCAGGTCTAAATGTCTAGCACTTCTTTAGCTTCTGTAGCTGTTTCTTCTGCTAGATGGGCCAGAAGATTAGTGTTCAGATTATTCAAAATCCAAAAAAAACCTGAGACACATGGTCCAATGAGGTTTGTTTTTAGAAGACTTACCAAGGTGAAACATAAAATTTTATTTAGTGATCTATCTTATGAATTATCCCTTTTAATAATAACAAAAATGACATAAAATCAGGACAATTTCAGAGAGAGTCAGGCCTGGTAACCACTGTGGCTGGGGGTGACATGAGTTTTACTTTAGCCCCCCTACCCTTTCCTATGCCACAGCCCTGGGAAAGAGAGTATTTGAATGGCTCAGGACAAGCTGTCCCAGTGGCCTGTGGACAGTGTGGCCCACTCTCCCCCACTTCTTCCCTTCTTTTTGTCCCTCTCCATCGTGACTCCATTAACTGAACTAGAATAAGGATAAGGGAGTTCATGGAGATGTATTGTCATTTCCCTCCCCAGTCTGGAAGTCTTTAAAGATGTTTTGGTTTGGCTTCTAACAGAAGTGTGAGTGGTAGGCTGGTTTGCATCCTGTTCTGCTCCTTCCCCAACTGCCTGACCTGGGGCAGATGACTTCAACTCTGGGCTTCCATTTCCTCATCATATAATCAAAAGAAATAGTGAGTGTGTGTGTGAGAGTGTGTGTGTGTGTGTGTGAGAGAGAGAGAGAGAAAGAGAGAGAGAGAGAGAGAGTATATAATACTGGGATTGAACCCAAGCCTTGCACATGCTAGACAAGTATTCTATCATTGAATTACACCCCCAGCGCTGTTGTAACGTATAAATGAGACCATGGATGTAATGTACTTAGAAATATTTCTCCAAAATAAACAGCTAGGAAATTTCTCCAAATGTATCAACTTCTCTGACCTTCACATTTATAATCATGGACTTCTTGAAATTCCAGGCCAACGGAGGTTCTCTTGACAACATTTATATGATTGGAGTAAGTCTAGGAGCCCATATATCTGGCTTTGTTGGAGAAATGTATGATGGGCAGCTGGGGAGAATTACAGGTAAGACTCCTGTGAACCAGCAGGAGGTAGCAGCTGGGACAGGTGTTCTGTAGGGGTGTTATATGGGCAATCCAAGTCCTGGGGTTTGAAGCCAGCACTTCCAATGGGTCCTGTTCTGCAAAAAGAAGACCAGAATAACATTGACTTCAGATTATTGGCTAATAAATATATGCAAAACACTTTGCAAATTTTTTATGCTATAGAAAAGATTGGCAATGACTTTATCTCTCTGATGACTAGAAAAACAGCAATTTCTCATGGGGATTTGATTTGTGTGCCTGAATAGAGAACCTTTTTCCTTTCAGTTAAACCAGGATGACCTTAATGGCATACCTAGCACTCTGCAGTCCTTAGGCACAGCTGTAGTCTTGTATTAGGAAGACGAGATGGGAACTTTGATGGCAGGGCCTTCCTCTCTAAATATCTGAGTTAGCGTTCCAGCTAACTCAGAATGAAAACAGTCAGAAATGCAGCCGGTCCCCTCGATGGGATCTCTTGCTTGGAGTTTAGGAACTTTCCACAGCTGCTCAAATGGCTGAGGGCAGCTCTCTCAGACCAAGGCCTCTCATACTACCTTCCCCAGAGTCTGTCCTCATGCTGAAGAGTATTTTAAATCTAGGAAATGTGGAAAGTAGAAGTGGATGGAGGGAGGAGAAATGTAAATTATTCAAACCAACTACATTTGGGAGGTAACCTTTCAAGATCCCAAGTCTGAAGATGCTACTTAAACTTAGTCATCTCTGTCTCTGTCCCTGTCTTTCACACACACACACACACACACACACACCATGCTGGCTGGCATCCCCTGTAGCCCTGGTACTTAGGGACACATTGTTTGTTGTTGATTTTTTTTTTTGCTTTCACACAAAGGCCAAGGTTACCTCATCTTATTTACTTGCTTCCCTAGGGAAGCTAAGTGGTTTTTAAGTTTCAAAATGTATTGTTACTATGTTTTAGAAAGCAATGTATTTTAATTTAATTAAAATTTTTTTTACAGTACTGGGGTTTGAACTCAGAGTTTTGCACTTGCAGCACTGTTACCACTTGAGCCATATTTCCAGCCCATACTTTAAAAAAATTTCCCTTAATCTCAGCATTCAGGAAACTGAGGCAGGAGGATCTCAAGTTCAAAGCCAGCCTGGACTACATGGCAAGACCCTGTCTCAAAAAAGAAAAAAAGAAAGAAAGGAAGGAAGGAAGGAAGGAAGGAGGGAGAAAGAAAAAGAAAACAATGTTCCTCATGTGTAGAAAAAACAGGTGGCTTGTATTTGTCTCTGTCCTCCTCTATTGGGAGTTTCTCTTCTGGAAGTGAGACTTTATTGTACCCAGAGGTGTGCTTGAAAATAGACCAGTTCTTTAAAAAACAAAACAAAACAAAAGAGTGAGAGAGAGAGAGAGAGAGAAAGGAAAGACAAGAAAAGAAGAAATGGAAAAGCCCTTATTTGTAGCAAGGGCTGATTTCTATGGTGTAAAATTCCCACAGTGGCTGCTCTCAAGCTACAAACATGACATTCCTGACCAGAGTTTGGGAAAAGATGAGCAAAAGCTGCTCTCTGGCCCACCACAGCCTAATTCTACAGGCAACACTACACCTCCTAGCATACCTGTTCCCACAGCTACTGTGAATGTGAGCTTCACATTCATGGTCTCTGATCATGGACAATCCTCATCCCAGTCTTGCTTATCCCCGGGGTGCTGTGACCTGCTGAGGCCTGGATTCAGCTGATGGGCCTCTACTGACTTCCCATGTTCTCCCTAGCTCTGACCTTCTCTGAGCACCAAGGTCAATCTCAGCTCTCCTTGAGGGCAACTTCAGAAATCTGGCATTTCCCCTTCTCCCCTTCCTCATCTGAGTGGGCTCACTGGACTTCGGGGTGGGGATGTGTCCTGTTTCCCAAGGACACAAGTCACTAACCTCCCACACATAGTTTAAGTCGGCCTGGGACTTACCTAGGCCATGAATGGCTGCCTCCTCTCTTCATATTCCTATTTTCTGTCCTTTCTTTTGATATTTTGTTTATTTTTATTTGATCTTCTCTAGGCACAACTCCCGCTTTTAAATTTTATTTGTTTGTTTATTTATATATTTATTGTGGTGGTGTGGGGCAAACCCAGGACCTCATGCATGCTAGGCAGGCATTTTACCTCTGAGGTATACCCCCAGTCTAGGAATATGATTTTTTGTTGTTGTTTCTTTTTTTGAACGGTACTGGGACTTGAACTCAGGGCCCTGCATTTGCTAGGTGAGCACTCTACCACTTGAGCCACTCCCCCGTCCTTTTTGCTTTTAGTTTGTTTTCCAGGTAGAGTCTCCTACTTTTGTTTGGACTGGTTTCTGACCTTGGATCTTCCTACCTCCACCTCCTTTGAATAGCTGGGAGCACAGGCTTAAGGTCACCATGCCCAACAGGAATCTGTATTTTTAACTGGATGGTGGACTTTCAGAAACAAAGTAGCCACTAGCCACATGTGGGCATTGAGCACTTGAAACATGGTCAGTGCAAACTGAGATGTGCTATTAGTGCAAAATACATGCTGGCTTTTGACTATTAAGAATGAAAAGAGGGAGAAATGAACCAAGCCTTGTATGCACATATGAATAATAAAAGAAAAATGAAAAAAAAAAGAATGAAAAGAAAAGAAGATAAAAAAAATCTCAATTTTTTAAATTGGTCACACTGGCATGATAATATTTTAGATAGATTAGATTAAATAAAATGCATTCTTAAATAATATTCCCTGTTTCCTTTTTACTTTTTTTTTTTTTTGGTCTGTCCTGGGGTTTGAACACAGGGCTTCATGCATGTAAGGCAAGGGTTCTACTGCTTGAGTCATGCCTCCAGCCCTATCTTTTTTACATTTTCATGTGGCTTCTAGACAAATTTGAATCATAAATGTTGCTCACATTAAATTTCTATTGAGAGCAGTCTTAGAGAGTTCATGGTGACTTGAGAGAAAGCACAAGTTGCCCCTGAAATTACCTGCAGAATGACTGATGTCTTTCTTGGGGAGAGGCCCAAAGCTTTCATCAAATTCCCACCTAACTATTGCTGCAACAAAAGTCAAGGATCACTGTTCCAGACACTATTCTGCTGATATGAGAACAGTAAGAGCTACCTTACTTTTTCTATTCTGTTTCTATTCTAGAATAATCTCAGAATGTTGTGGATTCAGTTTAGAAGTGCTTTTTCTTGATTGATTGATTAAGAATGGGTGTCACTGTTTAGCCCAGACTGGCCTTGAACTCTTGATCCTCCTGCATCAGCCTCCCAAGTGCTGGAATTACAGGCATGTGCCATTAGCAGTGCATTTATTAATCTTTTGAAGTAGCTATTAATGCTACCTCAATTTTACAAGATAAGAAAACTAAAGTTCAGAGAGATAAATCAACCTGCTTAAGGTCACACAGCTGGTTAGTGCTAACTTTGGAACTCCATGTCTGTCTGCTTGCTCAGACTACGTAGGTTTGGGGGCAAGTTTTGCTGTAAATTTGACTGACATTTTCAGCTGATCATTTGCTATGACATCACTATGGATATCACAAGTCCAGGTTTTGCCTGTTGACGGTCCTCGTTTATGCCTCTAGTCCTTGCATATGATTTGTACTCTCCTCACTCTCAGAATGGCCTGGTGTAGACGTTTTATCGGCCATGGATCTGGAGGTTGCTATAAACTGACTCTCACGGTTCATTTTCTTAGACAGGAAGTGATTCTATCTGATGCAAGGAAGGGGAAGTCTATGGGGCAAATTCTTTCCAAGGCTGTGGAGTTTTCCTTGTGTTGAGAGTAGCTTATTGACTTGGGTGCCTGGGCGTTGGCCCATCTCCTCCCACATCAGTTTCAGTTGGGAGTAGACAGGAGAAAGGCTGGAGTGTGTGTGTTGGAAGGGGGAGGGGGAGAAGCTAAGAGAAGGCAGTTAGCAAAATAAATGCCTCTAGGAAGTAGCAGAGCATTGGGAGAGGAGGAATGGAGAAGCTAGAAGCAGGAAAGCTGAAGAAAAGATCCTATCTTCTGGGTTTTATACGTAACATTGGGGGACAGGGGAAGCCATCTAAAATGACATCCCATAGGGTCTAGGGGTGTAGCTCAATGGTAGAGCACATGTTTTACATGTATGAGGTCCTAAGCTCAATCAAACAACACCAAAACCCCAAATCAAATGTTCACACAGAGTAACCTACTGGGCAGAGCTCCAAGGAAGAAAATTATATTGACAGATTAAAGCCTCAAGGGAGACAGACGTCCCTTGATGTGTTCACTCCACATCAGGCCATCCACATCAGCTTTTTTTTTTTAAGTTCTTAATTTGTAATTACAGCATCATAGGAACTCCTGTTTTACCAGCTGCTCTTAGCAGTGATGAGGAACACCCATCTAACATTGACCAAGAACAAGAAATCAGGTTAGGCATTGTGGGATGGGTTAGATTGGCTATATCTGTGGGGAATTGCACCCTCTTCCATACATGGTCCAGTCCCTGGCCTGACGGGCAGTTTTACACTTTCCTGTTGAGCTGGCTCAACTCAGCGCTGTGACACCACGAACTCAACAGATGGGGAGGATTATGCGGTGAGGCTGGGTGTTAGCCAAGAAGCCTAACTCCCTGAACCTCAGTGAATTAATCTGTAAAAAGGGAATCATAATAGCTATCTGTAAAGGAGTGGGGTTAATAACTGAAGGAAGGGCTGAGTGGGGTCTCTGGATCATCAGTCTAGCATCTGCCTTTTCTCCTGTATGCAGCCTGTGGTGCTTTTTGCTTGATGATCTGCCATTTGTCCCCAGTCAAGTGCACTTTCTGCTGCAAAGCACTGCCCAGTTGGCCTCCTCGTGGAGTCTGCGAGCTGTTCTCCGGGGCACTGCCAGGGTAACCATCTCTACTGTGGGAAAGAGCCACAGGGCTGTGGACAGGCACCCTGACAAAGCAGAATGGGAGTGTGGGTGCTCGCCCACCCTTGGGCACCCTGCAGCATGTGAACCATACTCACCTGAAGGGATCAAAGGTTTGTGTGAGTGACTCATGGCGTGAGGCTGCCAAGCCACTCTGTTTTCCTTCCAGGACTCGACCCTGCAGGGCCTTTATTCAACGGGAGACCTCCCCAGGATAGATTAGATCCCAGCGATGCACAGTTCGTTGATGTCATCCACTCCGACATTGATGGTAACATTCCTATTCTTGTGGGCCACTGGCCCCCAGACTCCATGGTCTTCCCTGGGGACCATGGTACTGGGACAAAACAGGCTACTCCAGGTGCCCTCTTTTCCCACGGGGCAGGATTCCAAATCTGCAGGAGCGCTGACGGGAAGCTGGTTCAGCACATGCCCAGTGTTTCGTGCTGGAGTGGGGTTAATTTCCTCATCATCTCCTCTTACGTTTAAAGTGATCATAGTGCCCAGTCAAGGACAGGCTGATTTGTCCAACAAGTGGACAGATGTTTCCTAACATGCAACTGGATTTAGATACATGATTACTTGGGTGTGCTGGTTCTTTCTCATTATTTCCTTAAACTGATATTCCTCTCCACACAGAGCAACTCTGACCTACCTCTAGCTCCCTGGCTCTCTGTGGATCACAGCCTATTTCTGTCTTTCAGGATACCAATTAATATCTGGGACTGGGTACATATCATGTGGATTGAAGTGTTCAAGGATGAGTGTCTACTATACCCACATGTCTAGGACAGGAGCTGGAGTAGGAATGTGGGGAGGAGAAAGGGGAAGAACAGACTGGTGATTTAATTGTGCATCCTCTTTATGACATGACCACTTAAAAAACTTTTTTTTCTGGTGGTACTGGGTTTTGAACTCAGGGTCTCAAACTTGCTAGGCAGGTGCCCTACTACTTGAGCAACACCCTGGTCCTTTTTGCTTAAGTTATTTTTCAGGTAGGGTCTTGAGTTTTTTGTCTGTGATGACCTGGACCACAAATCCTCCTACTTAAACTTCCTGAGTAGCTGGGATGACTGGTACACATCACTATGCTCAGCTTTTATTTTTAAGATAGAGGTCTCTTGAACTTTTTGCCCAGGTTGGCCTCAAACCTAGATCCTCCTGCTCTCCCCCCAAGTAGCTGGGATTACAGGCATGAACCATGACCACTAAAAAAATTCTTGATATGGGGATGGGGATGGTGCTAATTATGCCCTAGCACCACCAGAAAAAAATTATCAAACAAACAAACCCCTGACCATGAATCATGGGCACTCTGGTGTGGCACTCAGCAATAGTTTGTCTTAGAAGAAATGTTGCTTTGTGAAGCAGGTTTTTTGTTACATGAAGTTTGCAAAGCCTTACCTTACTTCAGTGTAGTACCTCAGTGCCATTTTAATGCTTGATGGGAAAAAAAATGCTTGATGGAAAGTGAATTTTGAATAAAAGAATATAAGCTTTGCCATCAGGAAGATGTGACTCAGAACCTAGGTTTTGCTCTTTCTGGTGACATCGGTCAATTCCTTAAGGCCTCTGTATCTTCATTATAAGTTACCTCCTCTGCACTTACCCGGGGCTACCTTGCAAACATTTTGAAAATCTGAAGAAAGGTATGTAAGATACTTAGTATCATACCCATAGACATGCATAGGTTCTCAACATACAATAACTATTATCACTATCATGATGTACTATATGTGTTCATATGCATATATATGTGGACATATATACATCAACTCTTTTTTTTTTTTTTGCACTACTCAGGGTTGAACTCAGAGGCTTTTGCCAAGCAGGTGCTGTACCATTTAAGCCACCCTGCCAGCCATTTTTACATTGAGATAGGATCTTGCTGTAAGCCCAGGCAGGCCTGGACTGCAATCCTCCTATTTATGCTTTCCTGTGTAGCTGCAATGACAAGTACATGCCACTATGCTTAGTTTTTATTGGTTGGTATGGGAGCCTCATGAACTGTTTGTCCAGGCTGACCTTGAACTGTGATCCTCCCAATGTCTGCCTCCTGAGTAGTGAGGATTACAGGAATAGGCCACTGGTCCAACCTTAGATCAATTTTTTAATCAAGAATTTTACTGATAATTTTGGGGTTACATAGATAAAATAATCAGTTGTTAAATCTATAATAGTTAGGCCCCCATTTTCTAGAAGTATTTCCAATCTTTTCCCCACCCTGGATGCTAAATATTTTTTAGAGATTTTTGCCTATGAGCTAAAAATCCAATTTTTCCTATCTTATTCATTAAAGATTTAAACAAATGCAAGTCTGGGCACACAGTTCATGCCTGTAAGCCCAGCTACTCAGGAGGTAGAGACCAGAAGGATCTAGGTTCAAGGCCAGTCCAGTCAAAAAGTTACTGAGATGCCATCTCTATCAATAAGCAGGGTGTGGTGGTACATGCCTGAGATCCCAGCTAATTAGAAGGAGCCCAGTTGAGGCTGGCTGCAGGCAAAAATGCTAGATCCTATCCATAAAATAACAAAGCAAAAAGGACTGTGCATGGCTTAAGTGGTAGAGCCTGCCTAGCAAGTACAGGGCCCTGAGTTCAAACCCCAGTACTACCAAAAAGGGGAAAAAAAAAAAGCTTTACACAAATGCAAACAGAAGCTTATTAGAGGGTTCCAGCCAAATGTAAAGAAATATATCATTTAGCAGTGACTGAGTGATCAAAATCCCTTTGTCTTTAGAAGTAGTGGAATTAAATTCTGTCATTATTTTCATAGTCACCTGGTAATGGGATGGATGATAAGGAATTTACTTCCTGTTTTCTAACTAACTAGCCAGGTAACTTTGGGAAAACTATTTAAATGGGTATAGCAATAATGATAACAACAACAACGCAGCCCCTGCCCGCATCCTCCAGACAAATGAGCTGTGGGCTGTGAAAGGTGCTGAGGACAGTGTGTTCTTTTTAGCGCTGGGCTACAAAGAACCATTAGGAAACATAGACTTCTACCCAAACGGAGGATTAGACCAACCTGGCTGCCCCAAGACAATATTCGGAGGTAAGTGCAGATACTTTCCCTCTTGGAAAACAGTTGTTTGAAAAAAGCGTATCAAAAAACCGATTATTACACTACATGGAGTAGTTTTTAATAGGAAACAAATTTCTTCAGATGACAGAGGTGGTACAAATGCAAATTATAAATTGCAAACTCAAATTCACAAAACAAAAGTAAAGTTAGAGCTTATAACATGAGCGTGTAACAGCATGAGATTACAGGCCTGTAATCTCAGCTAATTGGGAGGCAGAGGTAGGAGGATCACTAACTGAGGGCAGCCTGGCGACACCCTATCTTCAAAATAAATTAAAGGATAAGAGCTGGGGGTGTGGCTCAAGTGGGGGAACACTTGCCTAGCAAGCTGGAGTTCCTGAGTTCAATCCCCAGTACTGCTAAAAGAAACAGGGAGTTGGAGTGCAACAAAAATTAGGTACAGGCCAGAATATAAAATCCCATTCCTTAGTGCTCTAGATTTATATTTCACCACTGCAAGAGAAAGGTAACAACCATGTAAATAATTCTCAAAAGAAGAAAAATGGTGGCTTTATATGGCCCCATCAGAATGACAGTGTTTGAAAATAATCCAGCTGAAAAGGCATAAGTAGGGCCACACATATTGTACCACAGTGTACCATAGCGTGTTCAAATTCCCTTATCCTGTGTGACAGAGTAACTAGCTCCACCAGTAGAGAATAGCAAAGATGATGTGTTTTGCTTATAAAGGAAAGCCCTGTGTTGTTATCAACCTCATTATTTCTGCAAAAGAAAGTTTGAGGAACAGTAAGTGCTGTACAGTCCAGCTTAGCCCATACCAGCCCCATGTTTCTTTCCTCCCACCCCTCTTTGTGTCTCTTTGCCTTTTACTTATCTCTGTGGGCACAAGTGGACTGTAGAAGAAGCAACAGTGATCTAATTCCAGCACCCAGTGCCTCTCCAAGCCACGAGCTCACAACCACAGCTCTTCATGGGTTTACCATTTCCTACTCAGATCCTCACCTTTACTGGTTACCCTTTTTGGGGACTCACTTCCCTTTGAATGACATGAACAGCTTTTCATCTCCAACTCTTTTGACATCCATCTCTGTGCCTCATCAGCCTCCTGTCTCACTATCACACCTCATGACTCCCACTGAGAACCAACCTGAGTTCTGCCTTTCACCAATTCTTGCCCATTCATGACTTCTGGTGCCTCTTCCTAAGGTTCAGCACCTCTCATTTACCCTGGTAGCAAAAAAGAGAGGCTTGCCACTTGGCTGCTATCATGAATACCCTGTGTGCCCCCAGACTCTTAGGTCTCTGCCATAGCAGTCCCACCTTTGTCTGGGGACAGTGCTGGAGAAGCCCTGAAGCCTTGTTGATTGAGTTCAAGGTCCAGGCAAGCTAACTGTCCCAGGTCCTCAGTGCCAGAGAATTCTCTTGTTCATCTTTTGTTGACATCCTAGCATTACTACTGATGCATCTACTCTAAAGATCTCCCTACCTGTGAACTCTCTCTCCTAAATGTTTATCACACCTGAGAGAGCCATTCCATCTATCCTCACCCTCGTTCACAAGGGTGCTTCCATTCACATCCCTTCCTGACCTTCCCCATCCATTTTCAAAGCTTTTCCCTCTGCTTGCTCTCCTTGGGGGTTTTCCTCTACCAGCCTGGCCCAGAGCCTTTTCCTGGTATCTTGTTCCCTCTTCAGTATCTCATTTCTTGTGCCTTCAGGGTAACTTGCCCTCTCATGAAAATTTGTAGGGTATCTCTGATGATCCCTGCAGTTTTCTCTTCCTCTCACCGCATGCAAGGAGGGTCTTCCTTTCTGCTTCCATCACCTTGCAGTCCTTCCTGCTAACCCCACTTTTCAGGGTCCACCCACACTGCTTTGCTGGAGGTAAACTTCTTCAAGGTCACCAGTAGCCTCCCAACCACTGGATGGTGGAGCTCAGGGTCCTTTCCCTGCTTCAGTCTTCTAGAAGGCTCCAGCTTAAGGTCCTACTTAAAATTCTTGCTTTCCTCCTGACATCAAGAGTTTTCAATGGGCTCTCCTCCTCCATGGCCCTTTGAATAGAATTCCCTTTAGGCTGAGTCACAGGTCATCTGATTTTCTTCTTGCACTACTTTTTTTTTTAAGTATTTAATCAATTTCCCTGACTTCGGATTTTATCCTGGAAATGAGAAGGAAGAATTGGTACAAATTCTAATTTACCACATATACCGTGGACTCTACCCAGCAGCCCACACCCCTTTAGAGGGTCTTCACTCCCAGAATGACCCATTTCCATGCAGCTGCCACCCGTGGTGCCCACTTACAACTGAGGCCAGGTCCCAGGATTTACAGCTTGGGCTCATGTACTTTCTTATGTGGTCTGCCTCTTCAGAGGATTTTTTTTTTTTATAGTGCTGGGAATGGAACCCAGGGCCTCACACATGTAAGCATGTGTTGTACCACTCAGTTGCACTCCCAGCCTCTGCTCAGAGAATGCTGATATAAAAGAATGTGGTCCTTTATTATCAGTCCTAGTTCCTTGACCCTCACTTGGTGATCCTTGCAGGCTCACCATGCAGAGTGCTCTCACACAACACACCTGCTAATGGCCTTCTCATAGGATACAGGGAGACTTCATCTTGCCGGCCCAATTAATGTGTCACCAAGTTCCTATGGCTTTTCAGTAAACTTCAGGTTTAGTCCTTAATTAAAATTCAAGGCTAGCAGAGCGGGTGATTCAAGCCTGTAATCCTTAGCTACTTAAGACAATAGGGATCACACGCAGTTTGAGGCCAGCTAGGACAAAAAGTTCTCGAGACCCCATCTCAGCCAATGTCTGGCCATGGTGGTGTGCACCTGTCATTCCCAGCTACATGAAAATCACAAATAGAAGAATTATGCTCCAGATGAGTCTGGGCATAAAGCAAGTCCCTGTCACAAAAACAACCTACACAAAAAAAGCTGACAAGTGTCTTGTGGTAGAACACCTGTCTAGCAAGCATGAGGCCCTGAGTTCAACCCCCAAAACCACCAAAGAACAATTTAAAATAATTTAAGTCTATGTGCTAGCTCCACCCGCCCCCATCTTCCATTCTGCAGCAAAGTAGCAATTCTCAAGCTTTTAGCCCAGAATCATATAGAAGGCTTGCCAAAACACAGATTTCCAAGACCCCATCCCCACAGGAGCAGTGTTCCATAATTCATATTTATAACAAGTTTCCAGGAGAGCAAATACAGCTGGTCTGGAGACAGTATTTTGAGAAATTCAGTAGGAGAGCAGCAAACACAGGTTCTAGAGCCACATAGACCTGGCTTTAAAATTCCTCTTTGACACTTACCAGCATGGGCCTCAAGTTCTCTGTGCCTTAGTTTTCCCATCTAGAAAATGAAATTATAGGATTGAGAGGGTTAGCAATATATTACATAAAGTACCTCCTACCTAGGATGTTATTATGCACAATAGTGTTTCTAATTTGTCTATTCCAAAAGCTATACAATTATAAATTTCTGGGTTTTTGTTCATTTGAGACAGGGTCTTCCTAAATTGGCTAGACTGACCTTGAATTTTCAATACCCTTGCCTCAGCATCCTGAGTAGCTGGGATTATAGGCATGTACCACCATACTTGGCTTTAAAAATATTTTAAATTAGCTCAGAGGGTATGAGTAATAGCAGTTATTATTGGGAGGTAGTACTGGGGAATTGAACCCAGGGCCTTACACATGCTAGGCAAGTACTGTACCAGTGAGCTACATTTGCCCTGCAATTTTAATTCACAAAAAATACATCTGTTTTTTTCTGAACCATGAAAGTATTGTCACAGACCAGCACCAGTCCATAAGCAACATTTGAGAACCACTGAGCAGTTTTATTTCCAATGATTTCCCAGCGTTTAGCAATGGTACATCATGTCTCCCTTGGTTGCTTGCCTGCCTGGTCTCTTGTCCAGTTCCAGGCCTCATTGCTTTTGATAATGAATGAAAAATACAGCAGTAATCAAAACTTCCTTCCTTCCTTCCTTCCTTATGTTTTTGAAGGTCATTGGGTTCAAACTCAGGCCTTGAGTACTCTGCCACTTGAGCCACGCTCCCAGCCCCCGGCCCCTCTTGCTTTTGACTTTGGCAGTCACTGGGATTATTAGTGTTGACCAGTGACATACTGAGAAGCTCATAACCAGACCTCTAGTTACTAAGTCCTGGGCAAAAGAAGGCAGAGAGGTCTCAGCATACAGCAAACCCCTCTAGAGACTGTGCGTCTTGTTCATCCACCCACCAAGTCCTGCTTTGTTGGGTTTTGTTGTTGTTGTTTTGTTTTGTTTGTGGTACTGGGTATTGAATCCAGGTCCTCACACTTGCTAGGCCAGCACACCCACCAAATCCTTATTGATAATCTTCTATGTGCCCAGCACTGTTCTAGGATCCCGAGCTTGGCCATAAATAGGCCAAGTCTTTATTTATGGAGCAGAGTCATAGTTATTCCATTTGAGAGAGAAGATAGTACTTTATTAGACCTGACAGTGATGTTTTACAGTGAAAGGTTGGGTTCGGTTTGTTTGTTTTGTTTTTGGCTGGTACTGAGGTTTGAAGTCAGGGCCTTGTGATGCTAGGCAGGTACTCCACCACTTGTGGCACACTCCCAGACCTAAGTTGTTTTTTAAAAACTGGGCATGGTGGTGCCTGCCTGTCATTCCAGCAGGAGGATAGTAAACTCGAGGGCAGACATTTGACCAGACACCATCACTGCAGGTGGCTGCAGTATGACTCTCAGACACAGGATCTGTTTAGTCTATGAGGTAGCCTGGCAAAATTAGGTCAGGGATTTGCAGACTTGAATGCTTTGGGATCCTGTGGGGGTGAGGCGGGGAGGATGTTTGATAAAATGCTGATTCCTCAGCCTCCTCTCAGTCTGAAATATCTGTGTTTTATTGAGCACGATTATGATGTCGGCTAATCTGTGGCTCAAACACTGGATGACAATGAAAGACACCTCAATCACTAAGCAAGAAGTCAAGGTCTTTTTTTGCCCTTTAAAAAATTTTTTTACTTTTTAGTGGTGCTGGGGATGGAACCCAGGGCCTCATGCATTCTAAGCAAGTGTTCAACCATTGAGCCACACCCCTTCCTCGTGGTTTTTAGCTAAAATATATTTGTTTTATTCCCATCACAACCTTAGATATAATTTAATCTTTCCTGTGACACTTGACTTTTTCCCCTCCAATACTGGGGTTTGAACTCAGGGCTCTACTGCTTGAGCCATGCCTCCAGCCCATTTTGCTCTGATTATTTTGGAGATAAGGTCTTGCTTTTTGCCTGGGTAGGTCTGGACCACGATCCTTCTGATCTGAGCCTCCCAAGTAGCTAGGATTACAGGTCCCTGGTTCTCCTTGGCTTTTTGTAAGGATTAAATGGGATTGAGCACATTGAAGGTCTTAGCACAGTTTCTGGCATGCAGGAGACATGATAAAGTGTGTGTGAGTGAGCTGTGATGTGGCTCTTTCAACTGCTCTTCTCTAATCATTCCTTTTACAACAAGGAATGGAGTATTTCAAATGTGACCACCAGAGGTCCGTGTACCTGTACCTTGCTTCCCTGAGAGAGAACTGTGCCATTGCTGCCTATCCCTGTGACAGCTACCGGGATTATAGGAATGGCAAGTGCGTCAGCTGTGGCATACCACAAAAGGTGTCCTGTCCCCTTCTGGGTAAGTCCAACAAGCAGTTTTCCCCTCTGAAGAACAAAGAGCTAATGTTTTGGTACAAATCCCAGAACCATTTTACTATCTAAAACTGGGCCCCAAAATTGTATTTACAAAAAAAATTTATCCAGCCAGATTTATTTATTTATTTTTGAAACAGGATTTCACTACATTGTCCCAGGGGGCTTCAAACTCAGTATGTAGCCTAGACTGGCCTGGAACTTCCAATCCTCCTGCTTCAACCTCCTGTGTGCTGGGATTACAGCTGTGTACCACCATACTATGCCAGTCAGGTTTTTCTAGCCAATTTGGTATTTGAGCTCCTCTAGTCTCCTAATTATAAGCAGTGTTAGGGCTGGGCATGGTAGTACAGGCCTGTAATCCCAGCACTCAGGCAGGAGAATTGTAAATTCCAGGCTAGCCTAGGCTACACAGGGAAACCCTGCACTGAAAAAAGAAAACAAAAGACAAATAAATGAGAACAGCGTTAGAAAAGCAATCTGTATAGGATTCCATCCAGCAGTTAGTATACTGAATATACTTTCTATCATGAAAAAGAAGCCTACCCAGGGCACAATCACTTTACATAGCCTGACACCCTCTCTGCTGGGGAGGGTCCACAGTGAGCCAGAGGAGACTTGCAGAGTGACCCCTTCCAACAAGCCGTGCCTGTAAATGCCCTTCCTCCCTAGTGTGGTTCCCTGTGTGCACACACAGGGATGACGGGGGTGAAAGATACTGCGGAGGCTCCTTGGATACTTGCTAGATACTTGGATACTTGAAACAGGATGGCCAGAAGGATTTTCTGATTTTTCACAAAAGGAAAAATGCAAGTTAACAGCAGGGTATGCTATGTAGACAAGTGGTTCAACTTTGATTGTGCTCTAGAATAACCAAGGGAGTTTTTTAAAATTCTGACACCTGGTCTTACCCAGGTCAATTAATTCAGAATTTGGAGGCCATTCTCTAGGGGTGTGGACAGAGGAGAAGAAGAAGCCCCACAGGACAGCACTTGACCCTGGCCTACAGGCACAGATGTGAAGGGAGACGCTCACCTGCTTGGTGACATAGAGACACGGCAAGCCCGTGTTCTGTACAATGTAGTGACCTAATTGCAGTGCTTCAAGAAAGCACATGGACAGTATGGGGATATAGCTCAGGGTAAAGTATGTGCTTAGCATGCATGAGGCCCAGGGTTCAATCTTTAGCACCGAAAATAAAAGCATGATGCTTTTTTTGCAATAATGATGTTATAAGGTATAAACCTAAATCTGTTTCAATGTAGATAATGAATGCATTGCTGGAAAACGTCAAAGCTATTTTTTTGCCTGCATGCCTATATAATTACATACTGATGTTGCATCATTTTAACTCATTTTATAGGATACTATGCTGATAGCTGGAAAGACTATTTAAAGGAGAAAGATCCTCCGATGACTAAGGCATTCTTTGACACAGATGACAAGAAGCCATTCTGCAGTAAGTCCTGAATGCAGTTGTTTCTTTTGTTTGGGTTTTTTTTTGGCAGTATTGGGGTTTGAACTCAGGGCCTTGTGCTTGCTAGGCAGGCACTCTGCCACTTGAGCCACATCTCCATCCTGTGGTTGTTTCTTTTTGATTGATCCTTTCATTTTGGGGATAGCTGAGTCTCAGCTTCCTGGCTAGTTCTTGGCAAGTAAGGGCCATATTAAAGCTTGGGATTTGGAGCTGGAAGGGCCTAGGATAAATCCTGATTCTGTCATATAATAGTTGTGAGACCTTGGTCAAGTCATTTAACCTCTCTAAGTCTCAGGATGCTGATTCATAAAATGGAGATAATATCTATCTTTTAGGATATTAGGGTTAAAATACCAATATATCCAGTCATCACTGGATGGCCACTGTAAGTGCTAAGATCTTCCAGAAAATTGCTTTATTCCTCAGGAGATATGAAATTGGACAGGGAAAATTCAGATGGCAGCCATGTCTATGGATCAGTTCTAGATCTGTAGTAACAATGGTGACCTAAGGATATCAAGAGGTTGAGTATTCCAGGTGGGAGATAATTAGATGATTAAATGCCCTGGGACACAATTAGGATTTGCCTGGGCAGATGTATGTCTTTCCTGAAATCTTGCTTATCTTTTCACTTTTCTTGGGAGCAACGATTGGATTTTCCCTTCCCTTGGAGCCATGTGTGGCAGCCCAGGGTTTGGCACCTAACTGGTTTGTATGGGGCAAGCCCCTCAGCCATAACAGGCCATCAAATGGTAACTCCAGGCTGAACTTATTCCTTCATGGGAACAAAATCTTCCTGAACCTCTTTCTCTTTCCTTGCCAGTCTGGCCAAGAGGGAGAAAAACTGACCCCCATCTTCCCAAAGCATTCTTGACCTTAGGAAGCAGCTAATAAAGAAGAAGATAGCTCTCTGAACATATCACATTTCATTTATTAAACAGGAATTTATTAGGTGCCTATAAGGTGTTACTGGTGGAATTACAAAGAGGAATAGTTAGTTATCCCTTATAGATTATTTTAGTTTTACCTTAAAAAAACCCTACAAGGTTTTATTCCCTACAAGGTATTAAACCCTACAAGGCAATACTTAGCTTGATATACTCACATATTGACCACTTTTTTTTCTTGCATTTTTTAAGTATAGTTAGGGGGAAGTCCAGAGCAGAACAGGGACTCTAAGAAAGGAGACCTGACTTAGTCTGGGGGCCAGGAAAGGCCTCTTGGTAGAAAGGACATTAAGCTGAAACCTGGAGGATGGATTTGCAAAATGGACCAAGAAAGGTGTCAAGTCAGGAAAGGCCTGGAGCAGAGAGAGCTCTAAAGTGCAGGAAGTGCAGGAGGTTTGGCATGGTTGGGAAAGAGATTAGGATGGCCAGGTAGGACAAAGCCCAGATTGTGGGAGACCCTGTCAGCTTTGGAGAATCTCCAAATGGCCACTTAGTTGTTTTATCCTGTGGTAGACAGGAATTGAAATGGACCAGTCATACTCAGCACTAATCCATGAGACTTCAGGCCACAAGGTGGGAACTCATGATGTTTGTACATGGCAACTGGATACCATTGAATTCTGCTGTCACTCTTACCATTCTTACCAAAGAGAAGAGAAAGGGGGAGTGGAAATTTCTGCCCTGGATGGATCTTTGCAGATAAACACTAGAGGAAAAGAAAAGGAGGCTCAATTATTAGGGATGTTGGATTTTGAGAACCGACCCTTTAGGGGAGCAGTTGGGGGTACCTCTCTCTTATGTGTTCTCTTCCTGCTTTGCAGTATATCATTATTTTGTGGACATTGTATCTTGGAACAAGAACATAAGAAGAGGATCTATTATAATCAAACTGAAAGACAAAGATGGAAACATCACAGAATCCAAAATCAATCAGTAAGTTGAGCAGCAGTAGTTTCCTAGTTTGGTTGAAAAAACTAAATCCCAGATATACGTCCATTCTTATTTACTGGCCTGTTCTTTTCTTTGTTCTACAAAAGATAGAACAGGACATATTGCTTAATTGCTTCTCCTGGCTCTTGATCTCTCAGGCTCTCTCCAAGTGTAACTGGTATGATGGCTTTCTTTTCTTCCCTCCCTGCTTTCCCTTTTCCCCTTCCCTCCTTCCCTTTCTTCCTTTCTCTTCCTCTCCTTTTCCTTCTTTCCTCCTTATTTCCTTTGATTAAACAATTACAAAAGTCATCCTTGCTTACTGAAAAGCTTAAATTATAAAAGAATATGCTAATTTAATCATCCCACATGTGTACATATGTCAAAACTTCACATTGTACCCCATAAATGTATACAATTTACAATATGTTATACATAAATGTACAACAATTTTTGTTCTTGGGATGAAATACCTGAGAAAGTCAACTTAAAAGAGGAAAGTTTTATTTTGTTTTAGGATTTCAAAGGTTTCAGTCCATGGTCACATGGCCCCTTTGTTTCTGGGCCTATGGTCATGCAGAACATCTGGTGGAAGGGCATGGCAGAGGAGAACTGCTGCTCACCCCAAAGCAGCCAGGAATTGGGGGAGGGAAGAGAGAGAGAGAGAGAGAATGAGAGTGAGAGTGAGTGTCTGGGCACAAGCCATCCACTTCAAAGGCATGCCCCAGTTATCCACTTCCTTCAACTAGGCTTCACCTTCCTCCTAACAGCCCATTCAGCCGGCTCATCAGTGGATTAATCCCCTGCTGAAGTCAGAGCCCTCATGACTCAGTCACCTCTGAACACCTCCATGGGGCCAAGCCTTCGATGCAAGAACTTTGGTATTTCACATCCAAACCACAACAATTATGATTCATCAATCAAAAATAATATTAATTTCAAAACATGTAAAGGATGCTGAGCACTGGTGGTTCTCACCTGTGATCCTAGATACTCAGAAGGCAGAAATTCAGAGGATCATGGCTCAAATCCAGCTCTGGGCAAATTGTTTGCGAGGCCCTATCTGGAAAGTACTCAACACCAAAAAGGGCTGGCGGAGTGACTCAAGTGGTAGAGCACCCGTCTGGCAAGCATGAGACCCTGAGTTCAAACTCCAGTACTGCCAAAAAAAACAACAAGAAACCCACAAAGGAATATTCAACATAAAAGTACAAGACTTTGCCCCATTCTAACAGTCCCATCTCCAAAGGCAAAAAGCACCCACCACACACACTTTAATTCTTTTATGAGCTCATAAGATACATATATAAACACATATAACATACACACATATATGTGTACATATATACATGTATATATAAATGTTTCTGAAACTCAGAAAATTTAATCTGGAATATAAATTGGAAACACCTTAAAAAATCCAACAATGGGAAAATAGTCAAGTATTACCATGGTATAGAATATCATTCATACATTAAAGCTTTTGTGAACGATAGTAAATAAAAACTTACTATATGCTTAGTGAAAATGTAGGATCTCAAATTATATAAAATTAACTTAACAATGTAAGAAAATGAAAAAGAAATATGCAAAAATGTTAAGAGTGACGTTTGGGTGGTGAGAATATGAGTGGATTTTTTGTTTTTGTTTTCACAGGTTCTCTTTACTTTTTTTATCTTCTTTTTTTATACATATACAATGTGAATACACTTAACACTACTGAATTATACACCAAAAAATGGTCACAATGAGAAATTTTAGGTTATGCATTGTTACCACAATAAAAGAAAAAGAAGGACTGGGGGCATGGCTTAAGTGATAGGGCACCTGCCTGGCAAGTGCAAGACCTTAAGTTTAAACTCCAGTACTAACAACAACAACAACAAAAGATTTAAAAGATACATTAACAAGTATTGGCAAGAATGTGAACTGAAGAAATGGATCCTTTAAATATTGTTAGTGGGAATGTGAAATAGTACAATTGCTGTGGAAAATAGTTTGACAGTTCCTTAAAATGTTAAACATAGAGTTTCCACATGACCCAGCAATTCCATTCTTAGGGTTATAACTGAGAGAAAGGAAAACTTATGTCTACACAAATCACTTAAGCCACGCCCCCAGTCCTTCTTTTTCTTTTATTGTGGTAACAATGCATAACCTAAAATTTCTCATTGTGACCATTTTTGGTGTATAGTTCAGTAGTGTTAAGTGTATTCACATTGTTGATGAAAGGTTCTCCAGAACCTTTTCATTTTGCAAAAAATGAAACTCTATACTCATTAAACAACTTCCCTCCCCCCGCCCACCTCCCAGCCCTAGAAAATACCATTATTTCTCTTTCTATGGATTGGATGACTTTAGATATCTCTTTTTTTTTTTTTTGTGGTACTGGGGCTTGACCTTAGGTCCTACACCTTGAGCCACTCCACCAGCCCTTTTTTGTGAAGAGTTTTTTTGAGATAGGGTCTCACAGAACTATTTGCTCTGGCAAGCTTTGAACTGCAATCCTCCCTATCTCTGCCCCCTGAGTAGCTAGGAGATATCTCATTAAATGAAATCATACGCATCTTTTTGTAGCTGGCTTATTTTACTTAGCATAATATCCTCATGGTTTGATCATGTTGTAACATATCTCAGAATTTCCATTTTTTAAGGCTGAATAACATTCTGTTATATGTACATGCTATGTTTTGCTTCCACATTTTGGCTATTGTGAATAGTGCTGCTGTGAACATGGGTGTGCAAAATCCCTCTGAGATTCTGTTTTCAAGTCTTTTGGGTATATATCCAAAAGTGGGTTGACTGGCTCATGTGGCAATTCTACTTTTAATTTTTGGACAGATCGCCATACTGCTTTCCATCGCTGTTGTACCATTTTCCAGTCCCACTGACAGTGCTTAAGTGTTCCAGGATCCCCAGTGCCTCACTAACACCTGTTGCCCTAATAGACATGAGGTGCTGCTTGTCCCTTTGAACATTTCCTCCACTCTCTGCAGCCCTTCCTTCCTTCCTGGTAAGGGCTATTCCTGGACTACTTTGCATGTTTTCTGCCCCAGCCCTAGAATCAACCATTTTTCCAGAGAGCCCTGGTTCCTTTTAGTGGAGATGGTATTTAGAAGCTAAAATCTGGGTACCTTTTGGGTTAGTTTTACTCGTAGCACTTCTGCAGTCTAGGGGACCTAGCCTTGACTCCAGTGGGGTTGGGGTGACACCTGTTCACATCTTCCCAATCCCTGAACTACAGATCCATGTCTGGAGTAAGCCCACTGTTCCTGAACCCAGGGGTCTCCTCAGCAAACCATGACCTCCTCTCCCAGCTCCCCAGAGGGATGAGATTGTGCTGAATTTTCCCAGTGATATATCTTAAGATCACTGGGATTCTGACTGTGGAAAACATCTCCATACACTTGGAAAAATGTATTAAAACCTAGATTTAACCATATGATCCAGTAATACCACTTCTAGGCCTATACCTGAAAGAATGTAAGTCAGGTTACAATAAAGACACCAGCACACCCATGTTCACAGCAGCACTATTCACAATATCTAAGCTATTGAAACAGCCAAGATACCCTACAACTGATAAATGAATTAAGAAAATGTGGCATTCATATACAATGAAATTTTATTCAGCCATAAGGAAGCATAAAATTTTATCATTCCCAGATAAGTGGATGGAACTGGAGAACATCATCTAAAGTGAAGTTAGCCAGGTTCAGAAAAACAAAAGCCACATGTTTTTGCTCACATGTGGAAGATAGATCCAATACAAATACAAGCATTATCATATAGATATAGATATATAGAACATGTTTCCTAAAATGGGGCTGTTAGAAGAGACTGAGGGAGGAGGAAAAGAAGGAAAGAAAGAAAGTAGTAATAATAAAATACAGCCATCTGTGTAGGAAGAGGATACAAGGACACACGCTGAAGACTGTTAAACAACACAGGATGGGGAAAAAGGGTGAGGAAGAGTAGTGGAGGTGATTGACTTAAGCACAAGAAATTTACAGGTAAAATACCAATGCAAAATTTCCACTGAACAACAAACAGACACCTAAACCATGAAGTATGGGAATATAAAACAGGTCATGATAAGGGGAAGGCACAAGTAGGAGGGGAGGGTAAATGAAGAGGGTAAGGAGGATGAATATGGGTGATGTACTCGCTATATAAGTATGAGCATAGAACACTGAAACCTGTTGAAGACACCATAAGAAAAGGAAAGGGATATAAAGGAGAATAATGAAGGGAATGAATCAATTCAGAGTACAATACATGTATATATGGAAATGTCACAACAAAACCCCTTGTTTAACTATCATAAACTAACAAAAATGTTCTTTTTAAATAAATGAAGGACAGGAAGGTTAAAAAAGGAAACAAAGCCAAAGCAAATTCAAACTCATTACATCTTAAGTCAATACAGGCAAGTTGCTTTTAAAAAGATTTTTTTTAAGAATAACTCATGACAAACTAAAAAAAAATACTACCTGTAGGTGTTTTAACAGATGCCCTTTATAAGATTGAAAATTACTGAAACTTATGTTGACCATGTATGGCCTAACTTGTATTTGTTTTTTTTTTCTTTTGGCTTTTTTTCTTATATCAGTTGGGGAGCATGAACTCTGCAAGCAGCTGTTGCCCTGTCTGTAAATAACATAAGAAAACAATATCCCCTTGTAAAATGTTCCAGAGGGTTGCAGACACATGTTGAAAGATAGGACATCATCTGGCATGTAGTAGGCAGTCATCAGTAGCTTGGGGGTCAGTAGCTTCATTAGGCAGTTCTTTGGAAAAGTCAGCTAGTGCAGGTAATGGGGTCAAGTGGTTGCTTGCTAATCAATGGTTTTTAGGGTACAAAGTTGCTTTCTCTCATTATCAATCTATATCCATTTTTAAGTGTCATTATTTCCTTCCAGTGAACCTGCCACATTTCAGAAATATCATCAAGTGAGTCTGCTTGCAAGATTTAATCAAGATCTGGATAAAGTGGCAGCAATTTCCTTGGAGTTCTCCACAGGCTCTGTAGTAGGCCCGAAGTACAAGCTCAGGATTCTCCGAATGAAGTTGAGGTCCCTTGCCCATCCAGAGAGGTGAGCTGAAGGCAGGGTTTGAAAAGCTACTGTTTTCTTTCTTTCTCTTCCTCCTTATCTTCCTTCTTCTCTTCTTTTTGTTCCTCCTCTTCTTCCCCTCTCCACCCCCTTTTTGGACACAGGGTCTCCTGATATAGCCCAGACTAGCCTCAAGCTCTCAAGCCTCCTGCCTCAGCCTCCTGAATGCTGAGACTAAAGACATGTACCATCAAGCCCAGCCCACTTTCTAATGATATAGTTGGAGCCTGACAAATAGTCTGCTTAGTCTTATGTTTTAACAGGACTCTGTCATTCAAGTGAAGACAGTGAGGAGTTTTCCAAAAATAGTCTTGATTAAAAACAAGCTGCCTATGTTGGGCACAATGGTGTGTTCCTGTATCCCAGACTTGGGATACTAAAATAGGAGGATCCTGAGTTCCAGGCACTACATAGCAAGACCTTGTCCATTAAAACAAAATCAAACCAAACCAACCAACCAAACAAAACAAAAGAAAACAACAAGTAGCCCAGTAATCCTAGAAAAGTATAGTGGTGTGTGCTTAAAGATAAATGGTCCAGCAATCCAAGGAAAGAATGGTGCTGTGGCTTAGAGTTACATGATTCCTGACCAACCACCATGCTGTTTATAAGCTGAAAATTTGTTGTAGAAAGAGAACTTTGTATCACTTGATAAAACAAAGCCTAATGTTTAAAACAGTTTAAACAAAAATTGGATTTTTCCTATTGACAATATAAATGTATCAGTATTGAATTTGATGACTGCACTAATGTCCTTGTTAGAAAATACACACTGAAGAAGTACTTTTTTTGTGGTGCTGGGGTTTGAACTCAGGGCTTCATACTTGCTAGGGAGGTATGATACTGTTTGAGCCCCGCCGCCTGCCCTTTTTGCTCTGGTTATTGTGGAGATAGGGCCTTGCTTTTTGCCCAGGCTAGTCTGGACCATGATGCTACTATTTTTACACTTCCTGCTGCAGTTGTTGGATGACAGGTGCATGCCACCATGTCCAGCTATTGGTTGAGATGGGGCGGGGGTCTCACTAACTTTTTGCTTAGGTTCGCCTCAAACCGTGATCCTCTGGATCTCAGTCTCTCAAGGAATAGGATTATAGGCATGAGCCACGGTGCCTGGCTAACAACATATTCTTAAAAGATGTATGTTCATGAAAAGAGAGAGCAGGGAGGGAGAAGGAAAGGAAGGGTTTTGTTTTTTTTAAATACAGAACTGTGTTTGTATGTTTGATGACAAATGCCACCCTATCATGTAGTCCTAGGTTTAATCTGTGGAGAGAAATGATGTGAGCAGCTATTGTATGTTCACAAATTTCTTTTTCTTGAAGGTTTAGAGTACTCTAAAATATTCAATAATACGAGTTTCTTCTAAGAGGAGAGTCATTACATCTTAATACTGTCAGACTTTAAAAAACGTTTTCTCTGGCTTTTCAAGGACTACATGTCTACTTTATAAAATGTAGGAAGTACAGATTTAGGAAGCAGAAAAATATTGCTAGTAACTAGTAATGTCATTAATTCAGAGATAACCATTGTTCTTATTTTTGGTTATTTTTCTAAGCTTTCTATTATTGCTTTTAAACCTAGTTGAAGTGATATGGTAAATAAAATATTATATTCTGCTTTCTTGTTGCTAATGTTTTACCTACCTAAATATTTTCCTAGTCCATTAGAAACAACTGCTATGTAATTTTATATCTTGAGGATATAATGCAACTTCCTTGACTAGAATGTGGTGTTTTTATTATTTAATTGACAAGGCTATTTTGTCTTGCTTTCCCAGGCCCCAGTTGTGTCGGTATGACCTTGTCCTGATGGAAAATGTTGAGACGTTCTTCCAACCTATTGTGTGCCCAAAGCTGCAGATGTAACAGCTGTGGTGACACATGGACAGAAGCAACATTAAGAAAGCTACATCTATGGGCTCTTAAAGCTTCACCTCACCTTTTCCTCCAGGCTCAAAAAGTACAGAAAAATCAAGGTTATTCTCAGCAGTGTCCTACCAATGTCACATTGCAAAACGTCAAACGACTCATAATTATGAAATGATCCTGGGAATGGAACCCCTAAGTAGGGCAAGTCAGAAATAGCTGGGCTCCCGACAGCCTAGCGCTTTGTCTGGCTGCATCCTGGGGCCTCGTTTGTTCCGACCTGTCGATTCTGCTGCCCATCACAAGGATGCTTCTGGCCCTCAGGGCTGTGGGACACCCATCTTAATGGGAAGGATGATGGACTGGAGGCCTCAGTGAGGACTCCACATATTGTGTGCCAGATACGCCACAGTCCCACGCTCACAGAGGAGATGAGAGCGACCTACCTTACAGGGAGGGCTGTTGTGTGGCTTTAGGAGGCAAATCTATGAAGGGTCTTTTGAAATCCCATGGGTGCACATCTGTGAGAGGTGTGATGAATGTGAATATGCTTTTATTTATTTTGATATGGTTTGGTTCATAGGCAGCCTTTCCTTATGGACACCAGCTTCTTTCCTGGCTGTTTGCTCATGAGTTGCAAGAAAGCCACACCCTGGCTTCCTGCCTTCTCTGAAGTGATGCTGATGGCTGGAGGAGGTGGGGGATGAGCTGACAGCCCTGAGGCAGGGCTGGGACTGGACACTAAGTGGAGGAGGGAAGAAGGGCAGGCAACTCCTCCCTCTTTTTTTTTTTGGAGTTTTGGGGAGGGACCCAGGACTCTAAGCATGCTAAACAAGCACTCATTTTAAGCAATCCTTAAGAAATGTTTGCTTTTCCTTACTACTAGTATAATCCATGATTATTGAAGTAGATCTTAGTAGTAGTGGGGTTGGAGTTTGAACTCAGAGCCTTGTGCTTTCTAGGCAGGGTGCTCTACCACCTGAGCCACTCCACCAGCCATTGAAGGAAATTTTAAAAATGCATAGATGCAAAATAAAAAAATACGTCATCCCACATGGTAGAAGGGATTAAGGTCAACCTTTTGGAATGAAGCTATAACCTGCATTGTTAACATGAATTTAAAACTCTTGAAGTGTGCAAGTCTCCAGGTAGAGGATTTGTTAGACTTTCCTGGAGAGACATGTGACCAACCAAGTCAAGAGGTCCTATAGGGCCATGGCCAGAGAGGCAGGAATGAATGGAGGACAATTCCAGAGGCCAGATGCCCACTGTGAAGGTAGGCACCATCTGTCCCACAGCTGATGTCACTGCTGCAAAGTGTCTGGGATTCCTCAGTGTCACAGACCTGGAACCCTCCTCCTCATTCAAATGATTATTACTCCTTACTGCTTTCTGTGAAAACAGCCCTTATTGTAAAGAAATGAACTTTATTTATAAATGGTAGAAATCTGTGTGTGGCTCATCTTCTTACAGGTTTTTATATGTATCAAGTACAGAGTCTGTTTTACTTAGAAGAATGGCTGAATTCAGTTGCACTTTGACCCCATGGACATCCTGCCATCCCTCCTCCTTCCTACCTTTCTTTAGCAATTCTGAGTAGAGAAATCAGGGCCAAAAAGGCCCTGGTTTTTTTTAGAGTCTGATTGGTCCTGTGTTTTGATTAGCACAGTCACTTTTTTGTCCTCTTTCCCTTGTTCCCAAACAGTCGGTCAAAAAATAGCAAGAAAATGCCAAGAAAAGAATTATAAATTTATAGACTCCTTGGGCCACTGGGTGTCTGGCTCATTGTGGGCCCTGGGTAAGTGGCTAAAGGATGGGTAGGTGGATGGATGGAAGAATGAATGGATAAAGGAATGGAGATGAATTCCAATGAGTTTCAGAATATTGTGACCCACAGAAGTAAAGGCAGTTGCAGGAGTAACCATCTCTTCTCAAAATCTTCCTCCAAAAGCTCCTGAACTTTTGCTCTGTCTCTTGTTGTCCTTGTCCCTCATCTCTTCTGTTAGGATATTTGTCTGGATCTCAAACCCAAGATGCAGTTAAATTACAGTCTCACCCCCACTCCACCAATTCTCTCCTACTCATCATTTGGATCCTAGCTTATATGCCCCTTCTTCAGGGAGTCTTCTTAGACCTCATTTCCACTTATATCACACTGTACCTCCTCCTTCATGCACTTTAAGATTAAAAGAAACCATTTACTTCTGTGCTTATTTCATTAATGTCTGTCTTCTCCATTAGACTGCTTTACAAGGCAGTGACCATGTATGTGTCTGCAACATAGTCTGTGATCAGGAAATACCTTTATTTTTTGGAGGTACTAGGGTTGAACTCAAGGCCTTGTGCTTGATAAGCCTGGAGCTCTACAGCTTTAGACATGCCCCCAGCAGGAAATAGGCATGAAATGATCACTATCTATTATCATCCAAGCCCTGTAGAACCATGCTCTGTTGTTAGCAAAAACCTCTTTTTCACCCTAGCTATGGCCCATTGCTATGAGGGTGCCTAACTTCCTCACCCTTAAACTTTTTCCCAGTTACCTTTGATGCTATTATCTTCGTCCATTATATTTGAAGGTTAGTTGCCCATTTTCCAGGCCCTCTGGAAAAAATAGAAGATGGCGCTTTTTTTCACCCCACATATATATCTTCTAACCATTCCTCAGCAAGCCCACGTGCCCTGAAGTCTGGGAGATGTCCCCCACCCACTTTTAACACCACTGCTAAAACCTTCCAGGACTGAAGATGTTACTGGTGGGTCCCCTGTGGTTCAGTGTCTTCCCTTATTTGTTTTTTCATGACTCTCCCTTCCACTACCAGATCTGCCACCAACTTTGTCCCAGTTTCCACCTCTGCTTTCATTATGCATGTTGGAATGTTTCTGCACCTGTAATTGCCCCAAGACTGTGACTATCACGGAGCAGCTGCTTCCTGACAGAGTGCTCAGTAATGTCTGTAGAGCAGAAGGGCATGGATTCATGCTTAGGAATTTGAGAGACTGGCCTCCAGTCTGATTTAGACATCAAGACACTTAAGTGTGTTCTAAACTTAGAACCACCTGCCCTTGGATTCCTACACATGCTCTCATTCCTGCAGAAACCCATCTTAATCAAAGGAGGCTTTGGAAGCCAGGAACAAACAGAAATCCCCTCATAGTAAATCATTTTTTTCATAGGTGTGTGTAATGAGAGGGAGGGGTGTGTTTGGGGGGGGAACTTGTAGAACCTTAGTGCTATGATTTGGATGTAAAATGTCCCCCAAAGTAAGGCTTGGTCCCCACTTAGCACTATTGGGAGTGATGGAACCTTTAGAAGGTGGGAGCTACAAGGAGGTCCTTAGGTCATTGGGGGTGTGCCCTCTAGGGGAATTGTGGGACCCCAGTTTCTTCATCTCCTCTGTTTGTTTCTTGGCTCATGGTGCAAGCAGTTTTGTATTGCCACATGATCCTGCCATCATGTGTCACCCTTGCCAGAGGCCCAAAGCAACAGGGTCACCTTCAGTTGGACTGGAACCTACAGAACAGTGAGCCAAAATAAACTTTTCCTCTTTATGAGTTGATTGCTTCAGGTATTTCATTATAGCAGTGCAAAGCTAACACACTCAGAAAGAGTTGAACAGTGAGCCCTCAGAAAGTAGAGGTCGTTTGTGGGCCTTTATTCACCCTAGTGTTCTCCTGTGAGTCTCCCAGACTAATTTTGGCTCCCTCCATAAAGCTGCTTCATTGAGTTTTTGGCTACTCACTATATAAGTGGCCCTATTCCAAAGTCTAGGGAGAAGATCCTCCTCCTGTTCAATCAGTTATGTTAGGTAGGTGGTAAATCAGAGTCTTCAGAGTTACTCCTTTCAATTGCTCTGGGCAGGTTTGATTAAGCCAGGAGCAGGTGAGTGCTATTAACAAAGAATCAAGGTAAAAATGCCTAGCAAGTTCACTTTCACTGAGAATTCTTATCTCTTCTTCCCTTCTACTTTCCATCCATCTCCCAGCCTAGCATGTGCTCTTGGTGGGGTTCAGGTTTGTCCTTTGCCAAGTAGCATGGGTATGTGCTGTAAATGAGTGGCCTCAGGGAGCCTGGTGTGTCCTGCAGTGGGTGTGGGGGTCAGGAGGGTTGTGGGGGGACAGAGATCAGGGATGAAGTGGATTGGGAGTGGGGACCCTAGTCCTAGTGTTTTGTTCTAAGCAGATAGGTTGAATAGGAGGACTCAGAGCAGGGGACCAGGGGGACAATTCAGTGGTAGAAAGGAGATGCTTAAGGTGCTGGCAGAATAGTTCAAGAGCTAGAGCACCTGACTAGCAACCATGAGGTCCTGAGTTCAAGCCCTAGTGCTGCCAAAAAAAAAAGAAAGAAAGAAAAGAAAAGAGATGCTTGGGAAGTGAATCTGTAGAGAAGCAGGTTTGTACTTCCCAAAGAGATCACCATCTTGTGTTGGCCAAATCCTATGACCCTAAGAGTTCCCTGCTGTATTTATTTATGATCTCCGACACTGTCCATTGTTTTTTCTAACAGTCTTCCTTGAGCTGTCAGGACATTTTTTTCCTCTTGTCCAACATCCTGTATAAATCATCGTATCCTCTCCTGATTTCAGTCTTCTTTCTTTCTTTCTCTCTTTCTTTTTTCTTTTCTTTTTAGACAAGGTCTTGCTATGTTGTCTAGGCTGGCCTCGAACTTGAGGTCCTCCTGTCTTTGCCTCCCATGTCCTGGGAATACAGACATGTGCTATCATGCTCAACTCTAGTTTTCTCTCTGAAAAAAGTAGTGCTTAGTAAGAGATTAGGCTCTGGAGTTTGCAAGGTGTGTGACCTCCATTGTTTCATTGACTTAATTCTTCCTAAACTACAGTTCCTGGACAGTTAAAGGGGTTAATGAGTCCCTACTTTGGGGGTGGGAATATAGATTAGTGGTAGTGTCCTTGCCTAGCATGTGTAAGGCCTGGGTTCAATCAAGTACTGAAAAAAAAAACCGAGTCCTTATTTCATGAAGGTTGCTATATGAAATAAATAAATTCATGAATTTAAAATGCTTCCTATGATGTATGGAGTATACCATAAGGTCAGTGAATGTTGTCTTTTGTCACTTTACCTCTCCTAGTGTCTCTAGGTCTTCCCTCCTCCCCTCATATCAACTGTCTCCACTAGACAGATGACCTGTCTAGGTTCAGATTAAGTGTCCCCAAAGTCCCATGTGTTAAACTCTTAGTCCTTAGCATGGTACTATTGGGAGGTGGTAGAAACATTAAGAGGTGATGCCTAGTGGGAGGTCTTCAGGTCACTGAGGGTGTGCCCTTGAAGGGACAGTAAGACCTCTAGTCCCTTCCTCTTCCTCTCTTTCATATCCCTGTACCAAGGTGAACCATTTTGCTACATCATGTGCTCCTAACCATGATGTACTGCCTCACCACAGGTCCAAATGCAGCTGGGCCAACTGACTATGGACTAAAACCTCCAAAACTGTGAGCCAAAATAAGCCTTTCTTCTTTAATTTTTTTGAGACAGGGCCTTGCTACCTTTGCTCAGGCTGACTTTAAACTATGATCCTCCTGCCATCCCTTCTGTGGTAGTGCTACCACTATATCCAGTAGCCTTTCCTCAGGCATTTTGTTAAAGTAACAGAAAGCTGACTAACACAACCTCCAAATCTGAAATGTTCAGTCTGAGCTCCAGATTTTCACCTGTTTGTTCAGAGCAAAGGAAAGAGTCTGGCAGACATGGGCTTCCATCCTATTCAGCACTCACTGCTGTAGACCTCACAAGTGACTTTGAACAACTATTTATCCAGTCATTGATAAATAGGATAACGATAATTGCTTCACTGGAGTGGCATTGGCTTCGTCATGTCTGTTTCTCCAAGGCACTTGTGCTTTGTAATTATATGTCTCTGCATGTTCTTCTCCAGCCAAAGGAAAAGTAAGGTCCTCAAGAACAGGAAGTTCATTCTCTTGTTCCCTACTCAATTACTTGCCCCAGAGCTTACCTAGCACAGGCTCAGTAATGTTTCCCATTTGCTGTCTTCTCATAAAGTCACCATGTACCAAACTAAATGACTAATCATTTTTTTCACTAGACCTGACACATTAATTTAACAAACATTTATTAATTGACAAATATAGAACAAGAATTTGGTTAGGGCTTGGACCAAAGATAAATGAGATACAGTTTTACTTAAGGAAATGTCCACTGTCTACTGAGGGGGATGGATAATGGCACAGGAGCATGTGATTGCAATAGGGAGGCAGACTTTTCTCAGGGAGCCCTAACCACAGAGAAGGAACCATGGAGGAGGTGACAGTTGTCCTGGATGCTGATGAAACAGTAGGAATATGCCAGGTGGAGGAGATTGCCAGATGGAGGGAAGAGTTTTGTCAGGAGCATGAACTAACATGGTGCGTGTTCAGTTGGAACAGAGACCATTTCCTCCATTTTCTTAAATGGAAAATTTCAAACATTCAGAAATGGAGAAAATAGTATAAAAATTCACCTCTATATGTCCATTACCTAGCTTCAACAATAATCTTGTTCTAGCTATATGTCTATTCACCAATCCCCTTTTTATTTTGATGCAAATCCAAAACATTGAATACTTTCATTGGTAAATAAAAATTTTTCAAGCAGGGCCTCACTATGGTCTTGAACTCTTGTTCCTCCTGTCTTAGCCTCTTGAGTGCTGGGATTACAGACATGTACCATCACACCTGACCCTACGTCAGTATCTTGAAAAGATAAAATATACCTTTTCATTTTCTTTTTAAAAATGAGTCATAGTACATTCTTTTCTCTGAAACTTGACTTTTATCCTAGCCATTTATCTGGGAATTCCACTGTATCAGGACATATGGAATTGCTTTTCTCTTTTAGGAGATTTGTTGTATTCCATTTGTGAATATACCATAATTAACCTACCTCATCCTCAAATCATGGGCATTCAGGTTGCTCTCAATCTTTTTATATCAAAACAAAGTTGAGAGAACACCCATGAGCATACACCTGTGGCAGACCTGTGGGTTGAATTATTGGATGTGCAGCTGCTAGGATCTGTACTCCAGCTTGCATTCTCATTGCTGTGGTCCTGGTTCAGACTTGTATCCTTTCTCATTGGGACAGGTGCAGCTGTTACCTCGGCAGGTATTCTAATCTCCTGCCAAAGTGCATATCCTAAAATGATGTCCTGAATCATTCTTATTAAACACCTCTGTTGGTGTGTTACCATCTACACTACTGGAGCCCCACCTTCTTCTACCTGCTTTCCAGTGCATCCCCAACTTCTTACTCATTTCTCATACACTCTGGGCTTCACTGAAGTTGGGCTTCACTTAGGACCAGCTCACCTGTTCTCTTTTTTCTGTTTGTGGAATTTCAGAGTCCACACAGTGTAAGGATCACTACTTTTGGAGCCAGGTTGACTTGGACTCTTATCCTGGTTCTCTTTGGGAGGTGGAGGAGATGCCATTTAATCTTTTTATCTCAAAAAGATTGTGTGTGTGTCTGTGTGTGTGTGGTGTAGGGTATCAAACTTGGGACCTTGTTAATGTTAGGCAATTCTCTATCACTAAGCAACAACCCCAGCCCTGAGAATCCTTTTAAATAAAGTTTAAAAAATGCCTACCTTGCAAGATGGTTGTAAGGATGATGGTTGTAAGGATTAGGGATAATGGGAATACGGTAGGTGCTGAATCAAAGTCAAGTCAGCTTCTTTCTGTGGCCACTATTACCACCGCACCACACTTGATTAGAGCTCCTAGCTCCACATTTGTTGGCTACCTTTGCTTTGTGTGACAGAGGCTGCGGACAAGACTACTTGACCACTAGACAGCAAGCTGACTGTGGGTAGACTCACGACTCACCTCTGGTTCTCCAGACCTGACAGAGAGGAGGCGCTGTGGGCGTTCAGGGCCAGCAGACTAAATGGAGAAAGATGCAGGGGTAGACAAGGTACACCACGCATAGAGACCTCAAGCGAGCTGACAGGTTTGCCGGCGGAGGCGTGGCTTGGAGCGGAGAGTGGGCGGGACTTGACACTGACCCCGCCCCGGTCCGTTCGTGAATGGGCTCCGCTGGCTCAGTCCGCACGCAGCGCGGTGTCCGCGCTGCAACTAGTGTAGCAAGCTCTTCTGCGGGCCGGCGGGCCCGGGTGCCGTGGCGACATGCGTCCGCTGCTTGGCCTCCTCCTGGTCTTCGCCGGCTGTACTTTTGCACTGTACTTGCTGTCCACGCGACTGCCCCGGGGGCCGAGACTGGGCACCGCCGAGGAGCCTGAAGGCAGGTGCGTGGCGTTTTCGGGGTTTATGTCGATGGAGGGGACCGCGGTTGGATTATGGGGGCGTCGACGGTCGGGATGGAGATGGGGTCCAGTGTCCGGCCCGCGTCTACACGGTCTGGCAGGCGGGGGTTACGGGTGCCGGTGCTGGCCGGGACCTGCGTGTCGCCGGTGCGCAGGCGGTGCTGTGGTGACTTGCGGAGGAAACGAGCCGCCCTCGCCCGGGTTCGCCTTCCAGCCCCAGAGTCCCATTTCCAGACAATTCCCAGCCTTTCTCGTCCGTTTTCAGGCTCCCTCTCCCCATCCCACTTCTGTCAGGCCAGCCCTTGAGGCTCTAAGGCATTCAGTCTTCAGGAGAAATGTTGCATGGACTTTATTATTCACGAATTAACGATAGAGCTGCCCTCTTTCTGGCCGTCTCTTCATTTCCCCTACTTGTGAACTAGACGAGGCAGGAGGCGGAACAATCCCTACCCGGCGGGTTTCAAGATTACTGCATGGAAGTAGTGTGCCTGGCACACCATTGCGTCATCAGGGAGTTCACTGATACTCGAATATTAGGACAACTGCCTTCAGCTACCGTGTTCTTTTGCTCTAGCTGAGAAGGCTGTGCTGTGGGCGTCAGATGTACTATGGCAATCATTCTTCTGAGAACCAGGAGGGGTTGCTCATAATTGATCAAAGATTGATTCAAGGACTGGTCAGATGGCAGATTGCCTCTGAAGATTGACTTTACACTGTGACCCTTGTACAAGATGCATAGTGCACTAGCAGCAGACTAAGTGCAGAGTGAGAAGGCAGGCTCCTTGAAAGGGTTGTTTTCAAGCCTGCCATATTACCAAGAAAGTTATGTTTATGATGTGGGATAGATATACTTTGTCAGAGAATCTTTAACTGGTTTGTTAGTGAGTGATAAAGCAGTCGTTTTACCTAGTACTTCGGGAGCAATGTGACTTCTGAATTCTTCTAGGCTTGTAGAGGAAGGGGTGCCCTTGAAAGGCGATTTAAGATGTTTAGTGCTTGCTTGGAAATGAATCCACTTGCATCTTAAGAACTGATTGAAAGGGGGCTGGAGGTGTAGCTGTATGGTAGAGCTATGCTTTGCAGGTGGGAGGCCTTGGGGTTCACAATCCTCAGTACCAAAAATAAACAGATAAATCATAGACCTGAGAACAAAGGGAAGTTTAGTGATTATCCAGCACCAACCCTTTGTTTTTTAGATAAGGAAACTGAGGTCCACAGATGGGCTCAAGGTCACACAACTGGAAAGTAGCAGAGGAGGATTCCAGCCCTGGTCTGTTGCTTCCAAACCAGGCCTCTTTTGTCTGCCTCTGCTGTGTTGTATTGGGTCACCTGTCATCTTGAACTCATGTATGTGTTCCCAGCAGACCATATGATGGACATGTTTATAAACCTTCTTTGGAAAGACACAGCAAGTAACTTCTTAGGTATTAGGCTGATCTGGACTCATGTTTCCATTTGATTTTCCAAATCCCCAGGTTGCTGTGGTTCCCTTCAGACCTAGCAGAGCTGCGGGAGCTCACCGAGGTCCTTCGAGAGTACCGGAAGGAGCACCAAGCCTATGTCTTCCTGCTCTTCTGCAGTGCCTACCTCTACAAACAGGGCTTTGCCATCCCTGGCTCCAGCTTCCTGGTGGGTGTCCTGTACTCCTTCCAACTCTGTTCCTTAGCTATAGAATGCAGCTACTCCAGAACCCCATACAGTTGTTGTGTGGGAGGATGAAATGAAACAGTGGCTGTAGAGATGCTAGCACCTGGTAGCCCTTAGCACTTATTCAATGATCTAGTGATGGATCAGGAAACCCCTAAAAGTTTATTTTCGTCCTGCTTTCCTCTTCTCCCCCAGAGCTCTTCTCTAGGCTCTGACTGGGTTACCTGAGCAGATTTTGTTCAGAAACTGAAAGAAAAACAAATACCTTCAAGAGAAACAGGGAGCTGTGTGGTGCTGGAGGTCAGGGGCTGGCTTCTTGGGACTGTGTCTATCTTGTATTTCCTCCTAAGCTGATTCCTCTTCAGGGCAGAAAGCCAGCTGCTACTTGGTAGAGCTCCACGTCCAGACCTCCCCAGGCTCTGTCTGGTGTGATCTTGGCCATGAGGCTTAATTTCTCACCTACATGGCATGGTGAGGATTATATATGACATATAATCAGGCACTTGACCATGGTAGGTGCTCAGCAAGGCTCCACGTCTCATTGCCAAGGCTCCCTTGTGTTTTCTCTCTTGGATTCCATGCTTTGGCAAGAATGTTTATCAGCCAAACTGCATTTAGGAAGTATTGGTTCACTTTTCCATTTTTGTGAACCTAAGCTTGCTTTAAGTGTCAGCTACAGCTTTCGTCACAGGGAACTTCATTGTTAGTGTACTACACAGATATAATTCTAGCAAAAAACAAAGAAACAAATATTGTACACCAAAGGAATCCTCATGGTTTGTGTTCATCCTTTGAAGTAGGAAAAATAACTTGTGAGGTTCATTTCTACCTTCTTGGAGCCCTGGTGATGTCAGGGTCTCCCACAGTCCATTCAGGCTGGGTGCTGCGTACATGTTATCCATCTAAACTCCCTCCTGCCCTCTGAGGCTTTAATCCAACCCTTATTCTTGTTTTAAAGGTGAAGAGATGGAGGCTAAGCTTGTAGTTCCTAGTATATTCATTCGCTTTTTTAAATGGGTGTTGGGTTTTGGCTATGATGGCACAGGCTCCAGGATGAACTGCCTAGTACCTGCCAGATGTTCTTGTGGTTTGTTTTCTTTGCAGAATGTTTTGGCTGGTGCCTTGTTTGGGCCGTGGCTGGGGCTTCTGATGTGCTGTGTGCTGACCTCAGTGGGCGCCACATGCTGCTATCTGCTCTCCAGTATTTTTGGTAAACAGCTTGTGGTCTCCTACTTTCCTGACAAAGTGGCCCTGCTGCAGAGGAAGGTAAGGAGGGAACACATCTGAGCACTGGGCCCCTGAGAGTCACCTCATGATCTGAAGGAGGTGAGGACCAGGGATTTCCCACAGTGTTCCTCTGTTCTGCCTCGGAGGTCCAAGGGGTTCTTTTTGATGTCTTCATGAGGCACAGAACTGGGATCAGTGCCAGCTCCCCTCATTACCTGCTCTGTGGCTTTGGGCAAGTTCCCAGTTTCTCTGATCTTCTGTTTTCAAAATGGGAAAAACAGTCTCTACCCAAGAGGACTGTGGGAAGAGTTGGGAATAAGCTATGTAAAGTGTCTCTTATAGTGACTGGAGACCCTTTCTGCTTCCTAACGCTTGATTCTTTGCTGCAGGTGGAAGAGAACAGAAACAGCTTGTTCTTCTTCTTACTGTTTTTGAGACTGTTCCCAATGACACCAAACTGGTTCTTGAACCTTTCTGCCCCGATTCTGAACATTCCCATTGTGCAGTTCTTCTTCTCAGTTCTTATTGGTAAGACTGTTGAGCAAGTTTGATGCTTTAGAGCTGTGGCATTGGGGGACTACTCTGGGTCACATACCACATGGTATGTACCTACCTCTGATGCTCACCAGGAGCATCTTCCAGCCTGTCACCTAATGTAATTACTCCTGATTTCAAATCTACTCGTACTTGAACATGAAATTCATAAAAATAGCTTTAGAATAAATAAGTATTGTTCATTCTAAGACTGTAATTAGTGCCTGTTGTGTGCCAAGACCAGTCTTTAAGCCTGAAACATAGACCACCTTGTCTTAAACCTTCCTTAACGGTGCAGAAGGAGTGACATTCAGGGCTTGTGGGTCAAATATAACAAATCTGTAGTGCTATTAATAGGGAATGGCTAAGAGAAATTGAGATCTTAAATCAAAGCAAAGTCGACCACAGCCAATTCTAGTCCTTTTAGCTTTCAGACAGTGTCTATTGTGTCAGCTAATGGAGGTTAACAGTTTGTCATTTCCCAGGTTGCATGAGGTGAGGGCTTGGAAGGACTCTGGAGACAGGGGTTCCTTCCTGTCTGACAAGCTGTGTACCTTGAGTGGTCTGTGATCTTTGTCTCCCATATGCTTCTTCTATTACAAAAGAGGAGTCCCAAGCTGCTCAGAAGCTCAGGGGAAGGGATAGGGAGAGGATTCTAAAACTGCAGGTTCTTGGATTCTACTCCAGAAGCAAGTAACTGGAATCTCTAGGGTAGAACCTGAGAATGTGTTTATTTTTATTTTATTTAAATATCTTTTTGAGACAGGATCTGTGTAGCCCTGGTTGGCCTTGAACTTGTAATATTCCCACCTCAGCCTGAGTGCTGGGATTATAGGCACGAACAACCATGCCTGGCTTAAAAATGTGTTTTCAACGTCTTCACCAGGGGATTGTTATGCCACGAGCCTGCCCAGTCACAAACCAGACTTTTGGAAACCAGTAGCTTTGATGGCTTCTTAGACAGCAGAATATGAAAAGTAGTACTTCTTTTTAAGAAACTGTTGTGGCTTGGGTTTTTACAAATATTATGCATACGATAAGTTTCATGATGGTGCTTCTGTATTTACTTTGACTCTTGGGCATCCAGAACCAATCTTGGGTTCCTTTAGTAAACATATGAGCTTCATGAATTTTTGTACTAACTTACCCCCAGACTTATTTTTTTCTTCTGTGCTCATTTGTCTTTGATATTTTAAAATTACTGTCTTACTGTAATGTACACATATTTGTGTACACCATCTCAACTTCTTTGGTAAATAAGCAGGTGTATATAGGAAGTGAGGAAAATGGGGAGTGAATAGACAGGTGGGAAGGAGGGACAAATAGCTGGGGTCACTGTTCTGAGTTCCTGGTCATTGCTGAAATGTTACTTTTGTAATTCTCTTGCCCCCATTAATAGGCTCTTTTCTCTTGTATTTTTCCAGGTTTGATCCCATACAATTTCATCTGTGTGCAGACAGGCTCCATCTTGTCAACCCTGACCTCTCTTGATACTCTCTTCTCCTGGGACACTGTCTTTAAGCTGTTGGCCATTGCCCTGGTGGCCTTGGTTCCTGGAACACTCATTAAAAAATTTAGCCAGAAACACCTGGAATTGAATGAAACAACGAGCACTAACCACATAAATAGTAGAAAAGACACGTGATCTGATTTTCTGTTTCCACAGTGCTGGACTCTACTGTTGATTTTTGTAATGGGCATGGTCCTTTAAAGGCCCTTGTTTTTAATTGCCCTTACTAGGTGATATGGACACTATTCATGTGTGTGCAGCATCTTGCCAAAAAGTGCACTCTGCTTTAAAAGGTGAATTGTATAGCATTCTCAGTCCAGCCCTGGTTTAACAGGAGTCTGAAATGGATGGCCTCCTAGAAAACCCCATTTCTGTTTTATTTAATAACAAGGGACTCAGGATAGTCTGCTGGGTTTGCCTGTTGCCTGCCCCTAGGCTGCCTTGGAAGAAGATGCTGGTTGGCCTTGTCTAGAGTGCCTCTTGCAAAGTGTCAGGCTGTGTGACAGGTGTCCTGTTAAGTCCCTGTGGATGTTATTGTGTCAGTGCTGACTTGTGCACCCACATCACTTTTCATCTTGTTAAGTCTTTTGAAAGCGTTTTTTCTGTACTTTCCTGCTGATGAGCTACCTCTTCCATAAACCAAGGACAACAAACTGACAGTCTGCTTAGGACTTACACAGATAGCTCAGATCCAGTGATTTCTGTGATGCTACCATGTATGTCAGATCTTATGGTTGTAAGTCCTGGCAAGCTGATTGTAAACAGACCATTAAATATGAATGGAGAAAACGCTGCATGTTATGAATATGTTGTGAAAATTCTTACCCATCTGGACAGGGCAGAGCCTTTGTCTCATCTGAATCAAATGACCTTCTGTACGTTTTCTAATGTCCTTTCTGCATGGGAATCCCTTTACCTTTTCCTGCTAGGAGAATGGAGTCAGTACATTAGGCTGTCAGCCAGTGTATCCTGTGAATGCTCTTCACCTTGTCATTTACTGAGAGTAACTGAGGAAGAGCTGTACCTTTTAATTCAGAGCAAAAGTTGTGTCACTATATAATTACCTAAAGCTGCTCTATAGCTACAATATTGGAATGTGGACCTGAACTGACCAGCTCTGTGATCCTGGGTCCTACAGTAACTCATTGTGACTTACCAGAACTGCTAACCTTGAGCATTATCTGGCTTTTTATTTGGCTTTGTCAAGAATATTGCCAAGGTGTTAATCTAGGACTCTTGTTCTACATGAATTCTTGGGAATATTCATATTTCATAGAAAGAATGGACTCCCAAGTGGTGTTTTTTAGACATGGTTTGATTCTTTCACACTAAGGCTTTCATTTTCAAAATGTGTTTCTTTTAAAAAGAAGTGGGTGAGAAGACAGCAGACTGGGCTTTGAAATCAGTGGGTCACAGAGTTCTGGAGTAGGGAGAGGGAAAAAGGAGGGAAAGTTTCTACCCTGTTGTAAATGTGGGTCCTTTGCCCCTTCCAGATCCTTAGATTTCTCTATCTCTCTTCTTCCCTCTTGTCCTCCTGCATAATTTTGCAACAATGTGCCTTATCAGGTATGAGTTTATACATAAAGAGATTTCCCAAATAAAGGAATATAAATGTTCTGGAATAAATAAATGAACATAAGAGTTTATTTGTACATGTTACTATACTAATTTTCAATTGCCCTTATCAATGGGAATCAGGATTGGCTGAAAATCAGACAATCCAAAATGGCATTTTAGCCTTCCACTCTGAATAGGCCTCTGACCAAGACTGATCCAGATTCCCATTTTTCCTCTCTCTGCTCACTTTATAGTGAGGTCACTATTAACAGGAACAGCTACAGGATGGGCAGCATAATAGCATAGGAAAGAGGCAGAGTGCCTGTCTAGGCTTTTATGGAAAAACTCAAGGAGAGACAATAATGGAAATGGTTCTCTTCCTTTTGTGTTTGTAACTGAAACATACTGTACTGGCTGCAGAAAGCCCAGTCTTTCTTCCTGAAACTGACAAATGCTAAAACCTGTTAAGGCAGCTCATAGGACATAAATAGCACCTTTAGGAAAAGAAAGGACCAGAAAATGGTGAAGTACACTTTTTAATTTCATGCATTTGTTTGTTTTGATAGTCATTCTTTTTCCCATTGCTGTTCAATACAAAGAAGGAGGCAGCATCAAAAAAAAAAAACATGGGGAGCAGGGGAACTGACAGCAGAGACCACAGTAGAGACAGGTAAGGGGGTTCATTTTGAGACAACCACAAAAAAGAAATTCAGTTGCTTCAAATAGGAACTTAAATTTTATAATAAAGAATCAAAGAGGGTCTTTCTTCCCACTCCTGGAGTATGGAGTCACCAGAGTGGAGAGCCACTTGCATGATGTGGTCAAGATGTGACAACTTCCTAATCACTTGCACATGCTGGCTCGGGGTCCCTCTGGCTTGTTATCGTTGGAGGACCATGGTCACTGGCCCCATGATCACTGGGGCCAGGAGCCAGTGATCCCCTGAGTGCTGTGAAGTGGCTCTGAAGAGCAGACCTGCCATTCTGCTGGAAGCTTCCTTTCTAGTGGCCTTGCCATCTGCTTGGGGCTTGGTTTGGTATGCAGTCCTGCCATCATGCCTTGGCCATATGGCAGCCAACCAACACCTTAACCTAGCAACTTTTCAACTGTTTGTCTCAGAGCAGTGATTTCAGAGCTCCCTTTTCTGCCATCTGTCCCTGAGAAATGCTCCAGGTCCCACAAGGGTTCTCCACCTAGCCTAGTTTCATTCCAATTTGAACAGGCATTTGCAGTATCAGTAGTGGCATGCAAATAAAGTAATAGGACTAATGGGCCAGTCTGAGAGGTTGATAACACTGGTAGTGTGAGTACATTGGAACATTTGTTCTATGACATCAAAGAAAAACCTTGCTGTCTGGAAAGGCACTAAATTCATACTGACAGTATAAGACAAAGTCTGGAAAAAAAAGTCACATTTCTCTCACACATCTTGAGAGGAAGCAAGTAACTGGGACTGACCACGTTGACTTTCTGTTTATAGAAGGTAAGTGGAAAAAAGAAAAGAAAAAGGTGAGGAAGAAACATGCTGATTCACAAGTATGTGAATGAAGAGACATTTTGGAATTGTATCCATCAATGATTGGTGGCTATTCAACTGGAATTGTAGTTTAAAGGGACTAGAGTAGAGGCAAGTGATCTTTTCCCTACCATGGTACTGCCTCACCAGCTTTAGGTGGAATCCATTAGGAGAACACTGGTATAATCCTGTCATTCTCCCATTAGGGAAACTCAAGATCTCAAACAACCTTTAGGAGAATATGAGCTTAGCGCTGCACAGGGATTCATCAAGAGGTATTAGTGCTATAAATGCTGTGTTGTGAGTGGTTCTAAGGCTGTGTTTAGGCTCAGTAGGAAAGAATATGGTGCCAAATAATGTTGGTCATGGGTGTTTAGGATACAGGTGGTAAGTGGTGGTATTCTGGTTTCTGGCCTAGTAGAAAAACGCAACATACCCACCAACAATACTGTGAAGTAGAGCAAGAATTTCTTGGGTTCAAAATATGTTGTTCTGGAGAATTCAGTTTCAGGAAGTATAACTAGGAATGTTTTAAGAAAAGAAAAATGAGACATAAAGGCATGGGGGAAACTAGTAAAGCATCTGATCAATAAGATTGAATTTACACTAGGAAGACTTCAACATAGCAGGAGAGAACATTTAAAATCTAGACTACTAGGAAAGCCCCAAACTATCACATCTATCTTAGGGTCAGGATAGGGGAATAATTTAGCACAATGGAAGCCCTGAAGCAAATATCCAATACTTAGTAACTTCTACTAAAGCAACCTTAATCCTAGAAGGATAATGTGTTGATAGCAAAGTTTTAAAATATTTAAACTTCAAGTAGGCCATCCCAAATTATTTTACAACAGGGCCAGCATCTTTATCTTCCTGGGCAGGAGCTCCCCACAATCTTGCAAACAGGTCTAAACTTTAGTGGTGGTGAGGTCCATTATCATTTCAAAGTGGATACAGTCTTTTCTGTCCCTCTGCTAAGGAATTGCTATTCAAGAACATGATCTAGAAAAAGACAAATCAAACCCAAATGCTCATCTGTAATATAAATTGAAACTCATCTTTTTAGTCAGTCAAAAACAGATGTCTAATGAATGTGAACATTCATCCAAAAGGGGTTAAACTTTCTATCAGTGATGAAGCTTGAAATCTCAGTCCTCTGAGTCTCCTTGAAGCACTGTTGCAGCTGACAGAACTGAAGAACTGGCTCTTAAATTCCCTGAGCTCTTGATTCAACACTCTTGATGACTGTGAGCTCTTCTCAAAGCCACACATCAGTTCAAGATTTTTGTGGCTATCACAAGGCAGACAGTGAAGGATAGGGCTGGGAAAGAGAGGGTTATTTCCCTTTTAACTTTGATTAAGAACACCATTCTTCTCTGCATTTCTAGTCAATTCTTGACAATACAGTGAAGGACTGAAGATTTGACACTATCTACTTCCCTAACATGGTCATATATAATAGTTAATCTAGATAAGGTGGTATTAGCATGACAGACAGTCAAAATGGAAATTTAAAAAAACCATCAGAATTATGATGTATCGGGTGGATTTTCATCACTGGAAACTGTAATCAGAAGTTGATCCTCATGTTTCTCTGTTGCCACTAAAGGGAGTAAAAAAATAGAACAAACTAAAAAGTGTGGTGTCTTGTGCTGAACAGAAAGAGGACATGGAGTTGTAGTATCTTCATTCCAAGGAGTAATGAACCAGATTCAAGTGCAGAGCAATCTTAAGTTAGAGGATGGAAAATAGAGCCTTTCAAGATTCCTTCCCAGCTCCAATTCTCTAAGTTATAAGGCCTCCTTGAATTCTTCAGCCTTGTTATAAGGTGACATCATAGTCGGCATTTGATGTCATGCCATTTATGTTATGTGTATATATATGTATATATATTTTTTTCTTCTTTTTTAAGTCTGTTACTCCAGATTAGTTGGAAAAGGTTGGTTCTGTGGGATCTGGCAGGAAGGATATTATGAACAATGCTGTCAATTCTTGAAATCAATCCACAAGTCCCATGCAGAAATTCTGTAAGTCTGTTCCTCTCAGGGCATTAAATAATTCTTTTTGTTTCTAATGTAGTCCTGTAACTTTATTTCTTAAGAAACTTGAGAAAGTTTACAGCCTTTGAACTATTTGTTCAAAAGTCATCTGCCCACTCAGGAGCTTTCATTATCAAGTGAAAATCACAGTGGGCTTCAAGGCAGAACATGCATCCCACATGATTGTTGTTGTATACAGAAAATTAGGGGATACAACTAAGATGAATACCAGGGAGCTCCCAAATGGCAGTTCCATTTTCAAGCCTTCATTAAAATCACAAAATCCATAATAATAATTCATAATTAGCAATAAACAATCATTGTGCTACATCATAAACCACACCTTCTGATCGACAGAAAATGAGAATGATAATACAAAATAAAATAATGATAATGCTATAAGTTAAGATATTTCATGTAGTCCAGCTACACAATTTATATAAAATGAAATAATTTAATGCAACAATACTGCCCTCTGTATAAGTTAAACATTTTCCTTCATCCTACCATGAACTATAAATTATACATACTAAATTTTAAATCAGTCACTACATAAAATGTAAACAAATGGAGGGACCAAACAAACAAAAGGAACTGTTCTAAATTCCCTCCTGCCTTTCCTTTTTGGCTGATGCAATCAGGGAAACCCAGAAGAGAGGCCCATGTCCACCTATGTTGGAAACATTTTAATACCTGCATGTACAAGTCTTTCCTAACATCCTACATGATACACTGTTAGAGTCCAGCCAGTGTAGAGAGGTTGTTTGACAATGGCCCATCTCAGAGACAGAGACAGGAATTACATCAACATCTACTTGTGTATAAAATTCTAGATAAAAATTCCTCATGCTGGGCACGGGTGGCACATACCTGTAACCCCAGCACTCGAGGCTGAGACAGGAAGATGGTGAGTTTGAGGCCAGCTTGGGCTACCTAGTGAAACCCTGTTTCCAAAAAGGCTTTTTTCCCTTAAAGCCAAGGGTCCATGAAGTACCTTGGGATGCTTTTCAGAGATCATGGCCCTGGAGATAGAAAGAACTTCATGCTTTTGACAAAGTAAAATATCTCCAATTGCTGCTCAGCAACATTTGTTCTTTCCACAAATATCCAAATCCAACTAATCAAAGCTACAGAAATTCAGAGTGAAGTAAAAATATATTTCACAAGCAGCATTTAACAAAAATGCTATTGTCATGGAAGAGGGGTTGCCTTTTGCAAGTTGCTTATTTTGCCTTTATTCTGACAGTGATAGCCAGTCATGAAAGCTTCCAGGATAGGATAAGTTAATAAATAAAAACAAGGGAATGGTTTGGAATTGGACATTGGACAGACACAAACACACATCCTAGCTGCCTTCAAAATCTATTCTCCTGTTCGAATCAATATGATTCTAGAGAACAAGCAACCTGGGTCCAGAGGGATGATCCCACCTTTTCTATACAGCTGGTGTGAACCATGCTGAGAACACACAAATTTCCCATCTATGCTGTGTAGGTGACCTTTTTCTTCTCCTCAAGAGACCCTCCCTTTTCCTAAAGGAGGTTGTTAACAGGTAGAAGAGAAAGAAGCTATAGGAAAATGGCACTTGAGTCTGAAAGATCAACATATTGGTGAAGGTAATGACAGTGACAGCATTAAAAAGGGAAGTATTTGCCATGGACAAAGTTTGATGCTATCTGTAAGCCTCACTATCAAATGCTGCTTAAAGGTTAAAAAGTGAAGTCTACATACAGTTTTGATTTTGTGATTTTCCTCCTCTTAGAGGAAGCTTATGCCCTCAAGGACCTTGGGTGCAAATAGCTGCTCACCAAACTTTTTTGGATCATTTCCATCACCCACCTGGTCAAGCTGGTTGAATTTAATGTGGTCTGTTCACAAGTTACCTGGAATTGCTTTTTCTCTTGCTATTCTTTATGTTCTAAAATGTTGAATATGTCTTGCTCTGGTTGTTCTTCAGTCATTTATGGCCAAAAAAACTGGTCCCCTATTCAAGCAGCAGTAATACCTCCTGGCCCCACAAACTCCCAAGGATGTTGCACCTAGAGTCCACTCTTTTTTTTTCTTTTTCCTTTTCTTTTCTTTGTCTCTCTTTTTTTTTTGCAAGAAATTATTGTCTCTCTATATACCATATATAGTTCACTCTTTACAGTACAAAGTGTTAAAATGTTCAACAAAAATAAATATCAATGTTACAGTAGATAGAATATTCAATAAAATAGATCCCTGCCATTCTTGATTGAAATGTTCATTGAGACTTAATTTCATTTGGATATATTTTTCCAGAGATTTACAAAGTCTCATGTTCCTGTTATTGCAGCTCATTTCTTGGGGGTAGTAAAGATGGGGTGGCTCTCATCCCGGACAAAATCAGGAAGAGAGAAGAAGAGTCTTGGGCTGGGGTGGGTTTGAAATGCCAGTGTCATGGGATCTTCAGGATGGGGATTCCTTCATCACCAAGTAGCAGAGCTGTAGTGTTTGTTGGTCCTTACTGTAGCATCAGAACACTCCCCCTCTGAAGAGTCACAGTCTGATTCTTCAAACTGCATAGGGTTCTGCAAAGTCACACAAAAGAAGACTTAGTTCATTTTTACAATTCTTCAGTGAGCATACGTTAAGCACCTCCCACATGACAGGAACTGTACAGGGTAAGTGGGTGGCAAAGATAAAGGGGACCAAGTCCTCTCCTTGTGGGGCTTTTCTCTGGAGCAACGAGGCATAGGGTTGATAATAATGGTGATGGCTATGACAATTATAGTGGTACCCTCCATATCCTCGCTCATGCGGCATTTACTGTAAGTACTTCACCTCTGTTAACCATTTTATGCTCATGATAACTTACGGAGCTAGATCACATCTTACGGACACAATAAGTGAGATATCAATACCCCCATTTCACAGATAAGGAAACTGACCTTCAAAGAAGTCACATTTATAATATCCACCCAAGGTCACATAGGAAGTGGAAAGGCTGGAATTTACACGTTGTCAGTCTAACTCCAGGGTATACACTTAACTAAACCAGTATGCTCTCCTGTCTCTCCAAAGGCATATAAAATAAATACACTAGACAGAATATTCCAGGGGAGAGTGGAGACACAGAGGAGGGAGGTTCATCTTCTTAACCAGGCTGAAAGAGGGGTGGAGAGGAGATGAGGTTTGAGTTAAATCTTGAAATGAAGGGTTCCTGAGCAGTTCAGTGTTTGTGCCTTACTTGGAAGAAACTATCATCATTTCCGGGAGCTCTGTTGGTTTGTTTCTACTTACTTCATGGAGGCAGGTGGATATTATACACTAAATGAACATTGTAAAAGACTTAAGGGCTTGAACATATTCGAACCCAAATGAGCCAGGAAGGGAACAGTGATGAGAGAAGGAGAGGTGCCTACCTCGTAGCCACGTTCCTCCGCACAGAGCTTGCCCAGGGACATTTGCGTCTTCACAAGGCGCACAGCACACTCCTTGTCAGAAAGCCCATCTGAGTGTGAGGATATCTCAATGGGGATCTCGGGTGTCTGTGACAGCAGGTCATCTAGCTTCTCAGCCAGGCGGTCTTCAAGTTTATCAGCTAACTCATCGGGACTGTTTGAGTGGTCACTTGTATTTCCTTCCTCTCCATCATCAGACACAGAGAAATTCTCAGAACTAAAGGTTGAATATGACTGACAGCTGCTGATACAGCGATGGGGCCTAGAAGATGGAGAAAAGCACAGGAATTTAAGCACAGAAGCAACTACTTTCCTGTCTTATCTATCAGAGTTGGAGTGAAAGACAATCCAGTTCCCCTACCCGCAGAGGAAGACTTAAAATCAAGATAGGCATAAACTACTTAATTTTAAGGCAATATAGAGGTGCTATAGACTGAATTATGTCCTCTCAAAATTCTCTGTCTCCTTTTCTATGTCTCTCTTTGCCATGTGAAAACACTACAAGAAGATGGCTGTCTTTATGATAGGAAGAGAGTCCTCACTAAGAACTGAATCAGCTGTTACTTTATTAGTCTAGACTTCTCCAGAATTGTGAGAAATAAATTTCTGTAACTTAAGCCACCCAGTCTGTGATATTTTATTATAGCAGCATGAGCAGACTAACACAGGGAGGTTCATTAAAAAGCAACAAAATTAGCCACAAACAGTATGGTGATCCCTCCCAAACTTTCCTCTGTATTCTCAACTGTGGCTGTGGATCTAACTTCCTATGAAATGAATTCTCATGACCAAGGATCTGGTAAGCATAGGCAACTTTCAAAATGTGGCAATGGAAAACAAACACAGTGAGTTCAACTTTCTGCATAAAAGTGGCTGTCAGAGAGAGAATTGTGCTTGAACAGCAGGTGTGGCAAATTCATTCCACTGAAAATAATCATGTGCCTACTGGTTTTACCTTTGTCTTCGTGGAAATTCAACTTCACTATCTACTTCCCCTTCTTCTTCAGAGGAGTCATCTCCACTCTGAGGAGAACAAGGAGAAAGACTTATTTATTTTATTGTATGTATGTATGTATTCATTTCTTTTTGGCAGTACTGGTGTTTGCAGGGCCTTGTGCTTGTTAGGAAGGTGCTCTACCACCTAAGTCATTTCTTTTAAAATAAATAACACTTACTTATTTTAGCATGTCTCTCTCCCTCTTCCGCCCCCCACTACATATAAAGGATTTAATTTTCATCAAAAGGCATTTGGTAATAGCTTGCTGAATATCCTCTTTAAACATATGTGTCCTTATTCATTCATTTAGTAACTTGCCCTGAGTATTCGTGATGACAGGCTCTGTCCTAGAGGCTGGAAGATGTAGAACTGAGTAAAACTTTCTTTGTCCTCAGGGAGTTAAAGGCTCCATGAAAGTGTCCACATGTGGGTGATGGAGAAGGAAGCTGGAGAGATCTGGGATTTGGGGACAGACTCTGGTAATTATTGTCAGTCAGTATAATCATTGCTTCCAGGTTCTTTTACAGAAATTTCATCAAGGTGATATTTCAGTTTTTGAAAGTCCAACATTTTTTCCCCTTTATATACTGTTGGACCATATCTCATTTGTATCATATTCTTCATTCCAATTTAACACTGCATACAAAATAGGTGTTTATCATCATAGATATGTATAATTATTATTTTTAAATTTAAAAAAGATGTTTCATGCATTTTGATTGAGTCAGAATGTTGGCAGGGATAAGGGAGCTCTGGTTGGGACACCTGAGCTCTGTGCTGCACAGCTCTTATGTTTGATCTGGAAAGCTGGGTAACTATCTGGGTTCAAAGATAATCTCTCTCTCACAGAAGAAAGAGCTCATCTAGCATCACGGGCAGAAGAACAGCTGCACTTAAGACCAACTGTTCTTAACTCTAGTGTCATAATGTACTGGATTATGTAATTTCTTGTGAGCTAGGTAGTCCAAGTAACTGTGCCAAAGATTGAAAGTGCTATGCCTTTTGAAAGCCAGTTCTAAAATACCGTGACTCACACTCATTTGTATTCTGGTAGGCTTTTTTGAATAGGAAAGACAGGAATGTAGTTATTCTGACTACTTGAGATGAGAAGTCTACCTGAGGACTGGTCATGGGAGTGTATCTCAGTAAAGAGAAAGTGAGCTTCTCTGCAGGAGTACAGTTCCAGTGAGGCCAAATGTACGAGGGGTGTGTTTTTGGGTCTGCAGAGCCATAGATGGCACTAAAATGGCAGTGGGGCAGTTCAAAGGTACATGTTACCTGGGGTAACTACTTGAAGGTATGGATTTCTTCTTTGGATGATGGAAATGTTTTAAAATTGGTCCTAATGATGACTTCAGAACTATGTGGATAAAACACTGAATTGTACATTTTAAATGGAATACTGTGTGGTATATGAATTATATCTTAATAAAGTTGTTAGCAAAAGATATATGTTACTGGCCACTGGGCTGGGTGAGTGGAGAATGCATTAGCTCAAATCAGTTGCACCATCTGAAATCCAATATATATAGTCAGTAGCAACAATGTGTATAGACAGAAGAATGCAATTCTGAGATAATAAACTGTCTCCATCTTCAACTTCTTTTCTAATTGATCATATATACTTTTTTACATTTTAGACCCTTTCATTCTTTCAATTAAATGCTTGATGACAGTAATGATGCAATGAAACAATACTTAAAATTGAGTGGGTGTTTACCATGTTCTAAACACTTTTCATACATAATCTGTTTTTCCCCCAATGCATTAGCAAGATGAACTAACATTTTTGGAAGGCTGCTATGTTCCAAGCCTTGTTCTAAATACTTTCTATGTATTAACTCATTTACTCCTCATATCAACTGATGAGGCCATTGTTTAGACAAGAAAGCTCAAATCCACAAAAGTGCTAAGTAGAAGAGCCTGGCTTTGAACTAAGATATGTCTGACTCCCAAGTTCATGATCTTACCCAAATGGTAGACTGCCTCCAAGCTAATAAAGCCCAGGCAGCCAGTGGATGAGGAGGAGAGAAACAGACTTCACGACTAAGAAACAGCTGGATCATGATGGGTAATAATTAAGGAAATGTTTTCCAAATTATATTGTGAAAAAGTCTAGGCCATGGGGGATTAAAAGATGTTATTTTCAAAAGGTTGTATGGACACATAGGTGAAGCAAATGCTAGATTATATAAGTCTACTCCACAATTTCTTAAAGTCTATGGTTTGTCAATGTGCATTAGGAATCTCCAAGAAGTGACACAGAACACTGTTTCTCAAACTCATTTTCTAAGAGGATCCTTCTTTCTTGCAACATCCTTCAAGACTAGAGTTCTAGGGTAGTGGTTTCCAAACTATTTTGATTATATATCCTTAGTCAACGGTTTTTCATGAATTACATATATTCAAACTAGTCCCTTAGTTCAGTGTTCCCAAAGTGTACTCCGGAGTCTATCACTTAAGTACTTAAAAAAGTATTTTAAGTAAAAGAAACCTCTATTTGTGTTTTTGTTATCTCATTCTTTTCCAAAATGTATACTTTTTATGAATGTTTTATAATGTACATAACACAATCGTCTCTGATATTCTTTTTTTTTTCTGATATTCTTTGAAGCAGCGACACAGCCTGCTCTTGTCATGACACCTTACCTTCTGAAGGGGCCTTGTTTTTCGAGGTAGCACTGGGGGGGTGATGTGATGAGGGGTGCCAAGGGATGATGCAGACCTATAGCCATTGAATTCATTTTCTTCCATTTTTTCAGGGCCCTGGGCATTTTCTGAGAGGGCACTGTGTGCTGGTGACTTGGAAAGGTCAGGGCTCCTTCCCACTGGCTCAGTTGTGGGTGTGTCTAAGCACCCAGATTGTTCTGGCCTGCACTGGAGGCAGGGGTCATAAGGGTCAGCCTGACAACAGTCCCAGGGGCAAGCCTGGCCCTGGTCAGGCCCAGAACTTCTCCAGCAATCTGCTGCCATAGCTGTGGAGATGAGGTCAGGGCTAGAGCCAGGCATCTGTCTTTGAGCATGGTTGCTGAGTGGGCTCCGCAGGGCTGCAGCTGGGCCAAAATACCTCAGGTTGTTGGCACAGGTTGCAATGTCCTGTCCGTGCATATTGAGTCGGGGATGATGGTTCTGAGACTGGGTGGAAGGGGGTTGCTGGTATTGCTGCTGCAGAGAATGATGGTGATGGAGAGAAGGGGACTGCGATTGAGCTTGATGTAGGTGAGTGGAATGGGGTGAATTTTCCTGGGCTGGCTGGTTTTTCAAGATTGCTGCAAAGTCACTATGGCTGCCTCTACTGTTCCCCCGGCGATGGCGTGGTTTGCTTCGATACCGGCTCTTGCTGCTTGAGGTGGACATTTTGGGACTTCCAGACAAAGGGGATGCAGTGGGAATCACCTCTGTACTGGGGATACCTTCAGATCGCAACAGATCTGGCCTGGGGAAAAAAATAACAGATTTAGTTTTAGACATATGAAGACTCATTCCAGTTTGGAGAAATACATCCCAAGCCTTCAAATATACATACCCTTTGATTGTTTGTGGTGCTGCGGATCAAACCCAGTGATACTGTGCAGTAAAATCTTATGGAATGGGAATAGTAGAAATGAAACCAAGCCACATCTTATGAATAAGACACCAGCCTGAGCTGACCAATTGCCAGTTCAGTACCACCCCAGTACCTTCGTCCCCCCCTCCAAAAAAAGATGTTTGATGATGCCATATTAAAATATTGTTTAAAATAGCAAAATGGAAACAAATGTGCACTTACAGAGGACTTCTTTTATTCCTTCTGGATTTTATTCTGTGTCTCACTAGCTTACAGAGCTACTCAATCTTCTTTAAATTATAATTCTAATCTACAGTGTTCTTGAGCTCTTTCTCATAATCCTAGCTATCAGCTTGGTGCCAACATGCCAAGGTAAATACCTACCAACATGCATGGGTATTTGCCCACTATCAGAAACCTGTCTGGTGATGGATTTGAGGAGATCCCTGATCAAAAAGGGAAGAGGTCTGGTACCAGAGAAGGAAACCACCCATTAATTAGGCAAAAAACTAAGTTCAAGGAGTTTGGCCTAGACATGGTCTCTTTGAGGGCTAGGATTATAGTCTATCCATCTTTGTATGTGAAAGGACACTAGCAAGGAGTCTTATTTATAGTAGATATTCAACAAATATTAAAGGAAAGAAAAGAAGGAAGGGGTCAAAGGAGGGGGAAATAGTAGAAAGCCCAGGAAATTGAGCACATGCAGCAAGAAAAGGACTCATGAGAAGTGACACTGGCATTAGTTTTAACCCTTGTGGGAGAAGTCCTACTTCAGCCCTGTATCCAAGTGCCCACTGCCCTGACATGAAGGCTATGTGCAGGAGGAAACCAGAAGCCTGAAAGTAAACCTGCTCATACTGACTATAAGGCCCACCAATAAATAAATGGTTCCTGAGCTGTTGAACTGATTTAGAACAACGACTCTAGGATTACCAGGAAGGACTACCACATCCTATGGGCGAGTAGCACTCCCCCATCCTTGGGATTAGACACAAATCAGCGGGAAATTTCAAAACTGGGGAGTCCAAACTTTGTTTTTTAACAACAGAATCCTTTTCTCAAATTATAAGAAACTCAGTATGTAAAACAGATATAGTAGAACTGGTCGAAGGGTGGTAGGCAGACACCCCCTCCCTGCCTGGCTCCCCAGCCTTGTCCTTTCTACCCCTGAATGGCTTCTGAGACACCATTGTGCAAGCCTTTGTGTGTCCCAGACATTTCTTGGGAACCAGATACATCCCTGCCCCCACCACATATGATTAAGAACCCAAAGCCCATCTGAAGCAGCTCATGGTCTCACAACTCAGTGACAAAATCCAGACAAGCAGAATGTCCTAGTGTCCAGCCTAGCTTATTGAACAGTCAGAGTTCAAACTTAAAGGCCCATACAACTCACTAGAAAAGCTTGTTGAAATCAGTAGGTCTGGAGTGAGGCCTAAGAGCCTGCAATTCTAGCAGGCTCTCTCACACACTGAGAACCTTGCTTTGCATGACCAGGGCTCTCATGATATTAGTAGGCTTCATGCAGTAGGAGGTAAGCTTTTCTTTTTTATTTTTCCAAGAAAAGTATAGTCAAAAGCTTGTCTTAGCACAGAATTTTAAGTTATTATTGGCTTATGATAAGGTAGATAGGGTACTGTGAGCTATCAACATTTTTTTGTCTCAGAGTTAGAAATCTGTGGTCAAATGGTTAACGTGTGCTGCAGAAAGAAGAGGATTAAAGAGGTTCTGGGGCTTCTACTAAGAGAGCTGTCCAAAGTCCAGTTAGAGGCATCTACTTACAAGGTAACTGGCTATGGTGGTATCTGAAAGACAGTTGCTGTGAAAGTATCCAAAGTTAGGGGAAGGCTACTCTTACTGAACCTGGCAGTGCAAAAACCACACAATAACCTTGCCACACCACTTCACAGTTTAAGAAACCCTTTATAATATGTGAAACCCCTGGTTCCTACTATTAGAATATCCACTTCATAGATAATGGCACTGAGGATCAGAGTTCAGCTGGCTTGTATTTATCACAAAGCAGAACTGATACCTTGACCAAAAGGCATAGTTCTTTTCCCATCTCAAGTTTCTCCTCATTAGAATGCATGTAAATTATCTTGTAAATATTGTACCATATTTACCTGTGACAGGCTTGGAGGATCTACATTTGAACTCAACACTTTTTCTAGTCCGTAACTAAACATAAAATGAAATCTAGATCTAAGATGGTAAGTGGTTTCTGCTCTCTTTTCTCCTCTGAGGACTCTGAACTTCTGACATGGCAATCACTGGACTGTACAAATAATCTGAAACTTCCTTGAAGAAGTAATTAGCTGACAATGCAATGCTCTGCAGACTGCCTTCCTTGTGGTTCACTCACTTACTGACTAAGAAGCTTCTGGTGGTGTCATTTTCAAACATTCTTTATGGCCAACATAAAAGTAAACAGGAGCTCACATTTTGAAAAGTTAAATAAAATAGTCTTATTGCCCGCCCCCCCCCCCACCATCCCAGTGCTCTTGGTTTTAAAACTGTAGTCAGATGCAGGAGGAATTAGCAGGTGGGCTCTATCCCAAATTAGTAGGCACAATAAAACAAAAGATCTTGGTATTTCCTTAAGAGTTTTGCTGAGCACCATTGGAAGACAGACTGTGACCAAAAGATGGTCAGGGGCAATAAGTAAAAGCAAACTTGGAATGAGTCCATGTGACTCATTAGTAGTTGAAGTTAACTAGTCATGCTCCAGTAAATGGCCACCATTCTGAAAGCTTGCTTTGTATTTGCTTACTATCTATATTCTTACTGCATTTAGTTCAAATCTCATGAGTGAGTCTACACCACAGGTTTAGGACACTTTCCTTTACATTAACGTATCTAGGACAGAGTCAGTTCTCTATTATTGAGGAATGATAAGGCTCCATAGAGTTTGGTAATGAAAAAGGAGTGAAAGAGTAAGATGTGTGTGTGTGTGTGTGTGTGTGTGTGTATAATGGGAATCAAACCCAGGACCTCATGCATGATAGAGCATATGCTCTGCCACTGAGCTACACCTCCACTACCTAAAATTAATGTAAGGCAAATGTATTGTAAAAGGGAAGAAAGTGACTTTTTAACTACCCCAAACCCCATTTTTTGAACACCTATGATCTGAAAGGTGCTTTCACATTATTTAAACTTTGCAGCAGGGTTTTGTGGTACACACCTGTGATCCCAGTTATTTGAGATACTGAGGCAGGAGGATTGAGTTTGAGTCCATCTGGGCAACAAAGTAAGACCCCAATCTCACAAAACAAAATTCCCATGCAGGGGCAGAATGAGGGGAACCAAATAGTTAGATACAAGTTATCAAAGTTCCTGCTTTTGGTTTTGGTGGTGAGTCATTACATTATCAAAAAGAACTAACTAAATGTATGAAAAAAAGTGGGTCATGCATGGACCACTGTGTCACAAATCAAGAATTATGGTTAACTCAATTCTGTGTCCTAGGGGGTCACAAAAAACAAAGATAAATCTCATGCGCCAGATCTATACTATTTTACCCATGAGGATATGGAGACTGAAAGTTCACTAAGATGGTCCAAGTCACCTACCTTATAATCAGATTAGAATCCAGATCTGTCTGGTCCCCAGTGTACTTCTCTCTCCTCTATTTGATACTGAGACAACACATATCTATGCCTCAGATAGTAAAAACTAGATTCCTAGGGTCTATGCCACACACACACTTTCTTGCTCATTTTCCTCTGTGTTATCTAGAGCCAGTATGCTAATAATGAGCACAGCAGTAGCCACATCTCCAGCTCTGAGAATGTTTTTTTAGGTGAATCTTTCCATTTATCTGAATTTTGGGTGTCTCACCGCTTGGTCTGCACCCCAGGTTTGTGGGGGACACATTTCCTTTTCATGAGTTTCTCCATGGCATTAGGATGGATTATTGGGCGGACAGGGTGTCGTTTGTAGGTTCCAGGATATTTCTTTTCCACAGCTTGCTCTCGCCTGAAGTTTTAAAGAAAAAGTCACAGCTCAGTCATGGCAGACAGAAAGGATGGGCAAAATGTTTTCACAGGTTAATTCTGACCACAGGTTTTGCCTATACTTGACAAATACAGGCTTTTTGAAAAATAGGACTGCTATTCAGGTTAAAAAACAAACACACAGATGAGAAAATACTAAATTCAGAGTCCAGAGTACTGACCGTTACTTTATGGAGGCAACCTCTAAAGACAAATGAACCTAACCTCATTCTGCTCTTTAACTCATGACCTCAGGTGCTGACTTTCTTTTCTCCAGAACAGTGCAAAGGCGTAAGTCCTGCTTATTTTTAGCAGCTGTATTATGGTCAGGACCCCAGGGATTTCTTGCCACCATTAGGGATACCTCACTTTACTTTCCCAAGGGGCAATAAACACCCACTTATCCACACCAAAATGAGGTAAAGACCTCTTCACTGAACCATGCAGCAGGTGAAATACCACTGCTAGTCCAGGGTCCAGACCCCTGTAACCAGCTGTGCAGCAACTCCGCTCATCTGCTCGCCTCACCTAGGCAGGGACCCGTGCATACCCTTGAGTGACACTGGGTAAATGCACAAAATATCTGCCAGGTGGGAGTAGCAGCAACATGGAAGAGTACACTCCCACTGATTGATGGGCTGAAATCAGTGAGGACCTTCTCTGGTCTGGATACATACTTAATGAGCTCCTTCTCCCTCATTTCCAGCTGCAGCATGATGGCACTCAGCTCCATGTATAAATTATTAGCCCGCTCAAGCTTTCTCTCATAGTGTTCACGAATATCCAGAGCATGCCTATCAAAGAAAACACACGATTGGCAAGGCTGGCTAAGTTGAAGGAAAACAAAGATAGCTCTAATGAAATAAGAAATAGGATGGTTTAATTCAAAAGCAATTGCCCCAAGGCCCTTTATTTTTAAGGCTCCCTTGTCTGATGCAAGATAAGCTTTCCACCTGGCTTATCTTTAAGATCCACCCAGCCATACAGAAAGCCAGGAGGGACACAGGTAAAATTGGCATATAATTTATAGCCTTTGTTTTTGTAGTTGATACTATGTTAATAAAAATATAGTATAAGGCCAGGTGTCTATGGCTCATGCCTATAATCCTATTTACTTGGGAGGCTAAGATAGGGAGGATCACGGTTGGAGGCCAATCCAGGCAAATAGTTTTTGAGACCCCCATCTCCAAAATAACCAGAACAAATGGACTGAAGGTGTGACTCAAGTGATAGAGCAAGCATGAAGCCCTGAGTTCAAACCCCAATCTCCACAAGAAAAAAACCCATACATATATACATACATAAATTATATATATATATATATATATATATATATAGAGAGAGAGAGAGAGAGAGAGAGAGAGAGAGAGAGAATCATATATATTAATGGAAATATGATTTTAAAGCCAACATCATGATCACACATGATCTGTGACAGAGATTCCATCTTGGTTGCTATGGTATGAATATTTGTGTCCTTCTAAATTCATATGTTAAAGCCTGATGGTATCAGGAGGTGACTAGGTCATGAAAACAGGAGTCCTCATGAATGAGATTAAGGCTCTTATTGATGAGTCTTGAAGAATCCCTTTGGTTCTTCTACCATGTGAGAACATGAAACTGCCATTTTTGAGGAATGAGTCTTGGACAGACATTGAATTTACTGGTGACTTGATCTTGGATTGCTCAGCCCCAACAATGTGAGCAAAAATTTTCTTTTGTTTATAAATTGCCAAGTCTAAGGTAGTTTGTTTGGCAGCCAAACTGTCGGAGGCAGTGACCGCCTATAAGCATACTACCTTGTGTCCCTTAATACATTGTAAGCATCTTGAGGCTAAGTACAACATCTTATAAACTCTTGGTCTTCTGCAGCACTTAGGACAGTGACTGAATGGATGAATTGCATTGGTCCAAGAATCTTTGTTGCAGAGAATCACAAAGGAGGAAAACAGAGTTAGGAGAAGAAGATAAAAAAAAAAAAAGAGAAAAAGCAGGGCTAAATTTTGCTGTTGTAGTTTAAACTTAAAATAATTTTTTTTGAGATAGGGTCTCACTATTGTAGCCTAGGCTGGCCTCAAACTCACAATCCTCCTGCCTCAGCCCCTACCTCGCCTGCCCTGCCAACACCAAGTACTGGGAGAATAGGTATATGCTGCCACACCTGACAAAATTTCTAAGTGATACAAAATATTGTACTTATTTATGGGGTAGCATGTGATGTTTCAGTACGCTGTCTAATGTTCACGTCAGGGTAAATATAACTGTTTCCTCACATAATTATCACTTGTTATGGTGAAAACATTCAAAATTCTTTTGCTTACCTTTTAAAATAAAAAACACAGTACATTTTTGTTATCTACGTCATCAGATAACAGATCAGTGTTACAGATCCTCAGAACTTCCCTATCTAATGCTAACCTTCCACATGCTCCAACCCCCCAACCTCTTCAGAACCATCAGCCTACTCTCGCCTTCCATGGCATCAGTCTTCTTAGATTCAACAGGAGGGCTAACTTTCAAGGCAACTTTTAAATGGTATAACAATAAAAAGTAGACGTGAAAGGTGAGTAGAAAGTGAAATGGTGATTGAGAAGGAGCGTGCCGCTAAAATCTGAAGCCGTGGGTGTGAGAAGAGGTAGGGAAGCAGGGGATAGCTGACCTGAGCTCCTCTCTGCGCCTTCGGATCAGTTCTTCATCTAGCCGGTGAATGCATGTTCCTTCACTTTTGATCTTCTCAAAGTGTTTTTTAACTTCTTCTCTCCATTCTGCCTGGTTGGGGAAAACCTGATTTGTTAATATCGTAGGTGTTTCAATCCATGATGTAACCATAGGCTCATACAAGATTTTTTTTCCTTACGTGAGCCTTATTTAGGGCTCAAGAAACATGAGTTGATGACATATTTCATGCCACTATATCTGCATTCCCCACCCCATATTCTACATCTCTACCCTACTACAAAATGCTGTCTCTTTCCAGTTTCTCTACAGCACTGGCCACCAGACACACACAGCTGGCAAACTGGCCATCACTTCTGGAACAAAAGATCTCAGTTAAGTCAAGGTGGTAGCAGAGATAGCCTGGCCAGAAAGAAAACCATGTGGTGCATGCATGTGTCTGTGAGTACATGGTCACCTACAAGATCTCAAGGGAATGCACAACAGGAGATGGAAATAAATAGTCAGGAAACTATACTAGAATTTGGATTTGAAAGAACAGAAAAGAGAGGAGAAAAGATAATAGACAGTATAGCAAAATAATTTAGCAGTCTGACACAATTTTTAGGACAAGAGATGGATGTCTATTATGTGATTCAAGTTGTTTAGAACTGAAACTATTTCCATTTCCAGAATGGCCAGTAATTCTCTAATACCCACATATCCACCTTGGCTTTGAATGAGTGTGCTTTTTGTTTTTTGAAATCAAGGAAAGGTGATGAATTTCACATTTGGGTCAATGACAGGACAAAGATAAAGAAACAATATCAAGATGGATGAAGCAGGTGTCAAGAATTTCAGGAAGGCAAAGTCAGAGAAATTATAAGTCTGCCAGGAACTCACAGCAGTGTGAGAACACTGCACTTTCCAACAGGACATAGATTTTCCAGCTAATTGTATCTAAATTTTAGCAAGCAGGAGAACTTCTTTTGGAATATGGTCTACAGGCAGTTTATAGAAAACAGCTAAATGGAGAAGCTTCCGTATGTATGTACAGGATTCCATCCCAAGGGGCTAAGGAGAAAAAGACTTACAGTGAAGCCTAGCTATGTAACTAATTGTCTAATGTAATATTCCCCTAGAACTATTCTATTACCTTCAGGCATATTTTTTAAAAAATGTTTCTTCAGATCAAATGGTAGTTCTATTTTTAATTTGTTGCGGAACCTCCATACTGTTTTCTATATTGCTGTAACATTTTGTACTCCCTCTAACAGTGTACAAGGTTTCCAATTTCCCCACATCCTCTCCAACACTTAATGTCTTTTGTTTTCTTGATAATAGCAATCCTATTCTGGGTACTTATCCAAAAGAATTGAAATCAGGATCTTGAAGAGCTATTAGTGTCTCTATCTTCATTACACTATTCACACTAGCCAAGATGTGGAAACAGCCTAAATGTTCATCCATGGATGAATGGATGAAGAATACATGGTATACATGTACAGTGGAATATTATTCAGCCTTAAAAAAGAAAAATCTGAAATATGTGACTGTAACAGGTACTCAAAAGCTGCTTTGGCTGAAAAAGCTCTGATTCCTTACTTGGGCCCATGAATTAACTGAAAGTAGGATGAAAGGTAGGCACCCAGCCTCCATTATGTATTTGTCCTTTGCTCTGAGCCATTCTCTCCTGCAGTCATTTTGCAGCCATCTAGGAATCCAGGAAGGACAGGACTGAAAATAAACATCCCATGACAGGAGACAAAGCTGCCCACTGCCAGGCAGCAATGATGCTTATTGTAACAATGCCTCATCTGACCAATCCTGAGACAATGAGCTACTGGACCACCTGTGGCCTCCATCTATGACCACCTGTGACTGGGATTGCTTAATAATTATGCATACCTCTCCCCAGTTCTCTCTCCTCGATTTAAACCTAAAACCAAAGCTACACAGGGAAGGGAAAGATGGGTTGAAATGCTCTCTTAATTTTTTTTGTTTGTTTGCGGTACTGAGGCCTGAACTCAGGGCCTTCACCTTGATCCACTCCACCAGCCTTTTTTTATGATGGGCATTTTCAAGATAGGATCTCTCGAACTATTAGCCCAGGCTGGCTTCAAACCGTGATCCTCCTGATCTCTGCCCCTTGAGTAGCTAGGATTACAGGTGTGAGCCACTGGTGCACGGCTTTGAAATGCTGTCTTGCTTCTTCCTGCAGCATGCCACGTCAATTAAGTCTCCTCCCTCTGACCTCTTCCATTACTTGTCTCTTTATTTGACATACTGAGGTGAGTAGCCACATCTGACCTATGGAACTCAGGTGGTTAGGCCTGGGGCCTAAAACTCCTGTAACATAATAACACAGACAAATCTTGAGGAACTTATGCTAATCGAAATAATCCAGTTACAGGAAGACAAATATGAATGATTCCACATGTAGGAGGCATTTGGAATATAGTTAAACTATAGAAGGACAGAGCTGAGTGATGGTTGCTGGAGGGATGGGGCAGAAATGGAGAATTGCTAATTAATGGTTATAAAATTTCAGTTATACAAGATGAATAATTCTAGAGATACTATATAACACTGGGCCTACAGTTAACAATTCCATACTGTTCACTTACAATCTAAAAAGAGTGTATCTCATGTAAAGTGTTCTTACCACCACAACAAAAAAGTATGTCTCTGAATCACAGCAAAAGTTACATTTTAGTAATTGTGAACTTATAGAGTAGAGGAGTTTTCCCCAAATTCATTCTCTCTCTCTCTCTCTCTGTCTTTCTTTCTCTCTTGTGCCTTGCCCATGCTAGGCAAGTGATCTACCACTGAGCTATATATCCCTAGCCATCATCTATTTTTACAGATGAAATTATATTGTAATTATTTAGGAAATGATTGTCCTAGCTACACCAGGTTTTCATTGGAAAGAAGCTTCTGCCAACTACTTGATTTTCAGGTACCAAAGATGCCCAGTATCATTGGAAAACCGAGATCAAGAATATACTATCCCACTGTTGAGTGACAGTCTTTAATGGTATCTACACACTAAATGAAGGTTTGGGTAACCTCAAGTAATGCTGTTCTCTCAATCAGCAGATCAAAGTCATGGGGTAGGAGAACAGTTGTATAGCTTTGGAGTCTTGAGAATATCCAGTGGGCGATGGGAGTGCCTTATAGGGAAATGGCAGCATCCAATGGATGCCAGATAGGGCAGTTTCTTCACAGAAAACACTGCTGGCTCACCAGTAAGCCAATACCCAGCAGATAACAGGCAACAGATGGCTGTGTCTAGCAGAGTTCATGCTAACGTTAGGCTTATTGAGTTCCTCATTCCTCACTGAGAACTCCCCAAATACATGTGTATGGCAGGGGGGCTGCTTACCAATGTATGTAAGTTCTATGTCAGCAGATAAGGGAAAAAAATCAAGTGAAACTTGATATAATTGGTGGTACCATGTCCCATAGAAAGGAAGATTTCTGTCTTTTCTAGTCTTCTAGTTATTCAATCAGTAGACTAAAGTTCTTATACCTAAGTGTTGCTTTTTTTATCCCCCATAACAAGGATGTCAAAATGAGGTTGAATTAATGAATGAATGGGTAAACAAAATATGGTATATGTGATGGAATATTATCCAGCCATAAAAAGTAATGAAGCTCTTACACATGCTACAATATGAGTGAACCTTGAAAACATGCCAAATGCAACAAGCCAGACAGTAAAGGACAAATATTTTATGATTCTATTTAAATGAAATAGCTAAAATAGGCAAATCCATAGAAGCAGAAGGTAGACTAGAGATTATCAGGGGCCAGAGGGAGGAGGGGATGGGAAGGAGCTAATGTTTAATGGGCTGATGAAATCTTTTGGAAATAGTGTCGATAATTTCACAACATTGTGAATGTGATGAATGCTACTGGTTAAAATGGCAAATTTATTTTACCATAATTAAATATATAAACAGCAAAAAAATAAGTTATTCTAGTTCCACAGAAAAGCAAGGACTGGGGATGTAGCTTAAATGTGTTAGGCTCCTGAATTTGATACCAAGCCTCTTCCCCTCCCCACCAAAAAAGCAAGATGCTAGGGACTTAGTAGACAGAAAAGCCTTAGAGAATATTTAATATGATCCTTAACTGACCCTTCAGTCCTCTTTGCAGCATCCCCAGAGTGAGTGCCCAGTCACTCAGGAAATTACCTCTGGTAAGCTTGGTCTCTGTATCTCCTAAACCCTGAATCTCTGGGTGGTCACCATGACACTTAAGAAGAAGCCAGAATGATGCACAGGCAAGAGTGGTGGGAACACTTAGAAGCAGGACACGTGACCACCTAGCAGCTGGAATGTGGGACTAGGCTAAAATATTTTCTAAAGACTCATAGAAAACGTTGTTGAATACCATGAGCAGTAATTGCTTCCTTGGAGAAAATGGGCAATTGTCTGGGAATAAGCAATAGCCTTGCAGAATCTAATATTGTACTGAAACTGGTTGCTCTGTCATCTGTCGGTATGTGCTGCATCGCTATACACGTGCTGCCGCTGACAACAGATGAAGCATTTTCTGCCACGAAGGGGTCAAGCTGGGTTCTTCGCAGCACGCTTGACTGACGGTTTTGGTAGAGAGTGAAGACCAGGGGCTATAAACAAGGATTGATAATTGATGCTGGGAGGAAGCAAGGCCTCAGGTATAGGACTGCTAGAGCAAGAGTAAAACCAGTTCTTCCCTACTGGGGAAGAAAAAATCAAAACACAATCAGTGGGAGTTCCCTAGGTGCCACCTTATTCATCTGAAGAGTTCATCAGAAGAAGCAGAAGAAGGTAACAACTCAAAGGAGGCTTGGCTTTTATAACTTTGTAGGAGGAGAATAATAGCATTTCAGAATCAAATAGTTCCTGCCAGTTTACAGAGCACCTGCATTTTTATCTTTTCATTTGATCCTCACAGAAATTCCCTAAGCAAGGGAGATATGACTATCTTCATTGTTCAGATGAGTAAGGTGAGATTTAGAGAAATTTACTGATAGGACAGGAGTTTAAACTCAGGGCCCACTTCTTTTCCTAGTAACTCAATAATCAGTTCATAAATACTTTACTGTCATTAGCCAGAGATAGTCTCAATTTCAGACCTAGAGATGTATCAGCTTATATATACCTAAACAGTTCTTGGAAGTAACAAGGACAGCAGATCTGGGGCTACTTTGGGAGAGGTGAAAGTTTATATTGGGAAAAAAATGGGGAAGAATTGATAAATATCAAAAGATGCTACTATGGTCTGAAAGTTCAAATTCAGAGTTTGAAATCTTAAGTGAGAAGGCAAAAGTAGTAGGAGATGTGGCCTTTTGGCAGGTGATAAGGCCATGAGGGCATCTCCACTTTTAATGGGATAACTATCCTTAGAAAGTGGGCCCATGGGAATTTGCCCTTTACCCTGTGAAGACACAGCAAGAGAGCAACCAGAACTTAGGCCATTACCAGATACCGAATCTGCTGTTACCTTGTATTTGATCTTGAACTTTCCAGCCTCAGAACTGTGGGAAATAAATTTCTGTTGTTCATAAGCCTCCCAGTCCATGCTATCTTTTTGTAGCATCCCAGTGTACTGTTTTCTCATCTCTCTCCTTGCCTCGCCTCTCCTTTTCCTTCTCTATCCTTGCTCCAAAACAACTTCATTTTTATTATTCCATTCAATAATGAAAGTGAGATGGCCCACTGAGGATACCGACTAGGTATTTAGTGCTCTGCACAGTGCTTTGCATATGGAAGGGTCTCAGAAAAGCTAAACTGGCTTCAGAAGGGCTATTTTGTAGCTGAGTGTGGTGGCACATGTCTGTAATATCAATGTATTGGGAGGGGGAGGCTGGAGGATTTCGAGTTTGAGGCACCCTGGGCAAAGTTATCAAGACCTTATTGCAAAAACAAAATATAAACAAAAGGGCTTGGAGTGTGATTCAAATGGTAGACTACTTGCCTAGCACATGTGAGGCCCTTAGTTCAATCTCTAGCATCACAAAGAAATGAGATATTTTGGGAGCACTTAAGTAAAATCTGTTTAGAATTTGAAGGTTTCCAAATATATTCAGTTAAACCGACTGTCTCAATGGCTCGTAATTTAATGATCTCACCAAAACTTGCTTTCAAAACTGCAATATGTATAGCTTTACTGTAAGGAAAGCAAAGCTGTGATTGTGTTCATAACCTAAGGTTTGAAAGATTTCCTAGAGAATATTTGCTTATTTCACAGAAGGACCGTGCTTTGTTTTTCTTTCTTTTGGTTGTACTGGGATTTGAACTCAGGGCCTTGTGCTTGTTAGGCAGGCTCCTCTATCACTTGAGCTATACTCCCAGCCCTTTTTTCTGTAGTTATTTTTCCAATAGAGTCTGGCATTTATGCTCATTCAGCCTGGACTGCCAGTCTCCTGTTTATGCTTCCTGACAGGTGCTGCTGCCACATACAGCCTTTACTGGTTAGGATGGGTCTTGCTAATTTTTTGCCAGGGTCAACCTTGAACTGTGATCCTCCTGATCTCCACCTCCTGAGTAGCTAGGATTTCAGGCATTAGCCACTGTTCCTGGCTCCAAAAAGGACTAAGTCTTTTCTGAATATTAGTAGAAGAAGATACTTGGAAGATTTCTTACCTGGTGCCCCAAACCTGCATGTATCTGAATAGATAGGCAATAGTTTTAATAATTCTACAGGAGTTTATCTGAAGACATAGTAACGAACATAGGACATGTCATGAATAATCCTCTTACTTTATTTAAGAACAAACAACTTTGCTTATATAATAATTACTCAAAAACACTAAAAAGCAATAGAACCAAGCTTACTTAAAGACACAGCTATAGGAATGAGGCGTGTGGGTCACAGAAAGTGTGTTAGAACTTTGCCCAACAGGACAAGGGTCTTTGAGTTATTACTCTTAATACTTGTACCTTTATGGAGATATTCCTCAACTTATGGGAGGTGGAGTATCGCTCTACTTACTGGAGATCAAGTTCTCCAAGCCTCTGGTTTGAGCTGGCACGAGAGAGCACAGCTGTGTACTTGTTTAATTCACATGGATGATGTCCCTCCCAAAATCTAGTACTCTTGTCAACAGATAGTTTCCCCATAGGTAAACTCATTACCCACTGGTGGTGGGAGGCTATAGAGTATGGTGAATGCCTTAGAACAGTGGTTCTCAAATTTGCAGGTCTCAGGACCTCATTATTCTCTTATTAAAGACTTCCAAAAGTTTTTGTTCATGTAGGCTGTATCTACTGATATTTACCAGACTAGAAATTAAAACTAAGAAATTATGTATAAGAATATATAAGCAAACATTCCATTAGCCATCATCCTATGCCACATAGTTTCCAGAATATTCCATTTAGAGAATGAAGGTAAAAATGGTAAATAACAATTTAATATTATTATGAAAATAGTTTCAATGTCAGGGAAACCTTGAAACAGTCTTAAGGGCTCTGGAAATCCCCAGACCACACTTTGTGAACTGCTGAAGAAGCTTCTCCAGTTAGATTTGGAGGAGCCAAACTATATTGGTCTATTAACTTTTTAAATTTTTATCTTTAAGGGCTGGCAGATGACTCTAGTGGTAGGGCACCTGCCTAGAAAGTGTGAGGCCCTGAGTTCAAACTCAAGTACCACCAAAAATCAATCAATATAAATTTTTATCTTTAAAATGTGTAGATGTCTATTTTCTCTTCCCAAGTTAACACAACTTTCTTTGCATTTTAGCCTTTTTTATTAGTCAGTTAGTAATAAAATGTCTCTTCTGAAAACAAATCTTCAAAATGATACTGGAAGCCAGTGGGGAGATGGAATTCATTTTAAAAAATTCATTTTAGAAACAATAACGTTAAGTGAGAAAAACTATATGAGAAATAAGAAATTTGGAAATCATATCGTTAAATTTTATGCACATAAAGCTACAGATTAGGATCATGAAATTTATTTCAAAGTCGTACTATTAGGCCTTTTGATATTCCCTGGGGCTGACAGGGACAAGGAACTTGCATGCACTCATCTCCTGCCACTCTATCCACAGTGATAATGGTTATACAACCCATTCTTATGACATTTACAGCATGTAGCCACAATCCTTTGTTTCTCGGGATCCATGCCTTTACAATGTGCTATAGCAGATTCTCTTGTCAAGAGGTTACTTTTATTCTAAATCCCTAGAATCTTGAGTGGCCTGTGACTTGCTTCAGCCACTGGAATATTATCAGGAATGATACAAATGCAGACTTGAAAATCCCTTATGCATTGGTGCTGGCTCTCTTGCTGCATTTGTTATCCTGAGAACAAACACCATATGAACAAGCCCAAGCTAAGCCACGTGGTGGAGAATGAAGGCATTCTACCTACAGGCCAGACTATCAGCAGACTTGCAAATGAAGCCATCTAGGCCTAGCCAGTCTCCCAGCTTGATCTGTAACTGACTACAGACACGCTCTTGAACCCAGTCAAAGCAGCAGCAGAACTGCCTAGCCCAAATTGTCAACCCACAGAATGGTGAGTTACATAAATGTTTACTGTTTTAAGCCATATGTATGGGACACTTTTAGTACATTAAAGGCTAACAGGTACATAAAATTGTATCTTATTTGGAGCTATTAGAAAGGTTTTCTCTGGGCCCAATTCTCTTATGGGCTCTTTCTGTGTAGATATTTCCTTCTTTAGTATTTCAGCTTTTGTGCTTGTAAGAAAGACTTTCATGAAGGTCACAGTAATTCTAATTCTCATACCCTCTTTTCCTCTTTTTTCTTCAGTAATTTCACCAGAACCCACTAAAGAGGATATTATAAATATATATTCTTTTCAAATGAGACAATAATACATGTTAAGTACTTAATAAACTCCCAAATGTATACTGTGAAGTGTCATAATTATTGTTTCACAGTGAATAGTTATATACTTGTTATAAGGCTGAGAGAGGCCCCATTCTAAGAGTTACCTTTTCTCATTAAGAGTTCAGTTGCCGCTGGAAGAGGTTTCTTGGCTTACCTGAGACTTGAAGTAAGTTTCTTGTGGGGTGGCAAGCACATCTGCAGAAGCAATGTCTAAATGCATGAGTGTCTGCCGGAAAGAAGGCCGGTTGCGAGGTTTGCTCTGCCTAAGAGTGAAAAAAACAGTTTGTGCATTTCAGAGGTTGTGCCCAAGAGGATGAAGATTTTGTTCTACTTTAGAAAACATTTTGTATCCCAAAATGGTTATATCTCAGACTGTTTGGATATACTGAAGGGCATAAGGTAAATGTAGTTTGGAGACTTACATGAATGGACTGGAGATCTAGGTTCAGTGGCTATTTAACAATAGTCCATTAGGATTGGTAAAGTAGTAATAGCTATCATTTGCTAAGGCCCACTGTTTTAAGGTATTATACCAAACTCTTCATTTATAAATTTTAATTAATCACAGAAAAACAACTCTATGAATATGGGCTTATTTCTATTTTACAGGTGAGAAAACTGACATTTGGATGACATACCCCAAATTACAAAGATGATTAAAAAAAGAAAGGCAGAGCCAACTTGGCGTGGTGATATATGCCTAGAGTCCTGGCACTTGAGAGGCTGGGGGCAGGGGGATCATAAGTTTGAGGCCAGCCTGGGCCTAAGATCCTTTTTCAAAACAACAACAAAGGCAGAGCCTGTATTTGAACCCAAGGTTCTTAAACTCCAAAACTTCTAGTCTTTCAACCATCAGATGGTTCATTCACTCCAAATACATATTGGAGACGTTCCTGTTGTTTTAGAGAAGTTTTACAGATAGCTTTTGAGGAAGAAGTAAAAGAGAATATTGGAAGAAATATTTCTTACCATGTCTGTTTCATAAGGATTTTGAATCCATCTGGGCAAGTGGAAGGAACTGGCAGGTGCAGGCTATTGCTTCCAACGCCCCAAATAATGGCTGAAGAGTCCACATCTTTGTAGGGGATCTCTCCTGTCAGCAGCTCCCAAAGTACCACTCCAAAGGACCTATAGCAGATCAGGACCATGTACAGAGGACATTCCAGAAAGACTGATTTGTATTTTACTTCTTCATTAATTTTAATCAAATTAACACATATGCCCAGTCTAAAACTTTTATAGGAATTTAAAAAATACTTTTTGTAGTACTGAGGTTAAACTAAAGGCCCTTGTAACTGCCAGGCAGGTACTCTACCACTTGAGCCATACCCCTGGGTCCCTAGTTTTAAAATTTGAATACAACTATAAGAAAAACAGAAAAATCCAGTGAATCCATGAAAAAGAAAATAAGTGAAGGATAGCCAATAGTATCAGATGTTAAGACGTATCATAAGGTCTCAATAACTAACTCTGGTGCATTGGTGCATGAATAGACAACCAGGTTAATGGACTGGAATAAAAACTCAGAAGCAAACCAAATATATATGGGGATTAAGTATATAATAGGAGTGACATCACAAACTAGGGAGAAAAAATTGGTTAGTTAATTGCTGCCGAGACAACTGGGGAAAAATTAAATCTAGGTTGAGACATAGCTCAGACATAGGGATCTTGTCTAGCATGTACAGAGCTATCTCAGCACTGCAAAAAAAGAGAAAAAAAAACCCATTATACCTTTCTATATATCAAGATAAATTTCAAATTAACCACAAAATTAAGTATGAAAGAAAACTTGGGTAAAAATTTTTTTATATTCATAGAGAGAGGAAGGCTTTTCTTACCATTAAATCTAGAAGACATAAAAGGAGAGGCTGATAAAGTTAAACTATTTTAAAAATATTTGGCATGAGAAAAAAACACCATAAACAAAATAACAAGATGTCAAAAGTATCTGCAATTCATCTATACAAAAAGCTAATGTTCTTAGTATATAAAATATGCATAAGTTTATATGAATAAAGATAAATAATCTGAGCAAAGTAATAATAGAAATTCAAATTAAAACTGCATCTAAGATACCATTTTTCACCTATACGATTGCCAAAAAACCAAAAGTTCAGCAGACTTTGTTGGTGAGACTAAGATAACTCTCTTATGCTTTGTTGGTGGGAATATCAATTGGTTTAACCTCTAAAGAGGAAACTTTAGCAATCACCCAGATTACAAATGATCTCACAGTTCTATTTTATCCTAGTTACCATGGTGCTACATGCAATTTTAACATATCCTGTTATTTTGGTAAAATCCACAAGTTTCTAGTCACTGATTTTAAGGGTGGAAAAAAGAATTACAGGACAAATATTGTTAACATTAAAATTCATAACTTCAGAGGAAAAAGTGATAAAGATTTTTTAAAAAGGACAAGAAAAACAGCATACACAGGACTGCTCAATAAAAGGGTAAACAGCCTAACACACCACAAATAGCAAAGTACATTACTAATATGTGTAATGATTGTCTCAGCCCTCAAGAATAGGTAAGCTTAGTTTAATGTACTTTACTCAAAAAGGTGAAAATTAAGTAATAAATTTAAGAAAGACTTATATACTGAATGATCATGTGAAGTAAAGGTTCTGTTTTTCCGAAAGTTCAGCATGTTCTCTGAGGGGCCCCAAAATGATTTATTGACTAGATATTTACCCTAATCACCCTTCTTATCCATTTACTATATATCATATTGGGTAATGCCTCTGATAATATGAGACCAAAATCAACCAGAAGTGAGCAACACTAAAGAATATTCTGGGAAGAAAAAGGCTTTCTAGTTGGTCCAGATGGTGCTACTAACCAAATATCGACTTTTTCAGAGACAGGTTCATTCCGTATCACCTCTGGTGCCATCCATGCAACTGTGCCAGCAAAGGACATCTTGGTGCTTTTATCACTGAGTTCCTTAGATGTACCAAAATCTGAAATTTTTACTGCATCTGTGTGAGTCACTAAAACACTTTAAAAGAAATAAAGAAAACACACAGATCATTAGTATTAATAAACATGATTCTGATTTTCTTTGTGCTTCTACCCTGTAAGGTTCAGCTTGCAGTTGTCAATGTGCCTGGGCCATCAATTCTCCACGAGGAACAGCATCACTGACACTTGAGAAGCAGCTTAGCAAGTGGGCTTTTAACACCTGGTTTCACTTGTCTCCACCACTTGCTACCTGTGTGATCTTTGCCAAGTTACTTAACTCTTCTAAGTCAGTTTTTTTCTCTATAATTTTATAGAGAGAATTCAGGTAATAATATCTTAGCCACAATTTTTAAGAATGCAAAAAGCTCTCAAAATGGTTTACACATATTTTGTCATACACATAGGCAAACTTTATCCAATTTCATAGGTTTTGCCACAGTTATATGAATATGGCTGATTAGAGTGTTGCTCTACACTTAATGCTGGATATCTAAAGAAATGCATGATGTTACCTTTCTGAAATCATCTGGCTCCTAGAGTTTTGGATAAAGAATTGCGGACCTATATAGTGACTTAGTAAAATTGCATTTGATTTAAATGAGCTACATACTGGTTTCCATCCTTGCCAGCCTCAGCCCACTCACTAAGAAAGAAACTTTGTTTAAAATGTTATCTAAGTGATGGTCAACTAATACCATGAATGCAGGCAAGTCATGTTTTACTTTTCATGGGAGTTATCTGAAATGTGTCCTGGAGCAATCTGTTTTTGTAAGCTTTAAAGATGAATAGGAGAACAAAGTACTGACACCCTTACATAGTAGACTAAATTCACTTGACAAAACTTTTTCAGAACTTTGAACTGTTAATGAATTAGGGCGTCAGAACCTTAGTGACATGGGGACCTACTCTTAACAGCAAGACAGATAATATGCAGATAGTATCTAACTCCAGGAGGCTAGAAAGCAAAAACTTTGAATCTATTCCCTTTTTATGTTTGAACTAGGGACTTCACATTTGCCTCAACCACACTCCCAATGCCAGATGCTTTTCTAGTAACTGAACAGCCCAGTGCTTGCAATTGCATTAGAGTACCTTTATTCACATCCTATCCCTGGTTTTGCACCTCATAAGTACATTTTGCATAATTTAGGGGTTTTGATTTTTCAGCATTCGTCCTGGTGCAACCACATGAGGAAGAAAACCTTATGGGTAACTGGAGAATTGATGATGTCATTTATCATGGAAGTCACAAACATAAGTCCCTAGAAACACTGTAGGCACTTCCTCTTCTGCCTCAGTTGGCATGACAAGAATGGATTTGGGAGGAGATTAAAGATGATAAAACATTGGAGCTTTTCTGAAATCTTCTGAGATAAAATTGGGATCACATACTGCAGATTCAATATAGGTAATGACATCTCCAGCAAGACAGATTGATCTTTGTCTTCTCAAAGTTTGCTTGAAACCCAAAGAAGTTAACAGAGATGGTGTCGTTAACAGAGAGAAGCCTCCCTGATGACCAACTTACTACTCCAATTTTCACCTGCCAGGGGTTAAGGAGAGCAGTATGAGATTTTATGTATTTTAAGCTTCCCTGACTCTTCTCTGAAATTAGTTCTCAAAGAGAACATGGTGATTAAAAAGGAGACCATTGAATGATGCCTTTGGCAAGTGTTTCACATACTTTACCTGTGTATAGGGAATGGCAAAACCAATGGATTGTGTTAAGAATGTGAACAGAAGGAATGAACACTATAATGTTTATTTGCAAGTAAAGCACGGAGATTATGCAGTGAACTAGCCACTTCCATATATACATTGTTGAGAAATAGTGATACATAAAAGCTGCTTTAAGTTTATAATCAAGCATTGATTTGAATCTTCTATAGAGAAGAGGCAGAACTCACTGTGAGTCCCTTATCTTTAAATAATGAGGTAGGCTGAGTAGCTTTGGTTTTTGTTGAAGGAGCGAGTATAAAGCAATAATAGGAAGGAACAAAGGGGTTTTGCTAGTTGAGATAAAGGATTAAAGCTATACAGGGAGTTGACTCGCATTGATTTCCTGTGCATGTTGTGTTTACCTTCTAGGTTTAATTCTTTTCTTCATCTAACCTTTTCTCTAGATCCTGGTCCCCTTTTCCTATTGGGCCTCAGTGCTTCTTTAAGGTATTGCTTTAGTTTCTCTGGTTGAGGGTAAACAAATGCTAACTAATTTTTTAGGTTTGTCTACTTATCCTCAATCTCCCTTGCGTGCCTCTCGGCTTTTTATCTTGTGATAAAGTCCAATCCCATTGTTTTGTTTGCCTTGTCTAATGTCCACATATGAGGGGAGAACATATGATTTTTGGTCTTTTTTGGGACAGGGCTAACCTCACTCAGAATGATGTTCTCCAATTCCATCCATTTTACCAGCGGAATGATAACATTTTCGTTCTTCTCAGGCTGCATAAAATTCCATTGTGTTAGATACCACATTTTTCTGATCCATTCGTCAGTGGTGGGCATCTTGGCTGTTTCCATAACTTGGCTATTGTGAATAGTGCTGCAATAAACATGGGTGTGCAGGTGCCTCTGGAGTAACTGTGTTCACAGTCTTTTGGGTATATTGCCCAAGAGTGGTTATTGCTGGATCAAATGGTAGATCAATGTTCAGCTTTTTAAGTAGCCTCCAAATTTTTTTCCAGAGTGTTTGTACTAGTTTACATACCCACCAGCAGTGTAAGAGGGTTCCTTTTTCCCCATATCCTCGCCAACACCTGTCAGTGGTGGTGTTGCTAATGATGGCTATTCTAACAGGGGTAAGGTGGAATCTTAGTGTGTTTTAATTTTGCATTTCCTTTATTGCTAGAGATGGTGAGCATTTTTTTCATGTTTTTTGGCCATTTGAATTCTTCTTTGAGAAAAGTTCACTTGCCCATTTCTTTATTGGTTCATTAATTTTGGGAGAATTTAGTTTTTTAAGTTCCCTATAGGAACAGGTACTAGAGAAAAGGTTAGATCAAAAAGAATTAACCTAGAAGGTAACACCCACGCACAGGAAATCAATGTGAGTCAATGCCTGTATAGCTATCCTTTATCTCAACCAGCAAAACCCCTTGTTCCTTCCTATTTATTGCTTATACTCTCTCTACAAACAAAATAGAATAAGGGCAAAATAGTTTCTGCTGGGTATTGAGGGGGGGAGCGGGAGGGGTGGAGTGGGTGGTAAGGGGGGGGTGGGTGGGCAGGGGGGAGAAATGAACCAACCTTGTATGCACATATGAATAATAAAAGAAAAAATGAAAAAAAAAAAAGTTCCCTATATATTGTTATTCAGTCCTTTGTCTGATGTTGGAGCTGGCAAATATTTTTCCCATTCTGTGGGTGGTCTCTTTAGTTTAGAGACCTTTCTTTCTGTTGAGCAGAAGCTTTTTAGTTTTATGAGCGTCCCATTTATCTATGCTCTCTCTTAGTGCTGGCTGCGGGGTTCCATTGAGAAAAGTTGTTACTTATACCTACTAATTCCAGAGTATTTCCTACTCTTTTCCTGTATCAATTTAGAGTTTGTGGTCTGATATTAAGATCCTTGATCCATTTTGAGTTAATATTGGTATAGGGTGATATACATGGATCTAGTTTCAGTTTTTGCACATTATTAACCAGTTTTCCCAGCAGTTTATGCAAAATGTTTTAAAAAAGAGATTAGTTCTTCTGTGCTTCTCTAAACTAAATCATGACAAAAATAATAAAAACAATGTTTACAAATAGAAGCCAGATGGAAATATACCATTTTATCAATTCCTTTCTTTCCTTCAGGTGATTTGGAGAATTGAACAAACACTTTTCTTAAAGTGGTTATTGGTTACCAAGGAATCATTTTGAAAACAAAGATTACTAGAAACAGCTCTGCTGCTTAAATAACTATTTTTCTTATAGCCATTGTGAACCTTGTAACTGTTTATTTCCTCTTTTGCTTAGACTCTCAGAAGCTCAAAGCCAGATCTGTAGTCCACATCAAACAACTGTACAGACTCGGATGCATACATTTTGTGAACAAATTTTCAGAAATTTTAGCTCTAATGTTATTTTCTCTTTGCCTTTGTCTCTTACTTGCCCAATTTTATATTGCTGTATTGTATGCATTTCCGAAACTCAGTTTAAAAAAATTCTTTGAACACAGTAGGGAAACAACAAACTGAGCTTTCAAGTGGGGAAGTTTGGCATTAACTATCCGAACTGATGGAAAGTAAATACTTCAGATAATAATATATTTTGTTGTAAAGCTATAAAATTTATAATCAGCAAAAAGGGGAAGCTAATGCCAGGTATCTAATGGCACATAAGTAAGTAGCTCCACGATAATTCAAAAGGTACGCAAATACCTACTGTGCTGACTTAAACTGAACTGAGTCTGACAACTTCAGCTATGGTTGATGAAAATTCCCTATTTTAAAACAACAAAACAAAATACGTGAAAAATTAGTCCCAGAACTCACTTAGGTGATTTGAGATCACGATGAATAATTTTATGGAGGTGTAAATAATTCATTCCGCTTGCAATTCCTGTGGACCAGTCTACTAGCAATCGAGGTGTGATCTTTCTGCCAGCTCGCAAGACCTCATAAAGTTGTCCGTGGGCACAGTACTCCATGATGATACAGTAACACGGGGCCTGGGTACAAACACCCCTTCCAAGAAAACAGAAACATGTACATAAATACATGCGAAATGCATATGATTTTCAAAATGCACATAATGATAACATTTCCTGATTCTTAAGTCAGCATTAAAATCCCTATAATCTATAGGCCTTTCTATTACATACATAGACAGTTTTTGTTTTGTACTCTTCAGTCCAGATTATCTGTGTGCTGTACTGTGTTTGTTGGTTTTATGAGGACCATTCCATCCAGGGACAAGGAATACCCTTTTCTGAGGTTTGTATAGTCTGGATTCTATGTTGTTTTAGATTGCTAAGAATAATTTAAGAGGAAATATAATGGAGGGGGTGAACTTGTTCCAAGTACACTGTACACATGTGTGGAATTATCACAATGAAATCTCCTTGTATCATTAATGTACACTAATTCAAAAATAAAAATTTAAAGAGTAATTTAAAATATATTCCTTTTAAACTTAAATAGGTTTTATATGTAGCATACAGAGAACAAAATATTGTTATTTTAATTATTTTTTGTTGAATTTTATGTAACTTAAATTTAAAACAACTAAACTGAGAACCATAAAAGAAAAGTCAATTTTCTATCTTGAAACTATGTTTTATTCTATTCAGAATAAAAATGGTACATTTTATACATGTATGCATCATATATTTCCATGAATTCCTACAACTTTGTGAAGCCTTCCCTTATTATTCCAGTCCCAAGAGATTATTCTCTTCTTTAAGTTCCTAAGACAAGGCTGGTGGAGTGGCTCAAGTGGTAGAGCATCTGCCTAGCAAGCATCAGGCTCTGAGTTCAAACCCTAGTGCCACCAAAAATAATAAAGGAACATAAGTTCATAAGACACATGGCAGCCATGGTTTTGGGCACCTTTTCTCTGCCCAAATAGATTTCAGATTCCTTGAAGGAAAAGGGCTTCCAGTTCTTTTTTTCTCTTCCACAAGAAGAGGACTTGTCAAGCAAGTCCTTGACAAATGTTTCTTAACTTTATCCCTACTTTTATAGCTAGAAAATGCCTCACCATACCATGTACAGAGGGCTGGAGTAGGAGACAGGATACCAACATGAAAGAGCATCTCATATTTTTCAAGCATGTGTATGTGTTTGCCTTGTTTAATCTGCCCCTAAACCACTGTGTGATGATTAATTCTGATTGTTAATTTGGTTGGATTAAGAAATGCTTAGAAAGAGTGGAGGTGTGGCTCAAGTGGTAGAGCACCTACCTAGCAGTATGGTGGGGCCTAGTTAGAGGAAGAAGGTCATTGGGGGTGTGTCCTTGGAGGTATATCTCACCCTGGCTCCTTCTTTTATTTCCTCCTTCTGCTTCCTGGCCATCATGATGTGAACTGCTTTGCTTTCCCACAGTGATGTACTAACACGTTTGCACCATGACCAAACTATAATCCTCCCTTAAGCTGTTTCTGTCAGGTATTCATAGCAATGAGAACAATGACTACTAAACATTATAAGACAGATATTACCTCTTCTACTTTTACAGGTAAGGATCAGAGTGAAAGTGACTTGTCTTAATCAGAACTGGTTCAGAACTCAGATTCAAACTCAGTCTAACTTCAAACCAAAGGCCCTTTCCTCTCGCTATCCTATACTGCCTCCCTTTTATCTTTTAAACTTCTGGATATGCAAGCATATTTTGGATTCATATTACCTATATACCATTAATTCATAAAAGTGGGAATAACCACATTAACTCTACTTCACACAGTTTGTTCTCAAGATGAGAAGAAAAATTATCTTATGTAAATTTCCATGTTCCATGTCTTAAGGGTATATACACTTTCCTTTGAAACTTTCTAGAGAGGTTAACAGAGTACTGTCTGCAAGACATCCAATTGAAGTCTTTAGCAGCTACCAATTCATGTTCTATCTTTTAGGCTGTGTAAGTGATGAAAGAATTTAGAGGCCATGGCTCGAGGCACCCGTCATGCGAAGATCTTCTAACAAACAGTAGGTTATGCAGAAGTTTAATTTGTCTCCACTTTCCTTCCTTGATGTGCCTGTCAAATGCCACAAAGCTATTTTGATTACTAGCTTATCATTTTCGATTACTAGCTTATCATTTTCGATGCTACCTAGAATTCCTACCTTGATTTTTAATGAAAAAATAATTTGAAGTTTCTGTTATTTGATTTTTGGTAAACTTCAGTGGAGCACAAGTATACAGTATCTATAAATAGATACTTTACTTATTATTGCAGAGAAACTATGAAGAGGGTAGGAATAATGCAATGCACTTAGACATATTAAGGCAAATATTTGTTTGAAGGTGCTCACTATTTTAATTTGTTACACAAACATAGACAGAAAGGGTCTAGCAGTGATGTATTATAACCTTTTCATCTCTCTTGACTGACGAATGAGAAGCAATCATTCCATCAGCTTTCTACTATGACAAGGCTTCTGAGTAGCTATAAATAACAGCTTTATAATCACTTCTAATTGCTACCTTTTCTTCCCTTGGCATTGAATATCATTAGGAACAGTCAGGTTGGGTTTTCTTAAAAGATTACTAAAAAATATATATATATATATATTGGTGTAAGGAATGAGCCAACCCTGCCTCAGTAGTGGGACAGTTGGGGTACTGGCAAAGTACAAGAGGTTAAAGATAGTTTACTTTGATTGTCTCTTAGTTTTGAGTTTTGTTTGCTTGTGATGCTTTACTTTTTTTGGAGAAGAAACAGTTTCCTTAGGAAGGTTCTTGCCCATGGGTTTGACTCCAAGAACCTCAGGGTCGGGGTGACCTGCAGAGTGGTCCTCAGCCACTTAACTTCTGCAAAAAAACATATGGACCCTCTGCGTGGGAAGGGTGTTTGCCCTCTTAGGTGAACTTCTTTCTCCATTTTATACAGTCTCCTCCTATATTAAATCAATTTACCCCCCCAAAAAAATAGAAGAAAAAAGACAAGACTATAGTATTCTTATCTTGCACTCCCTTTCTGTACATGGTTCTTACTAACTTTAAAAGAAGCTGTAAACACAGAAATCAGTATTCAGAGAGATGCACTAAAATCCAATCATGTCCTCACATCTTCCAGACGTCCTGAATGTGATTCATTGGCCAAGCAACACATGGTACAGAAGGCTGCTAACGTAACACTGCACAATGCCCCAAGAACGTGGTGTAATGGGCCAGGGACACAGACTCACTATTGTTTTCCATGTAGGGGTACAGACCATTCAAGTATCTTCAGCTTAAAGAACTGGGCACTAGCACAGCCATACTTGTCCAACAGTGCTGAAAGCTGCATATACAGGTAGAAGGTAAGATGGGGAAAAGATGGAAGAAAAAGGAAGAAGCAAAAGAAAAGAAGGAAGAAAGCTTCACGCTCCTCCATGCTCTTAGGATGCATTTCTACTTTCCATTACCCAGGGCATTCTCCTGATAGCTCTCTTAACTGGAACACACAGCTAGATCATTTCAGGAGGTTAGAAAGTGCTAAGCTATAGAATGTTCTTTGTCTCAACCCAATATCCTAGTGATCTGAGTTTAAAAGTTCTTGGCCCATTCTTCCATTTAGGAGGGCATAGCATGCTGAAAATGTGATCCTTTCAGTGAAATCAAATGAAATAAAGAAGGTGGCCTCCATTAATCTGTCTGTTTAAAGTAATACTCCTGTTAACTTTTGAAACTTATCATCTTTGAAAAAATTATAGTCTCTATTGCATTTATCATTTTAGTCCCTTATTCACCTAGCCCTACTAGGGCAACCATTGATAGAATTACAGCAGCAGTTATAGGTCTCTTCCATGTCCTCTGCATGAATGTGCAAAGGACAAAGAAACAAATCCACTTCCTTCAGTTTCTTAGTATGCCAGTTTATGCTTCTTTTCATGTCTTTCCCTTTCTATAAGGGGTATTGTAAGTGAATTAAATTTTAACATCAGTACTCATTTAAAACATTTCTATAAAACCTACACCCCCAGATTTCTATTCCCTACTTTAAGAATATGTTTCCAATTAAGACTTATCACATGACATTTTTAGCTTCACAATGATAGTTTAACAGAGGAAGGATCCCCCTCTTGGGACTGATAGGAAAGCTCCTAGTTTAGAGAAGCAACGTACAATACTGTATAACTATATTCATATTGGTTATGCTTTTCTAGGAATGAAAAATACACATCAAATATGCCAGAAGCTCTGTTTTCCAAATTTTCAAACTACGAGGGCTACAATTCCTATTTTTCATCTTCCCTCCTCTAAAGTCAAATGAACTTACTCAAGTAAGTTCTTATTAAGCACTTATTCAAGCCTATAGGAACATATAAAGCTTAAAAGGGAGAGAACTCGAGGGAAAGGTTCAGGCTGAAGAGCTTTCATACATTTAGAGTTCAGTACTTCCAAGTTTGGTGATGTTCACAAATTTACCTTTGCCCCTCCTGTTAGGAATTCCCAGTCAATATTAAGAAAATAATGGTCTAGATTAGAAAGATATGTCTACATATTCTCAAAAACAACCACTTTGTGAAATGAATATAGCATATAACTTAATATCACACTTTCTTCACAGAAAGCTATGTTTGGCATCACTAGAAAAGGAATGTAGCAAAACTTGAGGCTATCAGTTGTATCCATCATAAGTTAATATTTAAAAAGTTAATACATAAGGACTAATTATTCTGATTACTTCACGTTAGATTTTTTTTTTTTTGTCAGTACTGGGGTTGAACCCAAGGCCTTGAGATTGCTAGGCAGTCTCCACCACTTAAGCCATGCTCCCAGCCCTTTTGTTATTTTTGAGATAGGGTCTCGCTTTATTCCCTGGCTGCCTGAACCATGATTTTCCTCTTTATGCCTCCAGAGTAGCTGAGATGACAGTCATGCACCACTGCACCCACCTTTTTATTGATTGAAATGGGGATGGTCTCATGAACATTTTGTCAGGGCTGGCCTTGATCTGTGATCCTCCCTATCTCTGCCTCCTGAGTAGCTAGGATTATAGGCTTGAGCTATTTTTCCTGACCTAACTTTCTTTTTTTTTTCTAACTGAATTTTGAGATGTCCAGAATGTCACAAAGTGACCGCTATCATCCCACTAATAAATGAGGTTGATCAGAAGATATGATTGCCCAGCAGGGATCTAGTTCCTCCTTCTCTGCCCCATGCAGTGCATGCTTTGGCAAAATGATCTCCTAGATCAAAAAATGCTTAAGGACATGACTCAGATTTAATAGTGCTTTAAGACCCATCCAAAGCACCTAGCACAGTGCTAAGTCTATTAAGTGTTTTGTGTTGGTGTGGTGATATTTGTTTGCTTGTTTTTAAGGCAAGGTCTCACTATGTAGCTCAGACTAGCCTTGAACTTACAATCTTCCTGAGTGCTGAGATTATAGATATGCCTTATCGTGCCCAGCTAACAAGTGTTTTTGAAATGTCTCTCAAGATAGGAACATATGTGTATAGATTGGGGGAAAGAAAATACCTATTTAAAAAAAAAAAGTCTTGACCTACTTGAATGCGATGATGTTAGGGTGCTTCAGCTTCCTCAGATGCTTGATGTCCGTCTCATTCTGTTCTCTCACTTTCTTGATGGCTACCTCCTCTGCTCGGAATTTGCCCAGGAAGACAGCTCCCTGGGCTCCGCTACCCAGCCACTGCAGCTCTGAGATTTCCTCAAATGGCACCTCCCAAGTATCTAGGCACACAAGTGAGAAATTAGTTTGAAGAGATCTTGGAATTTGCCCAGGGACCATTCTATAGGCCATTTTAAACATACCAACTTCATCATCACCTGGAATGACCCTTATCCTCTGACTCCCACCAAAACATACAACCGTTTGTTGGGCTTTGGTTCTAGAGATCAGATTTTGATGTATATTAATTTGAGGCAGGTTTTTTTTTAGTGGTACTTGGGTAGGAACTGAGTTGCTTGGTGGGCAACTGAATGCTTCCAGCTCTTGTACTGGTTTTTAACTGCTGAAATCAAGCAGGTTAGAGCTCTCCAATGTAGTCTCCTCCAAACAAAACATATACAAACACTCCTGCAATCTCGCCTCCTCACCTTAAGCTTGCATGTTTGGTCAACTTTCCTAATGTCTCTATACCACTACCCTATCCCATCACCCATTATACATGCTGTTTTATTCGTGTTTGGATTTTGAGTACAGATGCTTAATGAATCCTTGCTGAATAAATTTGCAACACTATATACCTAGTTGTGTATAATACTTATGTTAACATTTACCTTTTATCGAGTACTTGCAGGGCTGGTGGAGTGGCTCAAGAGGTAGAGTGCCTGTCTAGCAAGCATGAGGCCCTGAGTTCAAACCCCAGTACCAACAAAAAAAGAGTTATATAATATTGAGTACTTGCTATATACCAGAAACTAGCATATTACTCTACATATATATTTAATCCTTGCAACAACCCTACAAATCTGGCCTTACTATTATATTTATTTAAAGATGAGAAAACAAAGGCATACGGTAGTTAAGTAAATTTGTCCAAGTCCATATGGCTAGTCACGGCAGAACTGGGCTAAGGGAATCCCAGAACTGGCCAATTCCATGGGCAGTGTTTACTCTGCCCTCCCACATTGCCTTTTATGAAGTAGCTGTAAAGGGCCATCAGTGACTAGTCACAGTATGTCATCTACGAAGTTGCAGTATTGTCAAGTTTCTCTTTTTCTTTTTGCTTAATTTTTTGTTACCAAAAACTTAATAGAGGTCAATTTTAAGTGGTGGTATTACTGGTAATGCATGTTATGTTTCTTTATCAAATTTTTTTTTTTACCATCAGCCTATACCACTTTTAAAATAAATAACATGCTATTTAAAATAAAACACCTCAAAAATTTGGTCAATATGCATATCTAATCTCTTCCTTGCCCCCCTCTTACCAGGGCATTATCACAGGCAAGAAATGGACATGAAAGAGAGAGGAGCCCCACAGAGAGGAGAAAAATGATGACAATGGTAAAGGTTATGAGAGATTCTCACCCGATCACTGAAAGGTCACTCGCTCATTCGTTGCAGAACACAAAACAAAGTTGTACTAAGTTAGCTTTGAAGATATTCTGGTCTTGAAAGCAAATCAACTTACTGTCTACTATATTAATGAAGCAAGAGCAGAAAGAGTTCATTAGTATCTAAAAGTGACCTGCACGTCCCTCTTCTCTAAGTTTCTCTACCTTAAAAGAAATCTCTGTGTTCTCAAGAAAATGTGGTTTCTCATTACAATGGTGAAAACTTGACCTTCAAAACGTAACTACATAAGCAGGAAAATAACTGTACTGAAGATGGTTTGTAGCATGGACATTCACCCCATTCTTTGGATATAAGCAACATCGAAAGTTTCTGCTCTCTGGTGAAGTAGCTCAAGTGATAGAGCACCTGCCTGGTAAGCCCAGCAAGTGCAAGGCTCTGAGTTCAAGCACCAGTTTAGCAAAACCAAAAAACAAAAAGCAAAAAAGAACCAGTCTCTGTTCTATTGAAAATGAACAGATGTGATATAAAAGCAACTCTTTCCAAAATACAAATAGCTCACAAACATAAAATCACCAAAGGAACAAATAACACCAAGTGAGATGTGGGAAGAAACAGGCAGATAGAGGTAGGACTGTTTTAAATATCTTCAGGGCTTCTGTGACAAATATTCAGTGACTTGTGAAATCGCTTTCATCCCATAGGCTTATTTGAGCAGCACACACAGTACACAGAGATTGATGACATATTGTAAGAGAATTTGCCTTATTAGGGGTCCAGTGATGAATAAATAGTGTCATTTGGCCAGTCTGGAGACTGCATAAAGTACTACTGCTGGATTCCAGGGCAAAAACAAGACTGGGTGATATGCCAATAATCAACTTTATGGAAATCCATCATAATACAGCTACTAAAGTTAGCCCAACATAAGGGTCTTTTTAAAAAAGACATGCATTTGTCTAATTTACTCAATTTTTATCTATGATTACATATCAGAAACATTAGACAAATTGGGAAAACATAGTATTTGAAATCTCATTTCATATCCATTTGTCTTCTTCTCTTCTAATTTTTGTTCATGTTTACAGCTATGTAAATGTTTTATGTGATATGTATCTTTCTACTTTTTTCACAGATTTTGTATTCTCCATCTAGTTATAGTTTCCATTATAATTCTTTTTTTCTTCCGTAGTACTGGGATTTGCTTAGGGCTTTGTGCTTGCTAGGCAACTGCTCTACCACTTGAGCCACACCTCCAGACCTTTTTGCTTTAGTTATTTTTCAGATGGGATCCATATTGACATTTAGTGATTCCAAAATAACTTGTCAAATAATTCCTTCTTTTCATATTGGTTTATGATGCTTACATTTTAATTATTATATTTTTAGAAATAATACCTATTAAGTATTTTTATAAAAATAGAAGTAAGTAGATTATTAAAATGTAAATGAATGACGCATTTGGCACTCACAAACAAAATTTTTCTCTACCAATGGTAGCTCAGGCCTGTGCTACTCAGGTTTGTTCAGTCAACACATGGTACCTTACTTGGGCTTCACTATCAACATGCAGGAATGAATACAGAAATCTTAAACTGGCAGGGGTCATCATGGGAAGGGGACTAGGGAAGAGTGAAGAGGACCAGAAGAGATGAACTAATTGGGGCTGAAATACATATATGCATGGAAACAACACAAGGAATCTTCCTGTGTGGCTATCTTTATCTCACACTAGCAAAAACATCATGCTTCTCTTTTTATCTTTTATGTTTTTTCTTCTACAAAATCAGAGAACAGGAAGGTAGAACAGGTTTGGGGGAGGGGTGGCACAGCTGGAAGGGGAGGGGTGGCGGGGAAAGGGGTAGGAGGATGAATACAGTGCAAATAGTGTATACACATGTACGTAAATGCAAAAATGATACTGTTGTAAGTATTCCAGGAATTGGGGGAGCGGGGGATGAAGGAGAGCAGTGGAAGGTACGAATTCAAGTATGATATATTCGATACATTGTAAGAACCTTTGTAAATGCCACAATGTACCCCACCCAGCACAACAAAAATAAAAGAAAATAAAAGAGAGATAAGGATATCATTAATTTAAAAACTCTAGTGAAATTTTCTCATAAGCACCAAATGTAGGGACACATCTGTTACATGTATTATCCTTTGGTTGATTGTGATGTGGGATTAAAGATTAGTTTCCTGATCCCAGGGCTGACAAGGAAAACATGACAATCAGTTTCTGGATGGTAAATCTCTTCTCAGGCCGGCAGCAGCACCAGCCTCAGTAGGATATCCTGCAATCTGCTGCAGGGTCAGGCACCTGCTGTACCCAAGTCTGTGTCTTAATTATTCTTGAAATAAGCCCTTCTGAAAGTCACACAATCAATTGAAAGACAAATTAAATGCAAATTTGTAGAACAATAAAAAAATTAAAAGGTTCCTTTTAGCAGACATACAGGATATGTTTGTTGGCACTCTACGAGTCTGAACCTCAATGATGTATTTGGATTCTGAGAACTCCAAATTATCACCAAAATAAGTATGAGACTGGACAAGTGAAGACCCCAAAAACCAAATGCAGTTTATTATATAAGGGGATAGGTTTTGTGTCTAAGAAGAGAACAAAGAACAGGTATAGCTCAGTGGTAGAGTGCTTGCTTCACATGTATGAGACCCTGAGTTCAATCCCCAGCACTGCACAATAAATATGTAAATATATAAATAAGTAAAATACAGTTATTAAGAGTGGAATGTGGGATGACAAGTAATTTTTATTTCCCTTTTTGTGCTCATCTTTGCTCTTAATTTTTAAAATAAACTATTTAACATAGGAAAACCAGAATGCATAGGGAAAAGAATTAATGCAACTAATGTCATCAGGCTTTTATGGAGAAGCTGTCAATAGTCTTGACTAAAAGAGATGAACAGACTTTTAAGGGAGGGTCACAGAATCTGAAATTCAGTCATAAAATAAATAAAACAATCTCATTTTGGTCCACATTTTTTCTTTCCAGGATTTCTTGATGAGAGAACTCAAACATTGAGTCATTTAAAGATCAGGCTACAAAGATACATATCAAAAGCTGTAAAAACAACAGATCTTTAATACAACTATTCTTCTTCTAGGAATTTATCCCAAGGACTAATCAAACATATGCACAAAATAAAGTAATAAATGTTATTGCAATGTGGCTCAAAATCACTAAAAATACAGTCAAATTAAGTATTGAGCAACAGGAGATTGCTTAAGTAAATATTGGCACATTTAGATAATTTAATATTATGTATCCATTAAAAATGATCCTGAAGAATTATATTTAAGCTGGGTACAGTGGTGCAGGCCTAAAATCACAGCACTCAGGAGGCTGAGGCAGGAGGATCATGAGTTTGAGACCTGCCCGGGCTATATACTAGTGTGTGTGTGTGTGTGTGTGTATGTGTGTATGTGTGTATGTAAACACACAATGAAGCCCCTTTGTACAATTAATTTATGCTAATAAAATTTTTTTAAAGCTGTGGAATCTAGAAATTACATGCTTCTCAAAACTGGTTAGTTTCTTCTTTTTTTTTTTTAAGTATGAGCTTTCTATGCCTCTATAGTAAGATAAGAACTGCTTTTTACTATAATCTAGGCAGTCCTGTAATCTGTAGGGCCTTTAATATGTGGCTTCTGTCTGGCTTTTAATTAGTCCAATGACCATCAAATCTCCCTCTCTCTCTCCTTTTTTTTTGGGATAGAATCTCACTATGTTGCTTAAGTTGGTCTCAAACTACTAGACTTAAGTAACCCTCCTGCCTCAGCTTCCAAGTAGCTGGGACTACAGGTGCATACCACGGTGCCTGGCTTTGGACATTAGACTTTTTGACTACATAGATTATCAGTAAAAAAGTTTTAAATGCACACCCATTATGTAATTTACTTATATATCTGTACAACTACATTAAAATATCAAATATATTCAAAGAATTTCTGAAAACAAATTTTAAATGAAGGGTTGGAGGCAGAAGTAGAATGCCTACCTAACAAGCACAAAGCTCTGAGTTCAAACCCTAGTATCACCAAAAAAAAAAAGAAAATTTAAATGATGAAATTGAACAGGAGCTCTAATATTTTCCTCTTATAATCCCATGTACTCTACTTTGAGCACCATTAAGAGTAGATGACCACAAAAGATAGGCTCTAACCAAAAATATCCACCAAATGTCAATCTGTTCCATCCAGAAGGTCTATTGGAAACAAATAGGGCATTCATCTGACCTAGTTCTTTAATTTATCCACATGTCAAAAGTTATCCAGTTGTTGTCATTGGTGGTGGTAGTGATGGCGATGTGTTTATGCAAGAAATATTTCCAAGTCCAAACTGTAGCTTACCTTGCTGCTGGAGTTTGTAGTCAGTAGAATATGCTTTCCCAATGATATTCCATACAGGTCGTAAGCATCCAAAGAGTCCTTCCAGAAACCCCCCGCTGCCGCTGCCTGACCTACTGAACTGGATCTTGATGTCTTCAGTTCCGCTTGTGTTCTCTCCATCCACAGTGTTGCTGTTCCCCTGAGGTACAGCCATCTCTGACTCATCTTGTTCCCTTAGCTGAAGAACACTGTTCTCAAACTGGTCCCTGGAATCCTCGCTTACACTGGTCAACACTGTGGTGGTGATGGGGCTGTTCATGCTGTCGACTGGTTCTGCTTGTACAACCCCTTTTTCCTGCTGGTCCTCGAGGAGCTTCGGTGAAGGGTGAGTCCCCATGGCTCTAAGTTCATCTTGTAGTCCACTGGAGGTTTGGTTTTCACTCAAGGGTAAATGTGGAGCAGAGGAGCAGCTCAAGTGCTCCTGAGGATTGGCCATCGTGCCATGAGTGTGACCGAGGTCCTGAGATGCTATTCAGAGGATTAGGAGAACAGAGGTCTGCAGCAAGAGAGGGCTCAAAAACCTGGAGAAACAAGAGGAGGGCATGAGACCACTATTTCTTTCATAACTACATTGCTACACCTCTGTTTATATAATAAAAACACTGAGCTCACGTCTGTTATCCAAGCTAAATGAGAGGTGGAGATCAGGAGGATCATGGTTCGAGGCTAGCCCAAGGCTAGTTAGTGAGACCCTATCTCAGCAAATAGCCAGAGCATTATGCCATGTGCCAGTGAAGCCAGCTATGCAGGAGGACATGGGTAGGAGGGCTGCAGTCTAGGCTTGCCCAGGCAATAATGCAAGACCTTGTCTAAAAAAAACAAAGACAAAAACCCTAAAAGTAAAAGGGCTAGAGGCATGGCTCACATGGCAGAGCACTTGCCTAGCAAGCATGAACAGAGCTCAAATCCCAGTACCCCCCCAACCCCCCACATTGAAACAATGGTAGGGTTTAAAAGGAGATTTTTCTTTCCACATGAGGGGATACTGTGCACCAATGAAAAATTATGCTGAAAAGAGTATTTACTGGGTTGGAGGCATGGTTCAAGTGGTAGAGCATTTGCATAGCAAGTGTGAAGCCCTGAGTTCAAACCTCAGTACCAACAAAAAAAGAAAGGAAACATATTTACTGACATGGGAGAAAATGTTCATGACATATTAGTACAAAAGAGGTTTAGAAATATATATATATATATATATATACACACACACATACACACATACATATCTAAAACATTAGCTTGAAATTTTTATTTAAAAGGACAAGCACACATACCCAAAAAAAGACTGGACGTATACATCCAACCAAAGAATTAACAATAGTTAATTTTAGATGGTTAGATATGAGAATGGTTTAGAGTGTTATGATTTTCAAGGTATTCCAAGCATTCTGTATTAATATCTATTATCTTTTTCAATCAAGAAAATGATTTCCCTTTCTACAAGGGAAATCAAGTCATTCTGATATACATATATTTGTGTTATTATAAGTTACAATTTATCCTTTCTCTTTGCTTTAGTGTTTAATCCACTGGAACATTGCTTTACTTTCTAAAGCTATTGTAGTCATTAAGCTATTGTAGATAAATGTTTTGTGGCTGGGACAAGATAAATTCCCGAGATATAAACTTTTTATTGTCCTGAGCTAAATCTGGGTGACACAGCTCTTTAAGCCTGTTCTTTGCTTCTGATCTGCCCATTAGCAAAATTTTCTTGAGGCCATGCAACCTTTGAAAATATGGATTTGTTCTAGATTACCTAGATCATGTGAAATGAACCTTAAATTTGTTCAAAGTAAGGTAAGACTCTCAAGTTGAAAAAAAATGAGAAATAGACACATGGGATTATGTTAAACTAAAAGGCTTTTGCACAGCAAAGGAAACAACCTAACACAGTGAAGAGACAACCTACAGAATGGGAGGAAATGTTTGCAAACTTTGCATCCGATAAGGGGTTAATATTCAGAGCATATAAAGAATCCAACTCAACAGCATGAAACAAATAATATGATTAAACATGGGCAATAGATCTGACTAGACATTTATCAAAAGAAGACATACAAATATAAGTATGTGAAAAAATTCTAATCACCAAACATCATGGAAGTACAAATCAAAACCACAATGAGGAATCAACTCACCTCAATGCAGATGACTATTACCAAAAAGATATAAAGTGCTGGCAACAATGTGGAGAAAAGGGAACCCTTACAAGTGCATAAGGAATTACAAGTGTGTAAGTGTGTTGGTGGTAGTGTAAATTAGTACAGCCATTATGAAAAACAGTCCCACTCTTGGGTAGCATTTACTCCTTACTGTAGCATTATTCACAAGAAAGGTAAACAACATAAATGCCTATCAATGGATAAGTGAATAAAGAAAATGTGGTACATATATGAAATGGAATATTATTTGGTCATAAGAAGGATGAGATCCCATTATTTTTGACAACATGAATGAAAATGTGCTAAGTAAGATAAGTGAGGTACAGAAAAAACAAGTACGATATGATCTCACTCATATACAGAATCTCAAATAGCTGATACAGAAGTTGAGAGTAGAATGCTGGTTATCAGAGGTGGGGAGGGTATAGGGGATAGAGACGGAGAAAGGTAGTTAACAGGTTACTAAGTTTCAGTCAGGTAGGAGAAATAAAGTCTGGTGTTCTATCATACCACAGGGTGACTATAGATCATGACAGTGTCATGTTTTTTAGAAGATATTAGAAGAAACAATTTAGAATGTTTCAACCCTAAAGAAATTATAAATGTTTGAGGAAATAGATAAGTTTGCCCTGATTTGAACAGTATAAATGTACATATGTATTAAAATATAATACGATATCCCATAAATATGTGTAATTTTAAGTTTAAATTAAAATGTATTTTAAGATTTCATGGGAGGCCCTGGGTTTGATAAGTATGTTTTTATTAGAAATTTATTTTCTTTGCAAATCCCCTTATAATAGTCCTGTTACTTCACTCCATCTAAGCATGTAGAATGTGCTACAGACTGACATTACTTTGCAGAAGTCAAAAGTCAGACTCACAAAGACTGATAGTATAGTTCTTATTGTGACTCAAGTAAGTGCTCTGAGAACACAAAAGAGGGAGTTTCAGGGATAAGTATTCGAAGGTGGTACATTTTGATCAATTTGAAGGGTTTATCAGGTGAGTAAGAAAGGCCTGAGTGGAAGAGGGAGAAGGCATGAGAAATCAAAGTGGCTGGAATGTAGATTTTATGTATGTGCACAGGACACAATTCAAGTGGACAGACAGGGCTAGATTATAAGGAGCTTTGGATTTTAGCTTGAATGTGAAGAGGGTCTGTACTATCCTATATTGGGCAAAAACAGATCCTGTATTTTCTCAACCTCATTACTGGGACCTTTTTTTTCCTTCATTTCCATATGCTATGAAAAGCTTGTGTCCATGAACCAATGAAAATACTCTAACCTCTGAACTCTTATCCATTCATTCGAACACTTACTGAGTGTCTTTTACATGCTGTTTCATATTAGGCATTAATGAATGGTACATAGGTTCTTACCCTTTAGGGGCTTAAAATCTAGAGGGAAAGACAGGTAAATAACAACTACATAGTGAAATACAGTACAAAGGTATGTACAAAATGCTATGAGAGCTCAGAAAAATAACAGCAAATCTGTCTAGGGATGTCATGTAACAAACTGAGTTGAATACTGAAGGGTGAATTGGGGTCACTAGGAAAGAAAAGACTCGGCATTCCAGGTAGGTTTGGGGGAACAGCAGGAAACAACTCTAGAAAAGGTAGGTAAAGGTCAGATTATAGTGGATTTAAATGATTAGTTAAACCTTTTAGATTTTATCCATAAGTTAACAGAGAATCATCAAGGAATTTTAAGCAAGGGAGTGATTTGGTCAGATTTATACATAAGAATCATATTCATAAAGAAGTTGAACTGAAAGAGAAAGAGTAGCAGTCTAGTTAGCAGGGAGAGTTCAAGAAAGACATAATGATGAACTGAATTAAGGTAACAGCAATGAAGAGGGTGGGATGGATGTAAGAAGTGGAATTGGTAAGCTCCAGTAACTACTTAGAGTGTGGATGGATGAGGAAAAGAGAAAGAGGAAGACTTTTGAAAAAACTTACTTGGGATAATGGGCAGATGGACAATGTCAGTAACTGAGGTATCCAGAAGTAAAGAAGGGTTTAACAGGAGGTAATTAGCTCAGTTGCGAATATAGAGAATTTCAGGAAACAAGAATGATCAGGTCCACCGTAGGTCCTGACCTAAGTTAGGCTTTTATTATGCTCTCTAGTTTTAAGAAGACACTTTGTAGGGAAGGATTCAAAAAGAAGTAAAAGCGGGAGCTCATTTAGCTCAAGGGTAGAAGTTTCAAAATAATAGACGCTAAATTCTTAATATACTTAATAAGACAAAGTGCTTTATAACTTAGAGTACTATTTACATAATCAGCAGTGTACTGATAAATCAGCTCTCTAAATAACAGCCACCATCTGATTTATAGTGTTTGCTGATTTCTCTGGTCTAAACACTCCCAGCATAGCAAATTTCAAGATAATAACAATTTAACAAGCTGCTTGCAAAGTTACAAATATTTGACAACTGGCTGCCATAAGTTGGTATATAAGCCAGCTCTAGCACATAATGCTTATAATTAGTGTCATTCCCACTTTATAAGAAAAGTAAGACAATTTTCTAAGGTCATGTATTAAGTGGTAAAGCAAGAATTAAAATCTAGCTCCAGATTCAGATCTCCAGTTTCTCTTGCCTTTTTCACAGCACAATGGAATCTCTTATGAAAACCCCTCAGTTTCTTTCTTTTTTTTTTGATTTTTTTAATTTATTCATATGTGCATACATTGTTTGGGCCATTTCTCCCACCTGTCCCCCACCCCCTTCCCGGCCCCTTCCCTCTCCTCCTCACCCCTCTCTCTCCCCAGCAGAACCTGTTCTGCCCTCTTCTGCAATTTCTTCTCCAATTTTGTTGAAGAGAAGACATAAGCAATAATAAGAAAGACAAAGCATTTTTGCTAGTTTGACATAAGGATGGCTATACAGAGAGATTCCTAGCGTTGCAAAAGTATATTACAAGTATATTACAACTTGAATTGATTCATCTCTACCAGGCCTCTTCGCTACTTCCCAGTCACCTTCCTATAGTGGCTTCTGTCAGTTTAAGGTTACTATATTAACTCCTTTACAATGGACACTTTCAAGTTTTGGGTTTCCTACCTTTCCCTATTCCTCCTGTATGTGTTCTCCCCTTAGCGTGTGACCCAAGTCTGATAATATTACTGCATTTGTTTTAGATCTAAAGTCCACATATGAGGGAGAACATACAATTTTTGGCCTTCTGAGCCTGACTAACCACTTAAGATGATGTTCTCCCATTCTATCTATTTACTTGTGAATGACAAGATTTCATTCTTCCTCATGGCTCCATTGTGTATAAATACCACATTTTCTTAATCCATTCGTCAGTGGTGGGGCATCTTGGCTGTTTTCATAGCTTGGCTA